AGAAAAGGCTAGATCTAGATACTATCTATTTTATAAACTTTCTATTAAGGAATTATAAGTAGTAAAGAAATATATTATAGAAAACCTTAATAAAGGCTTTATTATACCTAGCTTATCTCTATATATATCTCTAATACTAATAGTAAAGAAGTCTAATAGAGGTTTATACTTTTATATAGACTTTAGGAAACTAAATAATATTATAAAAAAAGACTATTACCTATTACCTCTAATCGATAAAGTATTATAATAAACTAATAAAGTAAAATTTTTTATAAAATTTAATATTTAGTAGAGATTCTATTAGATCTATTTAATTTAAGCTACTAAAAAACTAACTATCTTCTAAATTTATTATAGATCTTTTAAATATAAGATAATACTATTTAGGTTAACTAATAGATCTATAACTTTCTAGAGATTTATAAATAATATACTATATAAATATTTAGATAAATATACTATAGTATTTATTAATAATATTCTAATCTATAGCGAGAACCTTAAAGACTATTAGAAGTATATATAGGAGGTATTAAACCGCTTATAAAAAGTAAGACTTTAAATAGTACTATATAAATATAAGTTTAGAGTCTAAAAAACTAAGTTTTTAGATTTTATTATTAGTACTAAGAGAATTAAAGTTAATCTAGAAAAGATTAGTATTATAAAAGACTAGAAAATCCCTATTACTATTAAAGGGGTTTAATCTTTCTTTAGTTTCTCTAATTTTTATTAAAAGTTTATTCTAAAATATAATAAGATTATAAAACCTCTTTACTATCTAATTAGATAAGATACTTAGTTTAAATAGATACTACTATATAAAGAAGCTTTTAATAAGTTAAAGGAACTACTAATAACTACTTTAATCTTATAGTACTATAATCTAGTGTTATCTACCTAAGTTAAGACTAATACCTCTAATAGTATTCTTAAAAGTATCTTAATATAATATTATAAAAATAGTTTCTAGTATCCTATTACTTTCTTCTTAAAGTTAATATAATCCGCGGAATTTAACTATAAAGTATATAATAAAAAGTTACTTATAATTATACGAACCTTATAGGAGTAGCGTATAGAGTTAGAAGATCTTATTTAAAGGGATTATTTCGGAGTTCTTATAGACTATTAGTCTCTAGAGTATTTTATAATAGTAAGATATCTAAATTAACGATAGATTTAATAAAGTGAATTCCTCTCTTGATTCTATTTTATAATTAAATATTATCTTAGAAAGCGAAATATTATCGCTAATACCCTCTTTAGGAAGGATATACTATATAAGGATAAGAGTAAGTTTATTATTTTACTCTCTTATAATTATCTTAAGGAAAGTATTTACCCTATCTTATTAGTATTAATATAGATAGCTATAAAAAAGATTATTAACTATATAAAATAAGTAAACTATATAAATATAGATCTCGAAGAGTTAAGATAAAAAGTATAAGATAGAGAGAATCTTTATTAATAGTTAGAGAAAGGACTTTTACTATTTAATAATAAGCTAAAGATACCTAATTAAGAGAATCTATATATTTAGTTATTAGATAAAGTCTATTATTAGTCTTTAGTTATATATCTAAATATTAAGAAGATAAAGAAGCTAGTCTCCGCCTATTATTATTAGTCTAAATAGACTAATAATATATAATAATATATAGATAACTATCTAATATATAAAAAGATAAAGTTATAAAGAGATAAGATATTTAGACTTCTCTATCCTTTATCTATCTCTAATTAATCCTAGTAGTATATTTTAATAGATTTTAGATTATTCCTAAAGGATTAATATAGTTCTAATATAGTATTTATAATTATAAACTATCTAAGTAAGTAACTAATCTTAATATTTTATTATAAGAATATAAATATATAATAAATAGTCTAACTTTTTATAGATTATATTATTTATATTTTAAGAATACTAGAGACTATTATATTAGATTAAGATAGATAGTTTATCTCTAAGTTCTAGATAGAGTTCTATTAAATACTAGGAATTAAAAGAAAACTATTAACTATATACTATCCCTAAACTAATAGCTAGAGTAAGATTATAAATTAGTATATAGCTTAGCGTTTTTATCTATATATAAAACTAAATTAAGATAATTAGTTAGAGATTTTACTTATAATTAATTTTATAGTATTTATTCTATTATAAGATACTATAAAGAAATCTCCTTTCTTTATAGAGAGAGGATATAAGCCTATAATAACCTTTAACTAGAAAGATCCTAAGTATATCTCTACTAATAAGTAAGGTATAGTAGATATACTCTTATAACTATAAGATATATAGTCTAAGACGAAGGAGTAGATTAATAAGTCCTAGAAACTCTAGATCTAATAAGTAAATAAATATTATTAAGAAGAGGATTTCGGAGTAGGAGATCGAGTTTTTATTATAATAAAGGATTAGTTACCTAACGGACCGAGTCGGAAATTATCTTACTCTATAAGTGGACTATATATAATTATAGAGAAGGTTAGGAATTTATATAAGTTAGATCTCCTAGGATTAATAAAGATATACCCTATTTTCTATCCTAGTAAACTATATAAAGCGTCGAAGACTAAGCTATTATAGGGGTAATATAAAGATCTAATACTACCTATTACGATAAATAAAACTAACGAATAGGAAGTTAGTAAGATCTTAGATACTCGTACGTATTATAGGAAGCTTTAGTACCGAGTAGAGTAGGTAGGATATAATATAGACCTATAGTAGTATCTAGTAGGTAATCTAAAAAATGTACTAGAAAGGGTTAAGGAATTCTATAAGAAATATCCTATAAAGCCCGGACCCCTAGTACGTATATACTACTAGATTAAAGCTATAGAAAGCGAGAAGTTATTATAGGATCACGAAGATAACGATAAGCTAGTATTTAGGGACTAAATATAATTTAGATAAGGGGGTATATATTATAAGCTAGATCTTTTAAGAAAGAGTGCAATTCAACGAAAATACTAAGATAGAGAAATAAAGGAAAAGAGGAAAGGAAACTCGCTATCGCCGAGTTTTGGAGAGTCTTCGAGTTATAAACCTCATAAACCTTTGACCCACTCTGCGATAACTATAGTCACGTGACTTAGTTTCCTTTCCACGATCGTCACAATATTAACTTTAGTAATTATTAATTTATTAATTCTAAATTAAACTTACCTTTTAATAGCTTAGTTACCTTAGTAAGAGGTCTTCCGCTAGGCTTCTTACTATCTTCGGTTTTCTATATAAGCCTCTTATAGACTTCGGGATACTTATTTTAAATATAGAACTTTAGATTAGTGAAGTTTAAGAACCGTATCTAATTTATTATTAATAACTTTACTAAAGTAAAGAATAGGAATATAAAGACTTACTTCGTTAGGATAGTTAGTAACCCTATAGAACGTTTCGCCGTAATATAGTAAGAATATACCCTCCTTTAATATATATTATTAGCGATTTAAAGTATTAATAATATATTAGATAACTCACTCTCTCCTTAAGGTTAGGCATAAGCTTTAGGTTAGCTACACTTAGCTCCTAATAATCGAGGTAAGGTTTGAATTTCTTTAGTGATAATATAATTGCGCTAGATAAGTAATTAGATTAATTATTAAATCCTGATGCGTAAAGGGTGTTACCTAGGTGGTAATTGGTTGGTGATGTGGAGAGGAAGGGTGGGGAAGAAAGAAGGTCCGGTATAGCTTAGAAATTAATTACTTCATACATAATATTATATGCTATCTGTCATGTGATTGTAATCTAATTATTTTTGCTCCACTTTTTGGGTGGGTCGTAGGTGAGGTCAGCTTTTGCGTCGTAGCTGAGCCCACCTACCCACTGCATATTTCCTACTAGAATACGGAGGTCCATATCAAAAGTTATTTCCCACGTAAATGTACGCTAGTAATATATTCGTCCAATTTGGGCAAAGTGGTTTTAAACTCAGTATGAGAGCTGTTTTCAATTTCTTACTTTCTCGACTTTCCCCCTATCATCTCCCCGTCTCTAGGTAATATCTAGAGCACCCATAAGCACCTATAAGCACTCCCTAGCAGCCCCTAGCAGCCTCTAGTAGCCCCCGATAGCCCCCAGTTATCCCCCCCCCCTCTTCATGCTCATTTCCACCTTCAAGTTCAATGATCCTGTTAATATGGCAGGGAACCCTCTCAATCCAACTCTGTATCTATTCTTACGGCAGTCTTTCCTACGCCTTTTCCCACTCGTAGATAGCAGGGTTGAATGATATTTTGATTATTAGGTGAAGTGTACCCCGTACTCCGTATAGGGCTTACAATGCTCATACCAAGCTAGTTTTTTATAGAAAAAGCAATTATGCTGGGTGGGAAATAACTTTCGATATGGACCTCCGTAGTGGATACAGAAATACAGAGATTTCAACTCCCTTGATTGGACCCCTATTTACTGAATACACCATCAGTTGACACAGGCAGCAATGCATATTCTAATTGAAACTGAACACTGGCCGCTATACACCTTCGCACATGATGCTTTACTCAAGGCGTATTTCTTTGTTCTCTTCCCCTCTCTTAGATTATCCCAACCCTTTGACGCTGGACACTTAGAACGAATACGCGAATCCTCTTCACTGTCATGTGAACAGCATGTGTCTGGCTTTCCCGGTCGTCCCCGACAGCACGTGGAGTTCATTCTCACCGGCTGCTCTGAAGCGTCCCGGGTGTCTCCACGAGCTCGATAGGTAGATCGAGCAGCAACAACTCTCACCCCTAAAGACATTCAGGGGAAAATGAGAACCCAAAGAATTAAGGAAATGAGTGGGTCATGGCTATAATATTAGATCCAAGGTTCCGATCCGGGCATCCCCTTCCTTACACTGCCGAAGATGAAGTCATCGATGTGTCAGCCTCAGCAAAAGGGCGAGCCCTAGAGGCTCTGAGCATTTAGATAGCAGGTCTTGGTACCTGAATGAGCAGAATTTCGATTTTACCTTTCATCTATTGACTGTATTGCCATGCTTACCCGGCCACTGAGCGCAATGCTCCCCCAGCAGCGCCAGGCCCTACGTCTGCGTGGTCCTTTACCTCATCTTGTCCTGCCCTCGAATTTTACAAGCACCCCTTCTCCTATAATTGCTCTGACAAGTCGCGCAACTGGTCGGAGATGCCTTGCAACCCAAGTTGAAACCTCCGCCGCACTTAGCAAGTCTGAGGACCGCAAAGAACGAGTTGTTATTCTTGGATCTGGCTGGGGCGGATACACCCTCTCGCGCAGGCTTTCCCCAAAGACCTATTCACCTCTCATTATCTCACCTCGCTCGTACTTCGTCTTTACTCCTCTCCTCACCGACACAGCCAGCGGATCCCTCGATTTCTCTAACATTGTCGAGCCTGTCCGTGACCCGCGAGCTAAAGTTGACTTTATTCAAGCAGCTGCGCGGGCAGTTGATCTGAAAAGGAAGACCATTCTATGTGAGGCAACGGTCGTTAAAAGTGGTGTCACGGAGTCACCCCGCACAGGTGAAGAGCACCGGAACACCGAGGAGGGCCCGGAGACTACAAACATGAATCCGATGCAAGAGCAGCGTCGATGGGAACAGGGTGAAACCTTCGAAGTGCCTTATGACAAGCTTGTCATCGCAGTAGGCGCTGTCAGCCGCACCTTTGGAACGCCCGGGGTACGAGAGAATGCAATGTTCTTCAAGGATATCGGAGATGCCAAAAGAGTCAAGCGCCGCGTACGGGAATGTTTCGAGCTGGCTGTCCTGCCAACCACCACCCCGGAGATGCGGAAATGGTTGTTAAATTTTGTGATTGTTGGAGCTGGACCAACTGGTATCGAACTTGCAGCGTCGCTGCGCGACTTCATCCAAGCGGATATGATGGCGCTGTACCCGGCTGTCAACGAACTTCCGAAGATTACACTGTTTGATGTAGCACCGAAGGTGCTTTCGATGTTTGACGAGTCACTTTCCCGCTATGCGATGGAGACTATGAGCAGCGAGGGCATTGATATCAAGACCTCCCATCATGTGAAAAGCCTTCGCTGGGGCCCGCCTGGTGCATCCCCGCCGTATGAGATGGATCCTAAGCGCTGCCTGACTCTTACAACCGAGGAAGATGGTGAGGTAGGCGTTGGCATGTGCGTTTGGGTAACAGGTAATGCCATGCCGAAATTCATCACCGAATCCCTTGATACAGTCGACCCATTCCCCTCAGACTCAGTCCACACCATCGAAAAGTCCTCCTCCTCTTCTGAAAATCCCGAGCAAGGATCCTGGAAATTCAAAAAGGCCCCCAGAAAAGGTCCTCTGCTCGTCGATGGCCATCTCCGCGTACAGCTGCAGAATGAATCAGGCCAGACAGCCGTTCTCCGGGACGTTTTTGCATTGGGAGACAACGCTATGCCCGAACCTGGTGCCCCGCCCGCAACAGCGCAGGCTACTTTCCAAGAGGCCAAGTGGCTGGGTGATCGGTTCAATAAACATGATCTTGATCAGGCCCGACCATTCTCTTTCCGCAATCTGGGCACGATGGCGTACATCGGCAGCGAACGAGCATTGATGCAAATCCCCCATGGGACCAACGGCAACTCACGAAAATATCTCCCAGAAGGTATCAAAGGACGCACTGCGGCGCTTGTTTGGAATACGGCGTACATCACCATGAGTATCAGCTGGCGCAATAAGCTGCGTGTAGCTTTCCGGTGGACACTGAACAAAATCTTTGGTCGGGATGTTTCGCGATTCTGAGATTGACATAGACGTTGAGAATACACAGGATACATATGGAATTAGAAACAATTTCAAATCCAGTCATGCACACGGTACCTGGTCTTAATGTTGACCTAGACATCTAAATTTAGAGCCCTGTCTAGATCCTCCCAATTCGTCGACAAACATAAAATACTTTGTTGTTGACTACATGTCTTGTGCTAGCTGGAGCTTTTGTGATGCAGAGAAAGTGAAGTGTCCATTGTACGAAACAGCATACACTCTAGGTAACCATATGGTTGATGAAGGGTACAACGTTGAAGCGATATCCCTCAAGCGAACCAAAAAAAGAGATTTAACGACAAACAGCATTCTCGTGAACATCTATAACAATTTCCCAACCCAACCAGTAGAAATCCAGTCCCATCAGTGACTACTCAGACTCAAGTAAATCTATATCCCAGTTAGTATGTCAACTCAAAGACCAAAGAATGAGACACGTACCTCATGACATAAGGGCAAATCTTCTCTCCGCCATAAGAAGTCCAGATAGCTTGTTCGCGAACCGGAGTTCCAGTTCGAGCCGCATTGATCATCCAACCCTTCTTGATATAGATACCCACATGAGCAACCTTATTCTTGCAATCACCACCAGTAGCCCAGAACAGCAGATCGCCAGGCTTAGCCTGCGAACGCGGGTACCGTTTGCCGAGCTTAGAATTATACTGATCCTGGGCAACACGAGGAATCTTCTTCTTCAATGCCTTGCAGACAGCAAACTGCGTCAGACCGGAGCAGTCAAAGCCTCCGCCGGAGGGACCCTTGCAGCCACCGCCGCCCCAGACGTAGGGGAGACCTTTCTTCTTCTGGGCTGCAGAGATGATGGCCTTTCCAGCCTTAGAGCCGCTGCTGCCTCCGCCACCGCTACCTCCACTGCTGCTGCATTTCTTGGTCACGTAGCCGTTGGTGCCGGTCTTCACGTAGTAGTCGGCTACATAGCAGCCGTCGGATGTCTTGTCCCAGATGTTGTTGCCTGAAACTGAGGTGCCGGTGGTTTGGCAAGATATAGTGACTTTGTGGCCTTTCTTGTATGTCCTGACACCGGAGTAGCTGGTTCCTGGGCCGGAGCGGCAGTTGACGGTGCTGCCAGTGATGGGGTAGCTGGCGGCGCTGACCGTTGTGATGGCGGCCGAGAGGGAAAGGGCGATGAGAGAAATGAAACGCATGGTGTATAACTTGGTTTTTAGCCTTGTAATAGAGAGTCGTTGTTTTCTGTATTCTCGATGCGCTGTGTTGTAGAAGATGTACTCGAATAGCGATGGACATCGCGGGCTTTATAGACGAACGCTCTCCACCATCTCTTCAAGAATATTCACAAACTATTTCCGTCGTCTTCGTGTTGATGAAGCTAAACGGGGATTCGTATTCCTCTCGTAGCAGAATCCCACCCTTCGTTCGTATCTCAGTCCCTGGTCTGACCTGATCACCGTAAACTTCACTGTAAAGAACTAGAAAGCGACCGAGATTGCCAGGATCATCGACAAAAATAACAATCTCGAGGTGATAAGTCGACACTAGCTGGAGGTTCAGTCCCTTTCTTCTCGTAAGTTCGTGTCCCTGCATTCATACTTCCCCGAAGGCCACTAACAACACGAAAAACACGAGAGTTGCTATTTATAGCCGTTGCAACTATCCTTCAGCCTCAAATGGAATAGCCGTATTTTAGCTCAAATTTCATGCATTTTGACGTTCCTCACGGCGATTGCCCGCATCTAAAAAGGAACTAGCTCGATGTTTATACGAATTGTTGCCTCGTATCAAACATAGGCCCGGGTCGGCTCCGGGCTAATCCTGGGTTATATAATAAATCAAGCACTCAGGTAAAGTCCCATGATTAGGTATACCTAATCATGAGATGGAATTTGATATGATAAGTTACTTAGGACATGTATCATTATTTAAAGCAGCATTCAGATAGGTTGCTGCAATAGAACTTGGAGAAAAAACACAATTTATCCAGAGAAGAAGACACTATCGGAGGTTAGGATCTAGCACTTGGGGATATGTACGAGTCAAATTTAACAAAGACGAGTAACTGCTGCCGTATCGTTGCATTGATACACCTTCTTCGGTGCGCGGCTTGAACTGCCTCTTAGGGTGCATTTCTATATGAAGATTTGTTCCTCGTATAGAACTCTGTCTAGGATGCCTAGAACTTTTTGTCTTGCGGCTCTTGATTAGCGAGATATAACCAAAAATATATCTGGGCAAAAGGAATTGTCTCCTTTCCGATACTGAATACATTCTATAAGTATAAACGAGAACGTAATCGGAATAGAAGGATAAGAGGCCATTGGCACACCCAACAGGCCAGAACGGTCCAGAGACAAAACACCGGACAAGTTTGCAATTGTGGGGCTGACTGTTAGACAAGCTCGCAAGCACTCACATTGAAAGTCGAAATATCTAATTTGCCTGGTTGATTTTCGTGATACCCTGTTTGCCCGAAGAGCGGGGGAAGTACCATCGTACTAAAGTCCCCGTGAACTTGAAACTGTCCATTAGACTCTCAAGTCCATCTCGATCGCCACACCACTCATCAAATCAACTCTCCTCCTGCAACCCCCAACATGTCAACCTCCCAGATCTACCCAGTCTACAAAGTCAAGTTGAAACTGGCGATCCAAGACCCAGACATGCCATCACCCCGCTACCACACCATACTCTTCGTCCAGACAAACGAGCCAGATCCGCGCAGCGGTATCAAGCACCACGTCACCGGGGATATTGTGGCTGGCATGCACTACGAGGCGGCAGCATACAACGACCCCGAGGCTGATGAGAACTTTGTTTCCAAGGAGCTCATCGGACATACCAGAGCTCTTAATTATCCTAAGAACTGGAACGATATTCTCAAGTCGATTCCGGCGCCCCCGAAACAGAAGGCCTTCAATAAAGTGACGATGAGGACTGAGCCGATTAAGAGTTGGGATCCCTTGGTTTTTTACGAGCCTGGAGAACCCCGTCAGCCTCTCATTAAATGTACGGAGTGGATTGAGGACCAGGCTATTCCAATATTGATCAATGCAGGGTTGATTCAGTGGAGACATGAGCGTATAGCTGGTGCGGAGGGTTAGAGAGATTGGTAATACCGCCTGGGCATATCTGCCATGTTTGGTGTGATTGTGCTCAGGTTGTTACTTCTAGCATCAAATACATCATCGTTCTATTTCCAGACCGGATACTAGCTATTATATGTATGAAAAACCAAGCTTACTCCCATTCGCTTATGATGTCTTATCAAAATCTCATTCAAAAATTAACCACCTGCTAGCTAGGCGCCAACCACGGCTGACTTCCGCTGTGGGTCCCGGTACGGCTTTAAAGTGTCTGGTACAAACCTTGGGGTCGGGCGTGCCAACCCTGGAACTCGAGAACTTGGAACCTTCCAAATATTGTAATAGCACTGGAAGTCTCTTATTATGCGAAAAAGCTAGATATAACTGAGGTAAATATCGGACACAAACCTTCAGAGGGTAAGGTTGCCAGCCGACAATCAGCAATTTGTGTAAACACATATACCCGTTCTTAGGAGAACAAAAGCCACCAAGTTCTTATATAAATCGTCCTCCATTGACTTACAAATTCACCAGATCTATAGATCTATAGATCAATATCTAGCAACCATGAATCCCACTTCGATACCCGACCAACTAGCCTCATCGGTCAAGCCATTCAAAGAGAACGAGCCCGGTTCACGAGAAGGTCTCATCGCACACAGCCGCGCAATAGTGACCGCACTCGAAATCCCAGGCGAATTCATCCAGCACACATTCTCTGGGTAGAGGTTAGATTCTTTTCAATGATGTAAACTACTAGCACTAAATCAACTCAAGAGCCCACCATCCACAGCCCGCCCAGTCAGCTATCATCCACATCGCCGTCGACATTCATATATCCCAACACCTCCAAACGCCGGCCCCACAGGCCTAAGCCCAGTAGCTCTATCCAAGAAAATGGAAGTGGACATCATCCTCCTTTCCCGACTTACCCGCCATCTCGTCGCCATGAACGTCCTCACCTTCCACTCCGGTGTCTTTCACAGAACACCACTAAGCAACGGCCTCGCAGAGGAACTTTATCAGCACTGTATCTCTATCTGCTATGATATTATGCGACTATCCATTGCCACCTTACCGACATACTTTAAAAAGCCGTATACCCTGGTGTTGCGGAGAGTCTGATTGAGGTTGAGTTGGTAATATGAAGTTTTGTTCGGAGTTCATCACCGACATTCTTTTCTCTTTCCAGAATACGATCTATTGCCGATCGAGTAAGTTGGTTTACAATGAGCAGGTCAAGTCTGAATGTACGTGTGAACGATCATAATGCGAGATATGATATTATGTATGGATCTCCAAGAGTGCAGGACAAATATATTAAAGCCTCGTTTTCCTCTGATAAATTCTTAGTTCATTCCCTGTGTTTTGCTTTTCCCTGCTTGACTCGCCGGTCATCTATCATCATTAAAACATAAAAAGCGATATCAATCCACGCATCCAGTCAGAGATATTGACTTAAATGGCCATGTTGGCGCACGTAAAGGCAGGTGTTGTAGAACCGGCATAATCAGCAATGATCGCCTCAACGGCAACGTACAGCCCAGGGCCCAATAAGAACAGTCCAGCAATAAAAACGAAAGCATGAAGCAAGGTCATGGTGGTCCTGCTCAGCCCGTTGAAAAGTGATCCCCGATGCAACTGCCAGTATGCAACGGCGAAGTAAATGAACCCGAAGAAGGAATCAAAGGCCGCGCCGACTAGAGAAAGGAAATCGCCCATGCTGGGAATGATTTCAGCAAAAACAAACCCAAGGACCCAGATACCAACCATCAGTAGGCCCCAGACACCCCATCCAACGAATGTGTGGCTATGCGCGTGACGGGAATTCCCTAGGATGCGAGTATAGATGAATTTTCCACTAACGTTAGCGTAGATCACGCCAATGACCAGAGTGGGCACAATCACGAAGCCGAATGACGCCTTCTTGTATGCCACCACTCCTAAACTGCCGAAGGCTGGTGCGGTGGCATATTGGCCCAGCAGATGGAAGCCAATGGTTGAAGGCACAATGAATAGAATGGCGGAGAGTATGGCTAGAACCGCCAGTGCTTTGGGGAAATCTTGCGGCTTTTCCATTTCGGAAATGAAAGTTGGGAACAGGATCTGAGGGACCCAGAGGAAGGTAATGTTCAGCACAGCGTTCAAACAGGCGATCCATGTAGTTCCTGGTAGAGGAAAAGCATAAGTCCTCACGGGTCCGGCTGTTGGGTAATCTCCATGGTACCCATATAGAGGGGCATCCTCAATACCAGCAAAGACAAGGAAGAGAATGATTGCGATACCCATACAGGCAGCTAGAAAATAGTCAGATGGCATTGATAGATAGGTTGAAGAAGGTACGATTGCTTACATGAAAACATTGACATCAGGCTAAGATGCTGCAATGTCCGGGGAGCGGACATGACAATTCCCATAATCATTGCAATGATTGAAAAGACAGCAGTGCACAATGTGTGGTCTGAAAGGGTGTTCAACACCTTTGCACCAGTCAACACGTGGAATCCGATGAGTAGGATGTTGTTCGCAAGCATCATGAATGCGGAGAAACAATAAGCGGCTTTACTCTGGCCAAAGATATGGTATCCAAAGTCACCTGTAGACGATCAAGATCTCAGTGCTCGATTCGAGTCGAAATCAGTATATTCGCATTGCCATAGACTCACAGATATCCATAATATGAGGATGTTTCATGATATACTTGTGCATTGTGATTGAGGTGAACCAGAAGAGCAGTCCCGATAGGACCATAGTAATGATCCCTGGAACCCACCCGAGAACACTGAAAAAGGTGGTCGTGTCAGCGTTAGGGGCACCAGCTATCTGAAGCAAGCGTTTACTCACGAGAGAGACCACGACTGGGCCATGATGGCCAAACAGACCTGCTCACCCGCAAGCAAGCAGGCTGTTTTCTGCCATGACATAGTTCGTAGCTTGATTTCATGTTGATGGTCTGGCGGCATAGCAATACTGTCAGCTTAAAGCGATGTACAACGCAGCTTCAACCCGTACCTGCGGCTACCAAGGCATTGATGGCATCACATGAATCACTTTCATCAACTTCGGTACCCAGAACATAGCCCTGCTCTTTCCTGTCATCCTTGGACATTTTGATGGCCAAGACCTCGAAACTATAGGAAATTAAGAGGAAATTCAGAAGATAAGATCGGCGGACCCTGCATTCGAAGGATGAGAGACAGACTGCACGTGGATTCAAGTCTTCCTTCTTTTTTTTTTTACATTTGCGCTAACATGTCGCCAACCTTAGCGCAGCGAAGAAGGCGAGGATGGCGCAATAATTAAGAGAATCGCGATATTAGCTCGAGTCCCATGGGGCGTTAGCTTGTTTTCGGCCACTCCGGGGGTCAGGGCTCATTGGATGGCGTGTTTTTCCGGACTTCTGATTGGTCGAACTGGTTGATTTAGCCCATCAAGGCACAATAAGCCAAAGGCAAATGCAAACAAGCCGACCCGCTCCTAATTACATCGCTTGGCAAGCTTGATTGCAATGTCGATGGCTGATTTTTCCGGTCCTCGCCATCGTTCGACTGGCTTTTTTGTATACCTAGGCATCTGGAAGGCCTCTCGTAGAGACCTCAATGCCAGGATGCAATCTGCTTATCTACACGGAGCATCGAGTTGAGACCTGAGGCAGAATTTAGTGGATTCAGACGAGAAATTGGCCCCCAAATAGGGAGAAATTTTCAAAATTAATTGTGGTCCTATGTGAAAATTCATTGGAGGGATTCACAGCTTTGCGCTTGGCAAGTTTGACTGTCCCTGCACCGCACGATCGACAATTTCCATGGCCTGGGAAAGCTGATAATCGTGCAGCTTAGGAGTGACGATCTGCACACTAAGAGGGGAGCCGAGATAGAGGCGGCGGTCAACTGTTTTCTCGTCCCCTGCAAAATAAAAACAAATTAGTCACAGTCGGTAAAAACACTGAGCAATAGTATTGGCATATTGGCACTTACAGAGCTTGCGATTGGCTTTGTCCCAGCTTCCCAATACAGGCGCCTCCATTTCCCGTCCAATCTCAAGATCGGATTCTGTAAATGAGCGGACAGGAACCACGCCGGCAGGGTAGTCCAGCAGGACGAAGGTCGAGGTGTACCCGACTGCATTGTAGCGATCGATCTCGGGGACAGGGTGCGGGGCCACAGGGCAGATGATGGCGTCTACGCGTCGAGCTACAGATGAAGCCTGCGGGGACAGTGTCCACATCTTCATCATCTCCTTCTCCACTTCAGCACGCTGAGCCTGCAGCTTGGCCAATTGAACCACTGTCAGCGCCTTGCCGCGTTTCATTCGACCCTGCAACCATGGAATAAGGTCCTCATCCATACTCTCGATGAGATCAAGCATGTGCGACCCATCGTCGACGCCCATCAGCCGGCCAGCCAGGGCTTGGCATGTAGGCAAGACCGGGGGGAGTGGAATATCGACAACTTCAACACCGGGTGTACGGCGGAGAATGTTAGCAACTTCGTTTAATATGCGTGTAATCGGTGGCAGAGGCGTGACGACGCCATCTGTCTTTAAAACACCGATGGTGAAGTTGCGCGGAGGAGCAAGCGAGATCGATACTGAGGATGAAGGCCAAGAGCCCGGGATGCAATCTTCACCAAATAGTTCCGCACGAGGTACAATCTCTGCCATAATAGCGTTCAAATCTGCAACAGATCGAGCTATCGGCCCAGCCACAGCCTGAAGAGCGATCCGGCCCTTGCCTTCAATCTGGCCGTTCTGTTGGCCTCCGAAGGGCACGCGTCCATTACTCGGTTTGAAGCCATAGATACCGTGGCACATAGCCGGCACGCGAATGCTACCACCGATATCCGTGCCAAAGCCTACCATGGACCCGCGCATAGCGACCAGTGCGCCCTCGCCGCCGGTGCTGCCACCAGCGGTCCATTTTCGGTTGAGCGGGTTAAGCGTGCGGCCGAAAAGGTGGTTGCAGCTATCCAACGTTGCAAGTGTCTGAGGGATGTTCGTCTTGGCAATCACTACTGCGCCAAGGGACTCCAGCAAGTCTACCAGTGGAGCATTGGCTGTTGCGGGCTTGAATGCTAGCGCAGATAATCCGATGCTTGAATCCACTCCTTTGACATTATAGGAATCCTTCACTGACACTGGGAGACCATGTAAGGGGCCGAATGGGGTGCCCGTACGTTGGAGGTGATCATCCAGCTCCCGGGCCCGTTGCAACGCGCGGTCAAAAAGAGGCTCGGTTAGACAGCGTGTGAGCTGGTGGGCAACGGCTGCTCTCTAATTATTCAGAGACATATTAGTATTGATTGAGAGCTATCACGTCAATATACAATCGCATACCTTACAGAAGCTTCGCACCACGTCCTCAGCCTTTCGTCGACCCTCCGCCATTTCCCCCACTAGCCCCCGCACATCGTATTTTTCTGTAATTTCCAGCTCCTCAAAGGTGAGTAGACCGCACGTCCGTGGAATATCCATCACACCAATTTGTTGGTAAGCTTTGGGGCCGACCGTGATCGACTCGGCAATGGAGAGCATCCCCTCGGGGATGACGTGTGCGGGCAACCGCCATTCGGTAGGGATAGCTGCGGCGAGCTCAGCTTGCTTGCGTTGGGCAACTGCCACGTAACGGGGCTGTTTGGAGGTCATGATCGATGTGCGGTGTGAAAAGACACGAAGAGAGTTGGATTTGAATGCGGGATGCGGAGAGTGCGGGGAACAACAACCTCGGCCCGCGCAGAAATGGCCAGGTACAGGCGCATGGACGACATTCTCGATCCTGGTGATTCCGAGGTTTGATATTGTCGCAGATTCAATTGAATTTGTAGAATGATGTGTTCGGGCAATTGAGGATGTTGGACGTACGTAAGTTGGGGCAGGTTATAACTATAGAAATTTTACTAGAGTCATTCAACAGATTGTGATCTGAGATGATTGAGAAAAAGAAAAAGAAAAAGGGTTTATAGAACTCGGAGGAACAGACAGTTTATTGGGTAAAAGTTTTCTATATACCGGCGAAATTGCCCAAGCACAACCAGGATGAGAAATACCTATCTGCGATCTTTACATTCCAGCAATGATCATGCTCTATCATGAATAAGGAAGGGTCCAAACACATAATTCTATAGTCTCCCCTTGAGCAAAGCTCCACCATCCGTGGGAATGACCACTCCGTTCAAATGACTCGAGGCCCTGGAGCCAAGGAAGACAACCAAACCAGCAATATCATCGGCTCTGCCCAAACGGCCATTGGGAGAGTACTTTTCAAGACGCTTCGGGCCGCCCTTTGCATCGATAAGCACGCTAGCCATCTTGGAGGGATAGAATCCCGGAGCGATTGCGTTGGTCAAGACGTGACGGGGTCCAAGCTCGACAGCCAGATTCTTCGCCAGATGGATAGCAGCTGCCTTGGAAGCAGAGTATGATGGGGTTGCGTATTCGCCGATACTGCCAATTCCGATTCCGGCCACAGAAGCAGTGATAATAACACGCGCTGGGTCATCGATGGTTGCCTTTGCTGTGAGAAGCGGAGTAAATCTAGTTCGGTGTTAGGATCGCGTCTTGTCCCTGGTTTTGACTATAACCACTTACTTCTGGATTGTGTAGAATACACTCTTCACATTCAGATCCATGACCTTGGAGAACATCTTCTCGGGGTGGGTATCGAATTTCTCGCCCCATGTTGCGCCGGCATTGGCGAAGAGGATATCCACCCGATCTGTGGTCTTACCCACCTCGGCGACAAGTCGATCTAGCTCTGCCATGTCTGAGCTGTCGGCCGGCACCGAAATGGCCTGTGCGCCCGGTCGCTTGTTGGGGAGCGCATTGAGGGCGGCGACTGCCTCGTCGCAAGCCTCCTTCTTGCGGGAAGTGATGTAGACTTTGGAGCAGCCAGCTTGAAGAAGACTGCATACTTAATCTATGAGCATATGTTCTTAAGAGTAATAAACACCAAATTGAAGACAAATACATACCCCGAAGCTGCGTGCAGTCCCAATCCTCGGGAACCGCCTGTGACAACAGCGACCTTGCCCTCAAGGGAGAAGATGTCGGAGAAGCTGGAGAGCTTGACTTGTTCCTCGACCGACATTGTGTGATTGATTGACTCTCTATTGTATGGGAAAAGAGAAATAAAAAGGGAAACCAATGTAGCTGCTTCTGGGCTTAGATATCTTTGTCCTCAAAGCCGAACTGGCCGAGGCTTTTGAATCGCCCAGCTCTAGTACCCCGCACGCAGGCCTGGGGTATTTGTCATCTGGCTCAATTAGGCATCAGTCTCATGTAAACAGCTAGTAGCCCTGCAGGTCTTCGAGGATCATGAATTTCTGTTGGTTGGATGAATGCGTTGGTGGGTTTCGACGGGCAATCATGAACGCCGTTCATGAACGGTGAAGGCTAGCAACTAGCGAACCTCCGAGAGTATGAAAGGGACCACAACAATCAGGTGTCATTTTTCGAATAAGAAGCAATGTTTTTCCTTTGATAATATGACCTACCGAACATATTATTCGTTGGGTATCTTATAAATTGCTCCTTGCATATACGTCTTGCAGGTTTCGCGAATTGCGAGTCGCAGATACCACGTATAGCTCCGATGGGTCCCATAGGGCCCGAGTGTGGTTTAACACTGCCTTGATAACTTGATATTGGGCTATGAAGTGATCAATAAAGTGTTCAGTTCAATCTTAAGAGAGATTGCTTATCATATCAAAGTGCAAGAAATCACATCATGAGCAGATTTAGTGAAAATATGCTCAATCCAACTCATCCCACTTTTCCGCTGTGGATATACTACCTTGGTGGCCTCAGAAAACGTGCTCTCGCGTCATTGAAGAGGGGCATTTATTCAAGGGACCCTGATGGCCTATTTCTTGTTAGCAATTCATTTCTTCCACTCTTGTCTTCTAAACACTTGACACTCACTCGCCTTTCAACATATCACCATGGCCGCTCAGACTCACACTCTCCTTCCTCTTCCCTATGCCTACGATGTAAGCCTCCAGTGATGGTTCCTCGGGGTCTCCTGGACACTTAGACTAATACCCTGCAGGCATTGGAACCCGTCATCTCCAAGCAGATCATGGAACTCCATCATCAGAAGCACCACCAGACATACATCAACAATCTTAATGCAGCACTCTCCGCTCAAGCATCGGCGACCCAATCAAACGATGTCTCATCCTTGATTGCACTGCAGCAAAAACTCCGCTTTAACGGCGGTGGTCACATCAATCATTCCCTGTTCTGGAAGAACCTGACTCCCCCGGCACACCAGGAAACGACATCGGGGGTGCGCCGGTTTTGCGTGATGCTGTTCTCTCCCGCTGGGGATCCCAGGAAGCTTTTATCAAGGCATTTAACGCCGAGCTTCTCGGTCTCCAGGGTAGTGGCTGGGGATGGTTGGTGAGCAAAGGCGGTGCCAAGGGACGACTTGAGATTACCACTACCAAGGACCAGGACCCTATCAATGGACCTGATGTGCCTGTCTTTGGGGTGGATATGTGGGAGCATGCATACTATCTCCAGGTATTATCCCCCTTTGACTCTCCTTGTACAGAGACATAGGCTGACTTGAATTGGATATAGTATCTGAACAACAAAGCTGGCTATGTTGATGGTATTTGGAAGATCATTAATTGGGCGGAAGCGGAGAAACGCTACACTGCTGGCGTAGAGAACCCGCTGAAGCTATGAGCTCGAAAATAGGTCAAATAGTCTGCACCTCCCTTCTAGAATTTGATTTCAGCGTTCCAACGCTTTACTGAAGAGACATGGCAATCCCGGTCTATGTAAGATGATTAAGTACGCCTATTATGCTTATGATCTATGTGATATGGAGATTCTTCAATTGTACCCAACCACCCCAATCCCCAGGATTGAACCCCCTTGCTCCCTCACTGTGACTTGTCGACCAATGACACCCTTCTCCGAGACGCCCAGGTCCAGCCGTTCGGGCAGCTCGAATTCCATTTCCGTCGGATGAGCCGATTGCAAGTTCTTATCCTGCTTCATGTCCAATTGGAATTGGTAAAGCGGAGAGCTTGACTGTGAGGTAGAGATATCGCCGTATTTTCTAAGATAAATCATGAGCCCTTAATGTCCGGTTGAATTCGGCTGCAGAGCATAATGAAAACTTACTCAATGCGCATATCAACATTCCCATATCCACGAAGGGCACGATATGTCTCTGGGTCTTCAGTTCGGAGGATTGCTCTTGTTTTCTGGTTCGTTGCATCCGCATCGCGGAAGAAGAGAGAATATGATGACATTGAGGTGGTTGACGACGATGAGAATGAGGATACTGATCCTGGTGATGAAGACAATGATGCCTCCGATGCGCTCGAGTTCGAATGGGTCTCTTGTGGGAAGAGGACGGCGATAGTCCCCCCGAAGGTTGGACGGTTGGTTTCTCCACACATTGTGATCTATAAGAGCGAAGAGGATGAAATGAGAGGAGATGAACAAGGATTTATATGTAGAGAGTTCTATTGAATGTGCAATGTAAATGAAAAGAGGATAACCCAGGAAGACCTGCCATATAAATAGGCACACCCGCAAGGTGCTCAGCTCCCAAGGTGAGGGCGATCGAGCACGAGTGAGCACATTAAAGTGGATGCTCAAATCTGCTCATGTGGGCCTTGCTGCCTCAGGAACGAATATCTGCCTCAGGCATGAATGGCTCTCGAACTCTGGCTATTTATAACCTCGAAAATCTGCATATGCTACATTGTGGTATAGGCGCTTAAACAATGACCGATTCGATCAAAGTGGCCTGATGGGAAGGACTCGGGCGGCGTTGGGCAACCATGCCCCTCCTCTCCCCAACAACACCCCACCAGCAAAATGACCCAGCCATCAGAGGACTATTATGATCTCGGAGAATATCGTCGTGCCGTGAGCACAGTGAATCAGGATGCTCAGATTTGGTTTAGTCGCGGCCTGATTTGGGCCTACGCTTTCAATCACGAGGAATCCGTCCGATGTTTTGAAAAAGTTGTCGAGCTGGACCCGACATGTGCCATGGGATACTGGGGCATTGCCTTTTCCCTAGGACCTAACTATAACAAGCCGTGGCAGCAATTCGATGGACAAGATCTCGTCTCTACTACGACGCGCGCCCATCGCGCGATCTTAGAGGCGAAGAAACACGCTCCCGCTGTGACACCATTGGAGAATGCGCTTATCGATGCATTGCAGCAGCGGTATCCGCAAGAACAACCCGCAGAGGACTGTTCAGATTGGGATAAGAACTATGCCGAGGCAATGACATCAGTATACAAGGATTACCCGGATGACCTGGACGTGACTGCTCTCTACTGCGATGCGCTGATGAACCTGACACCATGGGGTCTGTGGGACATCAAAACGGGCGAGCCTATGCCCGGCGCGAAACCCCTCGATGTGAAGAAAGCGCTAGACCGAGCTCTTGAAGAAGACGATGCATTCTACCACCCTGGTATTTTGCACCTTTACATCCATCTAGTGGAGATGTGTTCTACGCCTGAAATCGCCCTGTCAATAGCCAGTGAACTGCACGGTCTTGTCCCTGATGCTGGTCATCTGGAACACATGCCCTCCCATATCTATATCCTCTGTGGGGATTACAAAGGCGCCGCGGCTGCTAACTCCGCTGCTATTCGCGCAGACGAGAAGTTCCTCGCGACCCAGCCCGTGGGCCATACCTATAACCTCTACCGTGCACATAACTATCACTTCAGGATGTATGCCGCCATGCTGGGCGGGCGATCGAAGGTCGCTCTTGAAACGGGCGCGCAGCTCGCGAGCATCATTACCGAGCCTCTTCTGCGCATCGAGTCTCCGCCGATGGCCGACTGGCTGGAAGGGTTTGTCGCGATGCAAATGCACGGGTTCATCCGCTTCGGCCGCTGGGAGGATATTCTTGCTTCGGAGCTGCCGGTCGATGCGGAGCTATATTGCGTCACGACTGCCATGATGCACTATGCAAAGGGTGTTGCGTTTGCCGCTACAAGTCGTGTCGTGGAGGCGGAGGCAGAGCGAGAACGCTTTCTGCGAGCCATGAAGCGTGTCCCCGCTTCGCGGATGCTGTTTAACAATCGCTGTATCGATATTCTTGGCGTTGGCGAGGCGATGCTGGATGGCGAGATTGCTTATCGTCGCGGCGAGTACAATACTGCGTTTTCATACCTCCGGGATGCTGTTAAGCGGGATGATTCGCTGCCGTATGATGAGCCATGGGGCTGGATGCAGCCGGCTAGGCATGCGTTGGGCGCATTGTTGCTGGAGCAGGGCCGTGTCCAAGAGGCTGCTGATGTATACGCTGCGGACCTGGGGATTGAAGATACAATACCTCGTGCTTTAAGGCATCCAGGAAATGTGTGGGCCTCGCATGGCTATCATGAGTGTATGGTCAAGCTCGGTCGGAAAAGTGAGATTCATACATGGGCCCAGCTGCTGAGGGAGCGCCTAGCTTGGGCGGATGTGCCTATCAAATCCTCGTGTTTCTGTCGGCTGAGGACAGGATGATGTGACGTTGTTATTCTGGATTTGCATTTTAAGCTCATTGAGTACCGATTGAATAGTGCTTTTCTGGGACAGGAATATACCCAATCATACAAAGATGAGAAGTTCCAGCTTCTGCAGTGGTTCTGGAAGGATTTCTACATCCGCAGTCTATACTCTCCGTGATAAGGAAGAGCGATGTTACAACCCATGGATCTCCTAGCTTGTTATCATCGCTTCACATAGCCCAGGGGTACAATACATGCAAGATTATTATGGAAAAGTGCATGCATTTGAAGAGCTAGGGGACTGAGGTCAACAATTTTCAGATCCCGTGTCCCTTAAAGGATCAAACAACTGTCTCTTGGCCAATCAATGAATCAAATTGGCTTGATATCGAAGCGCATCTGCAGCACCCCTAAGATTGTCCATGTGACGATCTTTTCGATGCGATGTGTACCAGTCGGCCAGGCGCCCAGAACAAGACGAGCCACAGCCCTTCCCAGCTTTGTCCCCAGGAGCTCCTGATAGTCGCGTGTGGCGTATGCCCATTCCTGCACCCCATTGTCGTCACGCCAATCCAATCCATATCTGGGGTAGAGACGTGTCTCCACATAGGGGCTGGTGTGCGGGTTCTGGACGTTGATGAAATAGACATGTCTGAGGGTATCAATGTGGTGATCTAGCTGGTATTGAGCCTGAGCAATTTGGCCCCAATAGGGACCAAAGCTTCTGGCAATATTCTCAGCAAAGATAGCGCCGAGTCCGGTGCGGTGCATGTAAACGTTTGAGCCCAGTTCGTAACCATCGCCCAAATATCCACGATGCAATATAAAAGTAGAGCGCCAATCTCTTCCTACCGGTAGTCCGACTGATCGAATGTTGCCAGCTTCCTCGGGTGAGAACCTGATTTCATCGGCGCACACCTCGAATTTGTCTTGTGCGGAGGGAGGATCAACGAGGTCAGACCAGGCGAGGGTTGATCGCTGAATAGGGCACGCGGTTCTGTTTCGGCCGGAGATCCACGATTGATATTGAGCCCCAATCCTTCCATACTCCGCAACAACCGCATTTGACACAATGACGGGTTGCAATGAGCCATATGGTGGGGTCGTGGGCTCGGGGGACTGCTCTCTGAGCCGTCTGTATGGTGGGTTAATCAAGGGTCGCCTCGGTGGTGGACCCAGCCGCCTTATTGGAAGGATTCGAGGGATGTGTATTGAAGATGGCTCTGGCTGCTGAGATCGTTCAATCTCAAGATGACGCTGATTGGAAGGCCGAGGAGGACGCTCTTCATCTCTTATGCGGTAACGTGTCCTCCCACGAGATCTCGGGGAAATTTGGTGGCTTTCTGAGACATCTCCAGATCCATCGAGGGAGTGGTAGCTCGACTTGTCGGTAGGCCTTTGGTTGGTGGGAGAAAAGGTCAAGACTTGTGGGATATCTGGCTGCTCAGCCGGTGTGCCAGTAATGTTTGCCCCCTCGGGTGTTCTTACCTTGATGCGTCTCATCCTGGCCGGCCTCCTTTCCACTGAACTCTCCTCGCTGGGTAGGATACGACCCTACAAAAATCAACGGAATGGCTTGTCGTATCATCTGGAAAGGGATATTGGAAGAGCTAGCCATCTTTCTTGGCTAGGCAGTGTAAGATCACGCGCCTAAAGTCAAGGACGGCTAGATGCAAGAGATCATCACAGGATTTGTTGAAGTGGGCAGAAGGAGACAAAGTGTCACCTACATGGTGGATTGCTAGTGAACAGCAGCCAGTCAGGTGAAGACATTACAAACAATGAGGCACTTGAAGCAAACATCGTCCAGAAGAGGAAAGCCCCAAGCAGCATCGCTCCTGCCTCCCACCTTCCTAGTTGGATTGGAATCTTCGACTTAGCGCTTCTCACTATCACTCCTAATGCCTCAAATGTATCTTACTGGGATGAACCTAAGATTCTACGGACCTCTTCGTATATGAATCAAGAATAGTGCGCATCAAGTGTCGTTGTTATAGTGATTACAACGCGTGAGAACTTACAACTAGATTACGCTTGGTAGCTACGATATATACACCATCAAAGACATTGAATCTAATCTGGTAGGATTTGTGGCTATGGTCAATCAGGAAAGTGGAAGAGATCTTGACCAAGTTTAGTGCAAGGAGCTAGATTCGATTGCAGTTAGCGAGCGTGAGAGAGCATAGGAACGTCCCGAGGTCAACGACAACTCGATAGGCGACATCTTCTACCGGACGCCTCTGCTGATGCCAACATCTCATCAGCCTCTGATTCCAAGGACTAGGCCCGAATCAAGTCCGATTCTAAGACGACCGAGTTTAGCGCAAACGATGCTCAAATCATAGGTATCTCTGAAGATCTGAACGACAGTATCTGAAGATTGGTGAAAAAGGAGAAGATGGAGGGCATTATCTGAAGGAAAACCATATCAAGCGAGGCTATAGAAGGCCGCGTTCGTCGGCTATTCGAGATTCAAATCCGTATCGCCGGGGCCAGTAGGATAGTTAAAGAGATGCATATTCCTAGATTATGTAGGTATGGAGTTCAACTGCATGGCCTCAGTTCTAGTGAAATACAACTACATATCAGAAAGGCGATGTTTCCGCGCACAACATGTGAGAAATTTCAAATTAGCCAAGGTAAATCTAGTGCTCACCTACGATAATAGGAGAAAACAGACGACGTGTCACTATGTATTCACATTTAATTAAAAATCCATAGTATGTGATAGTGTTGACAATGAAACTGACCACCAAGCACTTCTCGGTGATCAAAAGCATGTATCACCCCGATGACGTTCGAATCCAATTTACCTCCAATCATCGTTGTGATTCAACAACAAATCAGCATATTTATAGCAAGCAATTAGAATTATAAGCCCCAAAATGCCACTCCCTTCCTGTATAAATACGCCAAGACGATCGTTGCCAAGATAAATGCCTCGAACGAACGATGAGGTACGATATGAACAACATATCAAATGCCGCGAGAATGCCCTCAATGATCTGTTTTTGGGGCCGCCAAGAGAAAACGATCAGATTGAACCCTGCATCAATCATCCGTAGCCTGTTCATCAAGTCTACTGGTTCGTGGCTTGTGGGGTCCTCGATTGGCCCCCTGGCGTTGCCACCGCATCTTGAGGCTGTGTTAGGGTTAACAGGTAAAGATTAGCATGACGCGGGACAATACGAGGATAGCTTATGGTGCTCTATGCAATACAAACGTGTATAAAGCTGCCTTTGGCTCTTTCGGGGAAGGGTTTTTTCAAATCGTGTCATCTTCTATTTTATTTATAGTATTCAATATCCAATATCAAATAGTTATGTTCTCGACCTCGAACGACCTCACCCACTCTTTGTGCCTCGACGCGATACATAGAAAAGAGAAAAAATGGCTCTCGCTTCTATCGCTGCGATTTGGTGCAGTACTGTGTACCATGATAGCAATAATATGCTTTGCCTGGGCCTTGGTAAAACATGATGAAGGCATTGTCTCAACCGATGGGCTAGGAGCAGCCTGGGCTTCAATCAATATAGGCACAGTGAGTCTAGACTGCTAAGATTTGTGCGGTTCACGAATATAGAAATAATAGCTGACTTTGCATGTCTATCATCAAGGCCTCGTACGGATTCGTCTGGTCCACTGTTGTTCTCATCGTTGTCTTTTGCAACTGTGCTATTCCTCCTGGAGTAACCATCGCATTTGACTGTATTGCTTTCCTCGCTCAGATAATCACTGTTTGCTTGGAATTGATTGAGATTGCCCATTGGCACGCTGGTGGTTATGGAGATTACAGTCACCCAGATGCGGGTCCGTTGTATGGAGCAGAATGTTTGGCGTGTTCTGTGATGCTTCTTGGGATGTGAGTCTTTATTCCTTCTCCCTTTTTGTATTTTCAGCTCTGACTGGAGATTTTAATTCAGTCTTTTCAACATCATCCTCTTTTTGCGCGCCTCTATGGCCTGTCATGGGCAGCGGAAGGCTGCGAAGATCGCTAAACAGCAGACACTCGATGCGTGATGTGGGAATTTGAAGCCCTTTATAAAACCCTGCATATCCGGGAATCTCACGACTCATTGAGAATAATGTCTGATATTTAATGCTTGATTGGGAGTTTTATCATAGCCCTTGACATAATGTCTAATGCGATACATCAACGATTAACATGCACTCAGATGTGATTTTTGCAGTCGGAGTTGTGATGTTTTGGACATATAATTAGCCAAGAATGGTTCAGTAAGACTACAATACATTGGTACTTTTGTGATAAATCCAAGGCAAAGAGGTAAACAGAGGTGGATAGATATACTATCTACATGAACTGTAGTGATAGACCGACTATCCTACGAACTAGGTGTGCGACACACGCACGGGATGAGCCTCAGTATTGAACACAAACGCGTTCTTCATACCTTTCTGAACTTGCCACGGGGCATCTACAACGAGAATTGTCATCAGTAAGGCTTCGAAAATGCCATTAAACGATTGAAGAAGGCCAAGAACTTACCCTCAGCATGTACCAGGTACGCATATTTCAAGACTTCAGCAAAGAGGAAGCTCTCTTCATTATCGTACTTCGAGCCGCCATTGACTGCGTTCACGTTGCTTACAGCAGCAAAGCCAGACCCGGTGCGACAAGTGGCATTGATCGCCTTGAAGCCATTCCACACCCAATCGCGGTACTATAGATGGATTAGTTATTGTGAAATATCGAGTAGTGGACAGATTATAACTCACAATCTCTTTACCAGTGACGCGGTAGGCATAGTAGAAGCTCTCGAGCACTTCGGGACGTAGTACATATGCGCCGCTGTTGATGTAGAATCCGGCCTTATTGTAGAAGTCTTTTTGATTGGCCGGCACTCTTTTTGGATCCCAGCCCCAGGAGTCGGGTCCAACTCCGGTTAGGGTTTGGTTATAGGTAGCCTCGCAGCCATTCACAAGCTGCAAGCCAAAATCGATAAAGTCTTGCCTATCCAATACGGTGCCTCCCAGAATGAAACTGCCACCATCAAAGCAGGTCAGGTGCTGTGAGCTGAGATCATACTGGCCATTATAGTATGAGCTCAGGAATGTCAGATCCGGACGAGGCTCGGGATGCGATTGGAGGTATTTGATTGTTGACTCGGCTGCGAGGACCCAGCGGTCCTTGTATGACGCAAATCGCTTGGGGTCGTACACATACATCTTGATCAGGTACTCGTAGAACGAGTCATCGCCGCCGTTCCATGAGACAGAACTGTCAGTGAAATGGCCATTGGAGATGTTGATGTGGCTTCCCACCAGGCCGGGGAATGGCTCCCCGCTCGATGGCTGGGGATTGATAAGGTATGACTGGGCCTTCTGGCTCATCTTGGCATACTGGTCATCGCCAGTCAAATCGGACAAACGGGTCCACTCCAACACCAGAGTTCCAGTGACCGCGAGACCGTTGGTTGTCGAGCCGTCATTTCCCTTGGAAGTGATGTTGATGTCATTGTAGGGAACACCGGATGGTGTGTCAAATGCGAACTTCAGGACATCGGCCAGTTTCTTGGATTGGGTAAGTAGAGCGTCCACTTGAGTTGGTTTGGAGGCAAGATGCGCTGCAGGGCCTTTGAGCAAATCATATCCAGACAGCATTCCACCCAGGTATCGGATCGTCGTCTCAAAGAGGCTGACTTGGTCATCGGTCTTTGAGTAGTCAATTGTCTCAATATGATCTAGGATCTTTTGAACGGCATCCTCATTGCCCATAATGATGGCAGTTGAGAGTGCATCTACAGCAGAGGCTCCCCACCCATTTCTGTCGCGTGTCAGTTCAGGGTAAGAACTATATCGGTCGGGGATGATCACCTGGAGTCAGCATGGCCATTGCTCACTGGACGTAGCTCGTCATGAGGGAACGCGTATTTTATATATCCATCCCATGCATGTTGGAAGGCTTCCTTGACGGCATCAGCCTTGGCTTGTTTGTCTAATGCACGCCGCGAGATCGACTCCGTCTCGGGATGTGGATAAGCGGCAGTAGACCCCAAGAGGTTCAGCACTGCCAAAGGGAGTGACAGAGAGGAGATGCGCATGATTACGCGGTTGTAGTTGAGTATAGATATACGGGTTTATTTAGGCAGTATGGTGCAAAGGGCACACAATATAGGGGATAACTCAATCGCGAACGAGAGACCACCTGAACTGCAACGCAGCAGGTCAATGCGATTCTTAAGTATGAAGGGAGTGGTAATGAGGAAGTATGTACGGAATAGGTACGGAGAGGTTGCAGACAGAGAACAGGCAAAAGGGGAAGGCAGCACGCGGGCACGCGACCCGGGTTGTTTACAACTGATTCCCTGTGTCACTTGCATTCTACCCTGTCGTTTTGAGGAATTATTACTTCTTGTTTGTCGAATTCCCAAAAAATAAAGATCCACTCAGACAAGATTCAGGGGACAGCCTTCGCGGATCTGCAAGGACGCCACAAACTATTGGCGCGCATTGTCCGAGAATGCGACTGCCCCTGGCCCGAAGTGTCCTCGGTCCCCCCCCTCTCGGGGAAACTGAGATTTGCAATAGAAGAGACGAGTGCATGTTCTAGATCGTCATATTTCTCACTTAGGCTTGGATCTACTACCCCAGACCATCCATGGCTTGACGGATGACTATGGCAGACGACCACTTGACGAGTAAAGATGATCCTGTGCTCGGATTCTCGAAGTTTAGGGTCCAGGGTGTACCTGACTAGTACGGTCTTGGCTGAGGAAAAAGCACTGTTATCACGCTAGGTGCTTTGACACTACGGAGTACCCCGTACGGAGTATGCAACATACCCCTCAGTATGATGGCATATCATCACCAGACAGGAGAGCCTGACCGTGATGAATGCATCAAGGCGACTTTACTCAAGGCTCTCAAGAAACACCGGTGAACTGAGTTCCGACACTGGTGTCGATGGTGGACAGGACCTGTCCGACAGGTCCGTGCCGACGCGTTGGGCATCTGAACTCAAGCGACTTGTCTCGGTCCCTTCTATTTTGAGACTTCAGTTGGGATTACAATGTCTGATGGAAGGCTGTGACTTCCAAGTCAAGGTCCATGGGTTCGTCTCTAATTTGGAGGAACTATCATACACGCAGTCTGCGCGGCTCGTCATACATATAGCCTCGCAACGGGCTGGACTCCCTACATTCCAGGTTCGGTGTTTGTCTTCAGTATATCTCCAAGTCTCCAAGGGTACTCATGGATCTCAACTTGATAGAGCAGAACTAAGAAGAGGTGTTCCCAAAAGGGACGTTTGTCGTGAGCGTGGCAATGATCCGTGATACGCCTTGTCTCACCCGTTCTCCTCTGTTACTTCGGTACCTTGCATTTGATATTGACCCGAGCATCTTGGCCAATGATTCCTCCGGCCATTCTAAACTCCTATTATTTTATATTTTACCCCAGGGTTTCACCTACCTTCACAAAGGTCTCGGCGCTTATCATTACCTGTACGGATTACGAACATGGCGATCTAAATGGGTGCCTCTATACAGACCCCCCCTCTCCCTCGATCCACCCCCTTTACACCACTTCCACCCCCCCTTATCTCAACACGGTTAGCAGATTACCATAAGAGGAATCTCATCATTTGTATACAGATAAAGCTTAGCGCCAGGGCTATATTATTGACGCTAGTATTTCTTGGCGTATGAGTGTAGTATCATATGGTATAGTGCACACCAATCAGCTGAATACCTTCCTATGTGGTTATGTGACCTCAAAATAGATGCTGATTTTCAAAGACACCGGTAATAGACTATTTGGCTCCCATCTCGCTACCCTAATATCTGTCGATCTTATATATCAAAACCCTCATTTTTCAATTAAATATATTAGAATCTCTACGTAGAGGTAAACCCACCTAGAATACCGTAGTACAGCTGATTGGTGTGCACTATACCATATGATACTACACTTATACGCCAAGAAATACTAGCGTCAATAATATAGCCCTGGCGCTAAGCTTTATCTGTATACAAATGATGAGATTCCTCTTATGGTAATCTGCTAACCGTATTGAGATAAGGGGGGGTGGAAGTGGTGTAAAGGGGGGTGGATCGAGGGAGAGGGGGGTCTGTATAGAGCCAGCCATCTAAATCGAGACAATTCCACTTCCAGAATGCTTCCACTTGTGTTTGTCAGCCCTCGAGGTATATGAGGCCGATTTGGTTCAGTTGGTCGAGCCGAGAATATTGAGATTCGGGGATTTTTGAACTCTTGTTGTTCACCATGGCATCATCCAACACATCGCTGGTTGTCCGCGTGGGAGGACAACCGAAATTGGTCAAAGAAGTGTCACTACCAAACCCCAGCACAGGTCAAGTGCAAGTCAAAGGTGTCGCATGTGGCACAGAGCCCAACGGATGGTATAATGTGCTACCCTTATCCATTTCGATCCATGTCACTTATACTCCGCCGTCCAATCTTTTGATGTAAATGCCTTCGGTGATGGAGCTGTACTTGGCTGTGATTTTGCTGGAGAGATCACCGAGTTGGGAAACACGGTAACTCTGTAGCGGGATTGATCTGAGGAGATGAGTCCAGAATCAATATTGTGGTAATGAACAACGTTTGACAAGAGACCAGGGGAACGCGCGGATTAGATGGGTATAGCTAATATACCATTGCTGACCAGCGTATTTCCTTCCAGTTACCTGCAAGCATCTCGAGGGAAGATGCAAGCACCGTTTCTCTTGCTGCCGACACAGCATGTCTTGGCTGATTCTCGAAAGACCGCTTGAACATCGATCGCTCAAAAGCCCAAAGCCCCGTGAGGCGAATCAGGGTCCCTACGATAACTATGGGCGGCTAAGTGAGGCGATCCGATGATTCAGCGGATTGCGGGCCCCCGGGAAAAAAAAAAACGATAGCACAAGAGTCATCGTTATCCCACCTCTCCAGTTCTCCCCTCCCAGTCAAAGGGTTTCCAATTTCTTAGGGGAATACAATTCTCCCCCTTTAATCTTTTTATTCTCTAACTGCAATCATCCATCCACCATGGCGACCCCATTCCTTATCTCTTACGACCCCTCCTCCCCCACCTCCGACTCCGGACTCTCGCTCAAGCAGATCGCCTACTTCGGTCGCGTACTGGTCAAGGTCTCGAGTCTCGCCCAGGCAGAACAATTCCTGCGCCAGAACTTCCGTGCCCTCGATGTCTTCGTCAACGCAACAGAGATCTCCTCCGCCGGTGATCTTGTCGATATTCTCAACGCCGGAGCCGCCAAGATCCTGATCACCTTGGATCAATTGACCACCCTCTCCGAGGAACAATCAGTGCCTTCATCCCGTCTGCTCGTCAATGCCCTGTCAGACTCTCAGTTGGATACTTTACAGCAATGGATTGCCGCCAATGCTGCCGAGCGCAGCGAGGTTAGCGTCTGCACCGCACCCGCTGCTGTCCCCGCCGCCGCCGAGAAATTGAAGATCAGCTCGGATTCTCCACGACTCTTCACAACCTTTGGCACTCAGACAGTGTCAGAGGATTCCATTACACAAGTTACAAAGCAGGGTGCGATTGCCGTCATTCCCTCGCAGGCGTTGACCGTTGAGCGGGATGTGGCTGGCCAGATCTCTGCCGCCAAGCTGATTGCGTCTAGCGCTGTCACTGACCAGGCTAATGGCTTGTATGCGACTTCTGTTACCGATGAGCGCGGCGCTTGTCTCGGTTTTGTTTGGAGCAGCGATGAGAGCATTGTCGAGGCTCTGCGCACTGGCACTGGTGTTTACCAGAGCCGGAAGCGCGGACTTTGGTACAAGGGCCAGTCTAGCGGTGATGTGCAGGAGTTGATCCGCATTGGCTTTGACTGTGATGCCGACTGCTTGGTTTTCGTTGTCAAGCAGATTGGACGTGGTAAGAATCAGCTCTCTATGTTGATGCTCAATGTTCGCAGACTGACCATCGTGACTCATTAGGATTCTGCCACCTCGGTACTGAGACCTGCTTTGGCGCATCTGCCGGTCTGTCTCGTCTGCAAAAGACTTTGGACGCCCGCAAGGCAGATGCTCCTGCTGGTTCGTACACCGCTCGCCTGTTCAATGAGCCCAAGCTCATCGATGCTAAGATCATGGAGGAGGCTGATGAGTTGTGCCGTGCGAACACCAAGGAAGAGATTGCTTTCGAGGCCGCTGACCTCTTCTACTTTGCTCTGACCAAGTGCACTGCTGCTGGTGTCAGTCTGGAGGATATCGAGCGGAACCTTGACCTCAAGAGCTTGAAGGTGAAGCGGAGAAAGGGTGATGCCAAGGGACCTTGGGCTGAGAAGGCTGGCCTGGCCAAGCCCGAGTCAAAGCCCGCCCCTGCTCCCGCTCCCGCTCCCGCTCCAGTCGAGGACCGCACATCTCGCATTGAGATGAAGCGTGTGATCACTGCCTCTATCACTCCCCAGGTGGTCGCAGATTACCTCAAACGTCCTTCTCAGAAGTCCAACGATGCCATCGTTGCCCTGGTGAAGCCAATCATTCAGGACGTCCGTGACGGTGGTGATGCCGCAGTCCTCAAGTACACCCACAAGTTCGAGAATGCTACATCGCTCACCTCTCCCGTTATCCACGCTCCCTTCCCCGCTGAGCTCATGAAGCTGTCCCCTGAGGTCCAGGAGGCAATTGATATCAGCATTGGCAACATCGACCGCTTCCACTCCGCCCAGAAGGGCAGCAACGATGCTCTCCAGATGGAGACCATGCCCGGTGTCGTCTGCTCCCGCTTCTCGCGTCCCATTGAGCGCGTCGGTCTGTACATCCCCGGTGGCACCGCTGTGCTGCCCTCCACTGCCATGATGTTGGGTGTCCCCGCCATGGTGGCAGGCTGCAACAAGATCGTTCTGGCCTCGCCTCCCCGCTCCGATGGCAGCATCTCCCCCGAAATCGTCTACGTCGCCCACAAGGTCGGTGCCGAGAGCATCGTTCTGGCCGGTGGCGCTCAGGCCGTGGCCGCCATGGCCTACGGCACCGAAAGCATCACCAAGGTTGACAAGATCCTTGGTCCTGGCAACCAGTTCGTGACCGCCGCAAAGATGTTCGTGTCCAACGATACATCCGCTGGTGTCAGCATCGATATGCCCGCCGGTCCCAGTGAAGTTCTCGTGATCGCCGACAAGACCGCCATCCCTGCCTTCGTTGCATCCGATCTTCTCAGCCAGGCTGAGCACGGTGTCGACTCGCAGGTTATCCTCATCGCAGTCGATCTGAACGAAGACGAGCTGCGTGCCATTGAAGACGAGGTTGATGCTCAGGCCAAGGCCCTTCCCCGCATGGACATCGTCCGCGGCTCTCTCGCCCACTCCGTCACTTTCGTTGTGCGCGACATCGACGAGGCCATGACCCTCAGCAACGACTACGCACCCGAGCACTTGATCCTGCAAGTCCAGAACCCCGAGTCTCTTATCGAGCAGGTCCAGAACGCCGGCAGTGTCTTCATCGGTCCCTGGACCCCCGAGAGTGTTGGCGATTATTCCGCTGGAGTCAATCACTCGCTGCGTAAGTTCTTTTCCCCCCAACTTTCCGTTGCATACCCCCCCCGCGCTTAAGTATCGTCTTGCTAACATTATCCTTTTAGCTACCTACGGCTACGCCAAGCAGTATTCCGGTGTCAACCTCGGCTCTTTCCTGAAGCACATCACCAGCTCGAACCTGACCGCCGATGGTCTCCTCGGTCTCGCTAAGACCGTCGAGACCCTCGCCGCCGTGGAGGGCTTGGAGGCTCACAAGCGTGCTGTGAGCATCCGTGTTGCCCACATGAAGAAGAGCCAGTCATAAATTATGTTTTGCCGCATACAATTGTCTCGTTGTCGTTGATTTGATTTGTTTTTTTATCATGATGGGATGTGCCATGAACACAGATTACAGAGATACATAGCCCAAAGTAACCTGCTCGCCAAGGGCTTAGAATTCAGTATTTACAGTTGATCACTTATTCGAATGTCTTGAGTCAATTAATTATCTCGGTCGATCATCCCACTATCTGATCTAACGCAGGCTCAATGACGCTGGGGATCCACTCGAAATCTCAGCGCGCATCCTCTAACAGCCATGAGAGATGAGTCATGGATGCGGAATCAAATTCGAAAAACGCCAGCCCCTTGCATGATTTTGTATGAAGCTATTCCCAAGAAAAAGCGAATCCCAAAACAAGAATGCCCATGAAAAACCCGATTGAAGAAAAATTCCAAACCCCCACATTCCGTTATCGGAGACCGAAAAAAAAAAAGCAAACCACACCGTAGTTTCAAATTATGTCTCATAGCTGCGCAATATCGTTCAGAATCTGGACTTCCTGGCCAGGCTTGAACGCAGGAAGACCCATGTAGGGACAACCGTCGCAGCGGAAGGCATCACCGAGGGCGCAGCTTCCACAGGAACCAGTCTTGCCCTCGACGGTGAAGTCCAGCTCGTTGAGGTCACCGGTATCCAGCTTCATGACATTCAATTCTTTATCTGCCTTCGCGCGACGCTCTCTATCCTCTGCCTCGAGTCGGTCGGCGAGACCGCAGGTGCAGTCTTTACAGGCGCGTCGCCGGCGGCCGGTCTTGGGTTGGCATTCTGGGGCTGAAGTAAGTATATGTTAGTGAATCATGTTTCTTATGTAGGAAAGATGCCTTGAAAGGGGTGAGAGCATAAACATACGCGGCATTATGGGTCGTGTTAAATGCTCTTCGTCGAGGAGGGTATCTTCATTAATGAGTTCGTCATCATCGTCTTGGTCGTTATTGGTTGCGGGGTCATCAATTCCCATGGGCGCAGTGAATGCAGGAACACTGGGGACTGCTGTAGGCGGAGTAGCCTTATTTTTCCTCTTCAGGCCGAATTTCAGAGGAACTGCGGCGGAGGGCTCGAAGTTGGGTTTCTCGAAGCCGTTATCGGCCTGCACGAGACCTGCCAGCACGGCTTCCATAGCCTCGGAGGCATTGAGCGCCGAGTCTTGTGTTTGCAGCTTGGCGCCGGCCTTCATGGCTGGGACCAGGGTTGAGTATACATTTCGGGTCAGGAGTTGGAGGGCCTCGGTGCGCCGTGAGCCGTCTGTGTCTGTGAGGATGAGGATGAGGTCGTAGGTTGTTGCGGGGAGGGAGACAACGCCTGCAGAAAGCCGGTCAAGCATCTGCAGATCTGTGGTTGCGCGATCGAAGGTGTTGAAGAGGTCTCGGAGTTTGTCCTCTTGAGTGGCGATCGAGGGGGTGCCAGAAGAAGAGTGCGCTTCGTCTGGACGGACTTGGCTGCGCCGAAGTCGACGTCCATGTCGTTGGTATCAATGGTCATGAATGAGGGCGCCATTGTTAATCTGTGTGAGAAGTAATCTGAGGGGAGAAAAGACTCAAAAGATAACCCCCGCCAGTGGAGCCTTTGGAGGGGTGGCGAAAGGATTATTAAGCCCGGTGGATGCCCTGGCGATTAGGCGGAGATGGTCCTATCAGCGCTACGGTGATTACTTCGTCGCTTGACTCTTCTTTTGCAATTGTCTTTGGATTTCAGGCAGAGATCTCAGATTATTAATCCTATTGCTTTGAATGCCGTAATGCAAATAATATCGTCAATCTTAGTTCAATCCCGTGTTCCTCTTCCAATGTGGGTAATTGTACCCGGCCATGCAGAGCATCCCCGAATGCGAGGGATTTTGGGCCTGATTGGGCACTCATCTGCTTTACACACTCGATGTACTCATCGTTTAGGCGCTAGAACCCATTGATAAGCCGTTTGGCTTCCCGAGATCATGTTGCTTGACGGGTTTGTTCAGCATCTTAGGCGTCCATAATCCGACTGTGGGAAATATCTGCTGTCTTTCATCTACCACGCACCATTGGTATTCACTTAACTCGACCGGATATGAGGCTCTTTCAGACTATACATCAAGCATAAGGGGCTATGTTGAAGCCTGTAAGATCAGGGACACATGCACAGGAACGACTCAGAGACAAATTCCAATGTAGAGGGCATCGACTCTCAAGCCAAACCTTCCGTCTTTACATAGATTCGCTCGTGTCTTCATATTTATCTCTTGGTTTCACTAGTCCCCGATCTCAATGTCAGATGTGAACATCCATGGATTCTGCCTATCCTTAATACATCTGTACAGACACCTAGCTTCGCAATCTCCTCAGTCCACCTCTAGTATGAGCCTAGCTCTCTTGACGCCGAAGAAAGGGTATTGGATGTCCAGGATTTGATTCTGTTTCAAGCCTTCGACTGGCAACGACCGATTTGGGCAAGTTCGTCTCTGATGATCTGCCGCCATCAACACCGCGGCCTTCATGGGCCCTAGGACCTTTGGTCCATGGGCGTCTCAAACCCGGGCTGTGTAGAGACCATATTGACAGTCCCATGAATATTGCCGGCTTTGGATCATTGCACTTCCCCCGGGTAGTCATAGTAGGAGTGTCTGTCGATATGTACAGGTATAAGCCAGGGCCATCTAGAGTTAATACGCCCCACTGGTGGGGCCATTTCAAGCTTATCTCCAGGGCTGTCGAGTGCATGGTCATCCAATATAAAGCGCTGGTGTGAATAGTCTTCAAATTGGATACATCTAGAGCCAGGAGAACCCATCGGGTTCCAGCTCGGAAGGGTTCAGAATTTTCTCCGTAGGACCCAGAAGATTATCCGCGAATTCTGCCACCTTATTAGCTCCCGGGGGCTCAGAATTCATTGATTATCTCATCTTCTTCAACCAATCACACTACCAAAAAGCGCACCTACTATCTATACAATTCTCCATCACCATAAAAAAAACCTCATATTTACCACCATATTTAAATACATACCTACTAGAAAAATAATTTAAATGATTCAACATACATTCCCCTACTACCATAAATTAAGTTTAAGTCGAAATATCTATTATATAGCTTCAGAACATATACTTAACATGATATATATTTACCCCTACCTAATGTAGAACACCAGTGCTCCTTCCTCAACAACATTAGCTAAAATTTTATTTGTTTACATTTTCTATGTTGACATCTTCTTCTTCTTCCATCATTTCCCGTCACGTCTGTTTTTTTTCATATATGCTTAACATATGATTAGGATTATAGTAAGAGACAAGGGTAGGTAGGTATAGACAGGGGTGTCGGTACGTAGTGTATAGGAAAAAAAGTCAAATAAAAGAATTTATAATTAAATCTAATTACATAATTGAGAAGTTCTGAGTCCTACTTAGGTTCCACCCTTTATAGGGGGTCAGAATTCAAGGCTGACATAACAGGTTTCTGAGTCCTACGGAGAAAATTCTGGACCCTACCGAGCTGTATACCCGAGAACCCATCTGTAAGAGTCAAAAAACGAACTCTTCAGGTCAGGTTTCAACCGTCCCCAGATCGAAGGAGAGAAAGCAAAAAATTAGTCGCGCCCGGGATCGAACCGGGAACCTTCTGAGGATGTGTAAAGACTCATCAGATGTGAATCAGACGTCATAACCATTAGACCACGCAACTGTTGGATGAAAGTATCGCAACACATGGGATCTATCAAAGAGCATCAAATAACACAGAAAAAGGATGAGGGAATACTGCAGCCTGACCCATCAGGTGTCAAATCTTATCTCAACTTTTTTCTCTGTTATCCGAACTTTTTCTTCACTCAGGCACAAGGGGACCAACGCCCTCAATCAGCTCTCCAGATTCCGATTCCACAAGCCCAAGTCCCAAACACACAGCTTCCAAAATCACGAAGCAACTCAACCATCCCACAAATCCTGCACCCCAACCTCTACCTACAAGGCCAACCCGCCACCACAAAATGGACGCCCACGCCTACCTAATCAAGCACGGCTGGTCCGGCCCCGGAAATCCATTGAACCCGAACCAGCGACCAGGCGCACACGGCGGTCTGGGCCTCACACGCCCGATTCTGGTATCGCGCAAAGCCAACAATCACGGCGTCGGCAAGAAGACGACAAAAGACCCCACGAACCAATGGTGGCTGCGCGGATTCGAGGACGCCCTGAAGGGCGTCGGCAATGATAGCTTCGAGGCTACCTCTGCGCGCGAGAACAACGCGCTCACAAGTGAGCTTTACCGGCACTTTGTGCGGGGAGAGGGGCTCGCTGGAACGCTGGACGGATTGAAGAAGGAGGGAAATACCCCGTCTGCGTCTACTTCTACATCCGGGTCGAAGTCGAAGCGCAAGCGCGAGGATGGGGATGATGGTGTTGATCGCAAGGCTAGGAAGTTGGCCAAGGCTGCTCGCAAGGAAGAGAAGGCTGTGCGGAAGGAGGCGAGACGGGTGAAGAGGGCTGCTAAGGTGGAGAAGAAGGAGAAGAAGGCGGCGGAGAAATTGGCTAAGAAGGCTAAGAAAGAGCGGAAACGGACTGCTTCGGAGGAAGATTATCCAACGCCCACATCGATTGATCGGGGGTCTGATCAGACTAGTGCGGAGACTACGGAGACAGATGAGGCTGCCACGCGGTTAAAGGAGAAAGCTGCTAAAAAGGGAGAAGAAAGAGAGCAAGAGCTCCAAGATTGCAGATAGTGATGTGAGCGAGGACTCGAAAAAGAAGTCTAAAAAGGAGAAGAAAGTCAAGAAGGACTCCAAGGCCTGATTCGTTTGTTTTATTTTTTTTATCGCATTTGTGGCTATTGATATTGGAGCGCTTCACATGCATGTCAGGGCCATGTGTACAAAATTCTGCATATACCAGTTTCTCTCTTACGCCATATAGAAACCAAGATACCCTTTTTTTGTTTGGCGAAACCGTGACCATGGTAATCAAGGAGAAATGTCTATTGTTTGTTTCGTTTTTGAGGCTGGGCTAAGTTAGGCTGGTAGTTTTCCCGGATTGCCTGATAGAATCCACGGCCGTTTCTCCCAGAATTCATCTTTGATGATATCGACATGGTCAACAACGACCTGTGCTTTCCGGCGCAGTTTCCGAATCTTGTCTTGCTGTGATCTTGACTGCTTTTCCTGAGCCACCTGTGGTTCTTCGTCTGTAATAGCTTTTGCAGACTTGGGTTCTTCCAGCTCATACTGTTCATTGAGAGATTAGTACAGACCCGAGAGAAAGGAACTCGGAATAGAGATTGCTTCTTACCTGGCGATAAAGAACTGTGCCTTTTTTATAGATCTCCAGCTCGTTATTGTAGTTGATACCAAACCGCTTGAAGAGAATCTCGTTCTTGTCTCCAGACACAGTGCCCTGATATAAAGTCAATGGTCTATACTTTGAATTAATGGAAACATGGCAACTTACCTTCAACTCTTGCTCTGCATCTGTGTTGCTCATGCCACCCTGAAGCACCATTGTCCAGAAGGTAGTGTTGTAGAGGTTATTGATATGACCTGTAAAGTTGAATGAGCCAGATGTACCCCTGCAACAGAAGAACTGCAATGCGATATGATGGTAACAACTTCACTTACAATCAACCTGTCTCCAGCTCATATAGTCGCGTAGAATGCGATTACTTGGGTAGATGACCGCACGCCCATCGAAAGAGGGTAGATACGGAGGGTGGAGGGGCTTCCCGGGGAAATACTCGTTCCACTTATAGATATAGTGGGCTGTGAACGTAGAGACGATGGTGGTTACTAGTTTCCTGCAGTGAGAGAGGCCTTGTCAACGGCTGTTCTTCCGAGCTATATCGCGAATAGAAGCCACGACTACTCACCCATTGCGTCGCTCGAAAAGTTGGCAGTTAGGGTGGAATACAAAACTGAAGCATGATTGTGAGTAATTGCAAACGATGCCGGTGAAGACCGCTGGGCATACCTGTATTCGTCACTGACTCCGTAGGCAATGCATAGATCTGGAAGTTCTTTCATGACCTCGACTGCCGCGGCATTCATCAAGTCCAGCGCACCACGATCATTGGGTTTGGCGAACGAGTAGTGATCGGACAGTCTATGTATAAATGTTAGATTGCGGATATGAAGTTATGTGCACTTCTTCCATGAAAGCAGCTATAGTGTGGTGGTAGGCATGCATGAAATGATTAATGACATATGAATATCTCATTTTCCTGCTTGAAGATTCTCCATGCACCAGACACCTCGACAATAAAAGATGGATACATGTACTCACTTGTGAAATCCTCGTCCATCAATGCGGACCACTATCCAGGTATTGGGGAGTAGCACATCCGGCTGCTCGAAAGACTTGACGTACTCAAACCTGTGTCTTGTTAGTGGCTTGGAATTCCTCAAAATTGCAATATTCACCTTGAGTTCGCCATGGTTTGATCTACTGGACGGTGTTGAGGGACGAATAGGTCGGGATGGAAGAGTTCAAATGTGCGGGCGATTTCTGCCCGCCCGCACTGCCCCTCGGAGGTTGGAAATTTACGATGCTCGACTTATAGACCAGCAATCGGCTTGAATGAGATGAACGATAATTCTCTGAGATTACTACAGTCACTTAGGTACTTATTTAGCGCTGCCTAGATAATTGCTAAGAATGAAAAGCGCGTAAAGAAAGGTTATATGCGACTGAAATGCATATCAATCGAAAGTCCTGATGAGATATTCTGGAAGATAGGAAATGAAAATGAAAGAACAGAACCAACAATGGTCCATAGATACATGCGAGATCACAGGTTTTCAACCTCCTCCAGCATCTCTTCGTCGCCAGTCTCACTAGCTCGTTCGCTAGTCTCGCTGGCCTTGTCAGACTTGCGGGACTTGCGGGAAAAGAATCCCAGACTGCTGCGCGTCGACCGGTCCGTGGACGCTACACTTGAGACGGTGCTATCAACACTCTTGCCAAGCTGTGCTTCGCTGGCCGCATCCTCGTCAATATCACCTTGCGAGGAGTCACCCTTCTTGAAGAAGAGTCCCGAGCGATCCTTCCATGAGCTGAACTTGGTGGAACTACCCTTGCGTGTGATCTTGCGAATGAAGGATTCCTTCGACGCATTGTCCAAGGAGGCTCCAGATGGCATGCGCTCCAACGATTCGTATGAATCGCCAGTGAAGTGGGAAAGGGAACGAGACGTGCGGGATTCGGAGGGAGATCCATCATACTCGTGTATATCAAATGGACTGTCAGGATCGTTGGCCCTGTCCTGTTCTATGTCATCTGACTTCTCCCCCGTGAGAACCGTCGTAAACGACGGAGCAGCGGGGTTCAGCTTTGGAGTCAGTGGCCGATGAGACGACGACGGACGAGTACCAATGGGTGCCTGGAGCGGTCGATGATGCCGCTCAAATGTGCCCTCCACAAAATCAGGCTCACCAGTCAGACCAAGAGGAAGATGACCCGATGAGCCATACTGGATTGAAGGTCGCCGAGAAGGTGCTCGAGACCATGTGGATGGCGAGGCCCAGTCGAATCCAAGGGGACTGTTGCGATGCCCGGCATTCTCAGTCGATGGCCACCCGAAATGACGGTTGTCTGTCGAGGGGTGAGGAAGCTGATTCTGGGTGTCGAATGAGGTCGAGGAAGGTCGTGGGGACAGAGAGCCGCGTCGAACGCCGCCAAGTAGCGACGATGGGTCAATGGGATCATGTCGAGGACTGAATTGATTATATCCACTGCTAAGGTCGGAGTTCGCATGGGTACCAGTACCGCCGAATCCAAACTTGCTGGATGAGAAGATATTCGAGAAAGCAGCTCGCCGCGAAGGTGCATGATCAGAAGAACTATCCATGGTGACACCAGCCGTGTTGCTTCGAGGGAACAATGACATCGGATTTGACCAGTTCCCAGTATAGCTAGATCGTCGCCGCCGTGCACCAATTGGGTCCAGCTCATCAACATTGCGAGGGAAGGATTGGCTCTGGCCGGGTTTCAGAGAACCCAGCATAGGAGATTCGTCAGCCAGAGTTTTTCCACGGGGCCGATGGAAGCCAAAAAGTCCAGAAAGTCTCCGCGTTGCGCTTTTGGGGGCTTCCCCAGCAGCAGACAGATGAACACCTTGGGATTCGTCATGCCTATTTTGAGTTTCCAGTGGGCTGGCAAAAATACTACCGGCTCGACCATCAGAAGAAACAGGCGATACTGGACCATGGCCAAAACTGTCCAAGGGGTTACTAGATGTCTCCATAGTTGAAAACCTTGGACGAGTAACACGGGGGAATTCTGGCGACTCCTCGTCACCGAGGAGATCCGATGGCAGAAGGGCATCCGCGCGAGGACTCATTTGCGGATTATTGAAAGCAATCTCCGTATCTGAGCGCATGATCTCTGGGGGGTCAGATAGACCCGGAAGGGCCATACCATTATTGATATTAAAGAACGCAGAGCCTGGAGGAAATGTGGGCGAGTGACCAGACGGGTTGTAGTTGACACTAGTCGAAAACGATGTGTCAATGCATGGGAAGTTCACAGGGGAAGAGACATTGCTGTTCAGTGAACCGCGATGGCGACGGGGGCGAATTGTGGCAGTGTTTGACATATCGAGGTCCATAGTCGGCAAGGCAAAGGGCCCCGAGCTGCCGGGTCGCTGGGCTGTGAGCCACTTCAGGCGTTCTTGGGCTTCTTGATACTGTTGCTGGGCTTGCGTGTGCAAGTTCACAAGCGTGGCATAACGCGTGTGTAGGGTGCCCAGCTTGTGCTCCCATTGACGAGCTCGCTCGTTGTCGATGCGGTCCAACTCCTTGCCATCCTCACTATCGCCTTCTTGCGATCCCATCCTCTCTTCTTCCAGCTTCTTGACCCGACCTCCTTTATCCTGGATCTCATCATCAATTGTTTTCATCTCCGCCTGCTCTTTCGCAATCTTTGCTCGGATCTCATCTGCATGAACCGCGCCTTCTTCTTCAATTCTCGATTTGTCATCTTTGGCTTGCGCAGCATCGGTATTCATGCGCGAAATCTTTTCTTGCCACCGCAGGATGTCGTCCTTGCGTTTCTTCCGCTCCGCCTCTTTCTGCTGCAGAAGTCGCATGCGCTTTGACTTTTCACCTTGCACCGTCCGGTTGACGCTTTCCAGCTTGTAGACGTGCTTTTTCAAATCGCCACTTGCTTCGTCCTTCTCCTTAACGCGTTTCCGCAATTCGCTGCGTTGCTTTTCAAGATCCTTTAGCAATGCAATATGCTCTTCTTCCTCCTCGGTACCCTGCTTCTCCACACTTTCATTTTCATGTTGTAGCGTTTTCAAACGATCTGCTAATTGCTCCAGTGTCTCTTCTTTGGCAGTCTTTGCTCTAGTTTTGAGGCTTTCTTCGTAGTTGCCGTGTGAAACGTCCATAGTTCCAGTTGCGGGTGAGATTTTCCGTGCGGCAGAGGGGCGTTTTCCCGGTAATTGGCCCGCACTATGCTCACGAGCCATGACTGGGGCAGATGGTGTAGGAAGGCCTACGGTAGACCTAGGTATTGAGGCGCGGATAATGGGGCCTCCGGCACTGCCATTTTGCTGGGCTTCGGATACTGGGGAGCATTTCGTCCGGACATGGAGGATCGCACTGGGAGTCTGAAAGTTGGCGGCACTGAGGGAAAGAACACAAATGTGGTAGATGCTCCCGGGTAGGAGATTTGATATTTCCACCGCTGTTTCTGCTCGTTTGGATTCACCGACTAGAGGCCGTTAGTGATTTGTTTTTGGGGTTAGTGGATATCCTTTCATAGCCCATACCTTTCACGTTGTTCACTTGAATTATATGCTTATGTATTGAGTTATGGAAGTCGGGCTGTTTCCAAGCAATGCGAATTTCATGAGCTGTGATCTCTTCGAGGGTGACCTCTGGGGGCGGAGGGATGTCGAGCCCGAGCTTCTCCACCAGGACCTCATTGGAAGTCTGACAGACTTGCCATGCACGGTAGAGAAGCCTTCACATAATGGGTTAGCCAAGCAACCGGAATGTCGGAACAGACAAGGAACTCACCAGATTAAAGCCCACAAGATCGAGACCGCGAGGAAGAGGGCCATGACGCCTCGCACTCTCACGCGGGGGACCACTGCTGGGTAAGCGTCAAATGCAAAGTAAAGCGGCTCATACATCCCAACGTCAATCACCCATTGGACGTGGGCAGCGGGATAAAGAGGAATTTCAAGAATCGCCATTGCTGGAGTGGGCGGTAGGATATCCACGTGATCTAGAACCTCAGCGGCCCCAATACGGTTAGCGTAGAATGGAGATCAGCCGCTACGGGACCTCGGCATGCCAACTCCAGTGCTGACATAAACAGAATTGTTGGGCGTTGAATGCTGTTGACGAAACCAACAAATGTTGGCTGGCGGTTGGAATAAATTATCTTGATCTTTCTCATAAAGTGGAAACTCCAGAATTTCGTTGATGTTCAAAGATTATTGATATTGTGCTGACATTATCCCGTGACGACGGTTATGTAGCCGCGTTGTCCCTCAAGTGTCAGTCACATGGGCCGTTGAACTTCCCGATTCTCCCAAAACCTGTCTCACATCTTTTCGACCGTCCTTACCTTCATTTGACTTCGGAAACTCTGGAACTTGCTCTAGATTGGCCTGCAATACCCAGGCGTTACGCAGAGCTGCTGTCAACGGGGTTAGATATCATTTGGCGGGATGCAGCTCTATCGCTCTATAAGCGGTTCTGTCTCTAAGACATGGAACTCTATCAACCCGGCCACCCTTAGCGGGGCCATTGATGTCATTGTTATAGAGCAGGAAGATGGTAATTATCCATGTCTCGGGGTTGGTTTCCACGAAAGATACTGATTCGGGTTATCTCTTTCAAGGTACTCTCGCTTGTTCGCCCTTTCATGTCCGCTTCGGCAAGTTTTCGCTCTTGCGTCCATTTGAAAAGAAGGTGGAATTCAAAGTGAACGGTCTCAAACAAGAATATGCCATGAAGCTGGGGGAAGGTGGTGAAGCATTCTTCGTTTTTGAAACCACCGACGAGATCCCCGCATCGTTACAAACCTCACCATTAGTGTCTCCCGCGGCTAGCCCTAGAGCCCAGAGCGAACCCGATCTCCCACACTCTCTACAGGAACCAGAATACCTCGACCTGGATAAAGCGAATGGGGATGCATTGTCGGAAGGCGCAAAGACTCCACCGACGACGGCGGTGCCGTCGACCAAGCTACGAGCAAACACGGATTTAGGTAAGGATCACTAACTCCGAGTTCTCCGCTCTCGATTCAAGTCGCTTGTTGCTGACTGTTTCAAAAGGAACCATGACACCATTGTCGGGATCCCCTGAAGAGTCAGACCTGACTCGTTCACGACATGGCTCCTTGGGTGCCAAACCCCCGCTTGATCACGCACTGTCAGACAACGTGCTTCCTACCAAATCTCCTCGACATTCTCTGAACGGTGGATCTGCAAATGGGAACGATGAATCCCATGATGTTGAGGATAAAACAATCAATCGCTCTCGCAGCCCTCCTCTCTCCCCACAGGAGGCGGTTTCTCGTGCCATTTCGCTTTCAAAGAAGTTATCTGGTTCCAACATCCCATCGCATGTCACTGAAACTGGAGATTTGATGTTGGATATGACTGGCTACAAAAGCAATGAAGAAGATGCCCTCCGCGCGGAGGTTGTCGCGCGTAAGATTCTCGCGGAGGAGCTTGAAGGGAATTATGACATCGGTGCATTGATTGGAGCCGATGAACACGGCAATCTATGGATTTACAGCAGCGAGGAATCAAAGGAACTGGCTGATCAGAGAGCTACTCTCAATTCGATGCGGCCGGACGTAGCGATGAACGATGACGCTCTCTCCGACCCGGGATACCACAGCGAGGGCGAGCGTGCCGCCTTGGAGCCATCCTTGACTACGCGCCACCACCGAACCAAATCAGATGTTCAACCTGGCTTTCCGACGCCTCCTCAGTCGCCTGTACAAGATTCTTTCGCTGTCGAAACTCGCAACTACGCCAAGACACTCCGCTTGACAAGTGATCAACTCAAGGCCTTGCAGCTGAAGCCCGGCGCCAACACCATGTCTTTCAGTGTCAATCGAGCAATTTGCAGTGCGAATATGTATCTGTGGAATGGCAATACCCCGATCGTGATTTCCGATATTGATGGAACTATCACGAAATCAGATGCGTTGGGACATGTGCTAAATATGATCGGACGTGACTGGACGCATGCCGGTGTTGCTAAGCTGTACACTGACATCGTCAACAATGGGTACAATATCATGTACCTTACAAGTCGATCTGTCGGTCAGACAGATACCACACGAGCCTATCTTAATGGTATCTGCCAGGATGGATACAGACTACCAAGAGGACCAGTGATCTGCAGTCCCGATCGCACTATGGCTGCTTTGCGGCGGGAGATCTATCTAAGGAAACCCGAAGTGTTCAAAATGGCATGTCTACGGGATATTCTTAACCTTTTCTGCGGCAAAGAAAATCCCTTCTATGCTGGCTTTGGAAATCGATTGACCGATGCGCTGAGTTATCGCTCTGTGAATATTCCATCCACTCGAATTTTTACAATCAACTCTAATGCCGAGGTGGTTTTGGATTTGCTCAGTCTAAATAAGTATAAGAGCAGTTACGTCACTATGCAAGAGCTGCTTGACCATTTCTTCCCACCGACCAGTCTTCTTGTACAGTCCGGCGGTGAGGAATACACAGACTTCACATACTGGAGAGATACCCCTCAAGAACTTGATGACTTCTCGACGACAGATAGCGAGGAAGAGGATGAGGAAGAGGATGAGGAAGAGGATGAGGAGGAGGAGGAGGAGGAGGACACTCCCGAGGAGGACGAAGATGTTGATGACGAAGAATACGATGAAGACTTGAGCGATGGCGAATGCAGCGAGTACCTTGATGAGGCTGAGACAGAGGAAGATCTCGGCGCAAGCTACATGTCGCAGGACTCTATTGCCCTATCAAACCCCGCAGGCTCCATAATTGAATCGGTGGAAGGAGATGAAGCTGATATTGAAGAGGCAGCTATCGGCAAAGAGGAGTTGTCTCCCGTCATCGAGAAACAGCAGGAAGCAACTGAGATGAACACCACCTCTCTTCCCATCCGCTCCAAGTTGCCGCAGAAACCTTGAATATACACCGACCGCTTTGCCTATTGAGAAGGATATCAATTCTCGGGCATTTTTTGCGTCATAGATACCCGTCTTGCGAGTGCTTTCTTGAGTCAGTTTCTGCGTTAGACTGGTCTGACAGCGATATATTCTACACGTCCAACACTATTGCATGCAGACTTGGAGTTTTAGTCTGCACTATACATGGCCGTTGTGCCGAACTTTTTAATTCATGGCATTCATGGCGTTGCTGGGTCTGGATTTTTGCTTTGTTCATGGCGCACACACATACTTGAGGTACTGAAGCGATTCATGGGCTGGATGGGACGCAATGAATGAGATAAGTGAATAGGATTGTCTAAATACATTGAATCGTGTACAATTCAAATTTCCATTCTAAAATCTGAATTACAAGGTAACAGAATATTGTATTTATCCAAGCCCAGCCCTATTTCTAGGTCCTGCCTGGGCGACGCAAAACGATTACCTAATTGTGATCTTGCGCGCTGCGAGCTCATATGCTTCCTAGGTTCTTTTTTGTCTCAGTCAGGCGTCACTTTCTCAACTTTTGCACGTCACTTGCATATTTGGCTTGTATCTAGCATCTGAGCAGTGTGATTGCGTCAGGAATGCTGCCCACCTACCTTTTCCAGGCCTTCTAGACACCCTATAATCCAACATCTCGCCTGGGTCTTGACTTCTTTGGCAACACCACAACACTCCCTTCTCTCTGATTTCGATCAGCAGCCTTTGGCAAAAATGGCATCTCCAAGCCAGGCACAAGGCTCTGCGCCCACAACCCAACCTCTCACCCCACCCGCCGAATCCTCCGCTGCGAACGGAGTCTCCGCTCCCGCCGCAACAACCTCCCAGACCCAACCTCATGTCGCGGCGGCAGCCCCTACCACAGCAACACAACCCCCACCAATCCCCGGGACCTCCACGCAAGATAGCGGGAAATCACGACGACCACGGGACGTGCGGCTGGTCCACATGCTCCTCGCGTCGCTCGGCGTAACCTCCTACCAAGACCGAGTGCCACTGCAACTTCTCGACTTCGCCTACCGCTACACCGCCAATGTGCTACAAGACGCTGTGCATCTGGCAACGGAAGGGTATGCCGCGGCGACGGACGGCGGCGCGGGCGCAAAAGGCTCCGCCGAAGTAAGTAGCGTTTCTCTGCCGGCATTGCGGTTGAGCATTGCTTCTCGCTTGCACTTCCAGTTCCAGACTGGGCTACCGAAAGAGTTCCTCATGGATGTTGCGTCGGAGCGGAACCGTATCGCTTTGCCTGGCGTGTCCCGGGGCTTTGATCCGGCTGGTATTGCTGCTAATGGTGCTGCGGGCGCTGCGAATCAAAGTGTTATGATGGGTGGTATGCGCTTGCCTCCTGAGCGCTTCTGCCTTACTGGTTTGGGGTGGGATTTGAAGGATGAGTGGGACAGTGAAGGCGAAGAAGAAGATATGCCTGATGTGATGCAGCAGCCTGGGGCCGGGAGGGGTGGTGATGGGACTGGGGATGGTGAAGAAGGAGGTGATGAGGATGATAATGATGGCAAGATGGAGGATATCTTTGGTGAGGATACCACAATGGGTGAGGCAGGCGATGGAGATGAGGACCGCAAGATGACTGATGTATGAGGGCATGCATTTACGTGCGGGATTTCTTCTACCATTGGCCTTGGAATTGTGGTGTTTTTGGTGCTCGGCGTTTTCGTTACTCTTTCTCTATCCAACCAACCTCCCATGGAATGGGGCTCTGTTTGTCTCTTTTATGGGAAGGCTCCATTCCATGATACATTTCTACAATCTAAGATACGAGTTCCCTCGCCTGACCACAAAAGGGAAGGAAATAATAAAAAGATACATATTTCCGGTCAATTAAAACCAAGACATGCAATCATCTGTGTGTATATTGTACATAATTCAGTCCATCCCATCGCTCCGCATTCGGGATGTTCATGCAATGTAATTGAGATGCCCAGCAAAACGCCTGCTTTGGTTGCCTTTGTGCGCCATGAGGAGAGAGAGAAGATATGGAGTCCGAGATCGTCTGGGCTACGACAGTCCGGCGCCGGTCTATCCGGCGGGATCAATCCGTTGTCTGTCCATCCGAGTGGGAGCGGGAGGAAATCCAGAATCAAGACTGTAGAAATGGACATATTAAGTCCCAGCCAATCGATTGACCAGGCATGGTCCAACAGCCCCCTTCCTCTCGTCCAAGCACTCAGCCCAAAGACGAGAATCTTCACACTCCGACCCAGGAGAAACGCAAGAAGCAGAATACTCAATACGCCGAAACCCATATAGACAAGAAACACTCACACAAGAAATGAAGAGAGCGGGAGAAGAATACAGGGAGAGGTAGGTAGATATCCAATCATTTACCTTCCGCTCGTCTCCGTGCTTCATCGTCGCGCATCATGCGAATGACTTCCGCACGTCTTTCCTCAACACGCGCAAGATCCGCTTCCTTTGCGCGTCGTCGTTCCTCATACGATGCGAACCACTCTTCGCGTGCACGGTCCTCTTCTTCTGGCTTCGCGTGGGCAAGCATGCATGAATTCATTGCGAGGCGCTGCTGGCGGCAGATCCATGTCGCAGTGACAGTGCGGTTGACAGCGCACTCAGCAAATGCTATATTATGGTTGAGTTAGCGAATTGATTCAAGTATACTTCAACATGTGGAGAGTGGATCATGGTCACGGGAGCGGAAGTTGCTCTTCCGCCTGGGACACGAGATAGGCCTTTGCTTTTGGCAGTTCACAGGCGTGAATTGTTTAGAAAGGATGGGTATAGGTGACATATAAAGCAAGACAAGTTCCATACCTTTAATCTCCGGGGCGCAATGGGAGCGTACTCGCTTGTAGTACATCAGTTTCACTTCTTGTTCTTGGGGGGCTGAGAGTGGAAGCGGGTTGCGAAGGTTGTATTTTTTAGCTGTACTCGTTGAAGAAGTATCGGGGGATGTAGAAGGGGTAGCCATTGAGACAGGAAGTCGATCTCAAAGATCGAGCTTAATCGATTGGGTGTATGGGGTGGTCGATCGGAAAGTTTGGTTCAGGTGGATTTGTCTTGGTTGCTGAAGAAGAAAAGGGGAGTCTAATGACTGCCTCAAGCCTGGAAGAGCGGAATTGATATAGACAAATGTAATTTCGAGCGGGTTCACTGAGTGCCTTTGCAGAAAAGACCGAGATCAAGTGGGAGTGTTGATGCGAGTGAGCCGAGCTCGGGCGGAGAGAGCGTTACTATTGGCAGAATCAGAAAAAAAGTTCTCCGACTTTGCTCGACTTCATCTGATCTCTTCTACTGAAGACCCTACACCTTTGTTATTTTTTGGGCTTTTTCAAGTCTACAATACCTGGACTGCATTCTCTTCCTTCGTAAATCAGCAACATCACAAAAAACCCAGCATGTCGTCCATGCGCAATGCCGTTCAACGGCGGAACCACAAGGAGCGTGGCCAGGTCCAGGGCCGCGAGAAATGGGGTCTCCTCGAGAAGCACAAGGTTGGTTCTTACAGAGAAGATTCGGGGAATCAATGATTTTGCGAACTCCTCTAGATGTCCTGCGCAAGAGAAACATTCTAACGTCAACAGGACTACACGCTCCGTGCCAAAGATTACAATGCCAAGAAGGCCAAGCTGAAGCGTCTCGAAGAGAAGGTGCGCGATCGCAACCCCGATGAGTTCTCCTTTGGTATGATGGGAGACAAGAACCGGACCCAAGGTCGGCACGGACGTGGTGCAGGCACAGCTCGGGATTCTGCCGCAGCGCGGGGACTGAGCCACGAGGCAATCAAGCTGCTCAAGACGCAAGATAAGGGATATCTTCGCACAGTCGGAGAGCGGGTGCGCCGCGAGATTGAGCGTCTGGAGAACGAAGTGAAATTGCAGAATGGCATGGACAAGGTTCTGGGCAAAAAGGATGGGAAGAACGGGGACGAGAGCCAGGATGAAGATGACGAATTTGATGACGAGTTCGATGATTTCGATTTCGGTGCCCCGCCGAAGCCCAAACCTACCAGAACGGTTTTCGCCGATGATCGACAAGACCAATTGTCAATGAAGAAGCAGAGGATACAAAAAGAAGAGGCTGCTCTGCAATCAGAGGAGGAAGATCAGACATCAAGCAAAGCCCGCAAGGCACCCAAGCAAATCTTGGCTGAACGGCAAGCACTTGCAGATGCCCGGCGGGCTCGCAAACTACGGAAGCGAGCCATTGAGGCCCGTAACAACAAGTTGGTTGCGCTGCACAAGCAACACGCTGAGATCCAGACAGCGGAGAAAGAGCTTGATTGGCAGCGGGCTAAGATGGACAATTCCGTGGGAGGCACCAACAAGGACGGAATCAAGTGGAAGATTCGTGAGCGCAAGCGCTGAGTGTTTCTGTTTCGACGGAGTTTATGAGTGATGACTCGCTATCATCTTTTTTGTACATATTGATACCAAGCACCATAGAGGCAGTCCGGCGCATACATTCAAGGAACTCACTCACACCCTAACTACATGTAGACATGTGGTTTGTTTCGAGTAAGTCCCCGTACAGGTCCATGCAGTAACAATGCTTGAGGTTGCAGGTCAAGTGAATACCCTACCAGATGGAGGCCCTGTGACATCACCTGCTCCCATCGCATCCAAATCAAGCGTGCGTTCACCACAACTGACTTGAGCCACTCCCACATTTCTCTCCCATACGCCGTGTTCCTCGCCCAACCACATCACCCACTTCAACAACCACACGGCCACCACAGCCCTCGACTATCCAAGATGCGAAGCTTAGTCATAATCAACAGTTGCGTGGTCTAATGGTTATGACGTCTGATTCACAATCTTGTGTCTCAAAGATCCTCAGAAGGTTCCCGGTTCGATCCCGGGCGCGACTATTTTTGCTTCGTCGTCTACATGCCATGTTATACTTGATGATACATACAAGCGACCTACATGTCATCCAACAGTTGCGTGGTCTAATGGTTATGACGTCTGATTCACATCTGATGAGTCTTTACACATCCTCAGAAGGTTCCCGGTTCGATCCCGGGCGCGACTAATTTTTTGCTTTCTCTCCTTCGATCTGGGGACGGTTAAATGGCCATTTTTTTATGCGGGTAAGGTTTTTGGTGGCTCCTAGAGAGTGAGGTCATTCTCGGTATGTTAATATGTAGTATGTAGTACTTGGGGTGGATGTGGTGAAATCTCAATCTATGCTCTAGCAAAGGTCGGACTAGAGTATAGATCGAGGATATAGCCTCAAGATAATCACAGCAACAAAAACCTTACCTGTACTTTACGGAGCTACAATAGTAAGAACCGAGCCGACCCGACATCTAATCGTAAAACCCAAATCCAGAATGACCATCTATTTTTACCCACATCCCAAACACCCAACGATACACGACAGACAACCGAAAAGAGCTGATGCATTCACCCGCAGGCAGTACACAGACTAGTACGGCTTGAATCTATCTTTCTTCTTTTCCTTCGGCCTAGCCTTTGCAGCCCCAGACTGGACTGGGGCATCAGCTTCCTCGGCAGGTTTCCATGCTCGTACAAATCCATCTTCGCCGCAGGTGAAGACAGATTGACTCTAATGAGGGAAGTTAAATTAGCGAGAGTCACAATAACCAGACCCGCAAACAGCAAAATAGAGACAACATGTGGCAATAAGCATGTCCTACGTACCTGTTCATCCAAATACACCGAGCGCACCACCTCCTCGCAATGAGCACGCGGTAACCGCCACAGATTATCCCGGTCCAGCTTCCACGACGGGCTGGAAACGAGTGGGACAAGATCGAGACGGTTGTCACTGTAAGACATCAGTCAGCAAACACCCAAGGAACCCAGCGGAAGAAACATAAGCACAACAGCACGTGTGCGTGTGACTCGCTTTCCCAGAAACCAGAAACTCGAGAATATGAGGAATACAAGATACACGTACATCTTATTTCCAGCGGCGATGTATGGGCCCTGTGAGCCGACGCAGAGCTGCGCGACATACTCGCAGCCTAGCGGGTCGCGCACGTCACCGAAGTGCACGGGCTCGGGCTCCTGCGCGGCATCGTCTGGGTCGGTGGCTGGGTACACGGAGAAGTGCTCGTCGTGGCTGAGAGCGAAGATCGTGTTCTCCGATAGGAAGCCGGCGTGATGTACGGAGCCGTGGTTGATTACTTGCACCAGGGCTTCGTCCTCGTCTGTTACTGTCGTATCATAGATGTTCACGAGTCCGTCTGTGCTGCCGGAGAGTAATATGTTGCTGCGCGTCGGGTGATATTGGAGCTGTGTACCACCGGTAACAGGCAAAGCGCCGATGCAATGGTTAGTCCGACTGGTGGTGCATTTGGGAATTGGGGCGGTATGGTGTTTGGGGATGGATGGAGGTACAGGTTTGCACTTACCTCGGTGATATCATCGTTATGACTCTCCACATATTGAAGGCGGAAGTCTTGGGGTTTTCTGATATCCCTATTCTTAAGTTAGTGGTGTGATGTTGTGGTGTTGAGATCTCATGCTAGAGTATGGCTGTCCTACTGGGATTGGATATATCCCAGCAATATTCAGATTGAAACCGAAGTATAAAATGAAACTTACCAGAATGCAACAACAGCCTGAGAAGCGACAAGCTCCGTTCCCGCAACCACAGTGTTCGTTTCCGGGTTGCAAGCCACAGACAGAACAGGCGAATTCTTGGCTAGACACAGAAACAATATGTTAGTAAAGATGCATTTTGATAGACAGCAGAAAGTCAATCGAGACGGGGCCATCCTTGCATCCAAGCGCCAACAAATTCCCCGAAAACCAGTAATAGCACAACGGAAATGCAGAAACCATGCAACCTGCACTTGCCCATTGTCCGGGCAGCAGATTCCCGCAGACCCCCCAAAACCGGCAATGGACGCATAAAACCCCAAAAAAGAAATTAATCAAAAAAGCTTAATCAAATCAGACTCACCCGTCGCCATCTCCACCGCCGGGGTCCCATTCCCAGCTCGCACATCCCAAATCTTCACCCTCCCGTCACGCCCTCCTGTAGCCAAGAGGTGTGACTCGCCCATGGCAAAGCTTCGCAGCGAGGTAACACCGCCATTGTGGGTAGCGTGTGAGATCACTGATCCACGATTGAGATCAGCGGCGTCAAACACGCGCAGCGAATCATCTGAGGAGATAGCGGCGAAGGTCCCTGGCGCCGACGCGACGATCGAGTAGATGTAATTATCCGCCGGCAGGGATAGAGTCGACGAGGCGACTGCTTTGAGAGTATGCATTTTTTTTTAGGATTTTGAATAGCCGCTAGTCCCGCGTGGCTGCCCCTTGATTTGTTTGATATGGAGATATTGATCTCCAGGATTGAGGGGTGATCTCCCTGTGGCTGAAGCGGGGGCGCAGTGATATTTTCAGAATCCCCCGGTAAACGGTGTGTACGGAATATGTTGTATGACTGGTTTTTCTCTCTTTACTTGGTATTGTAGTCCTCCGTGGGTTTCTCGTCAATTGGGTTTTGTGAAGTCGGGAGATGGACCTCAGGAAAATTTCCTGGGACGTGGGGCCGACGTTGCTACCGCGCATTGACGAACCCAGTTACCATGTAAACCATACCTACGGCGTACAACGGTGTGGATAGTTGAGTTCTTCTAGCTCGACGATAGTGGGAACCTTTTAAGTCGGTGAGAATTGGTCTGTTCTGGGTTTCCTATTGGAAGATCGAGAAGGCAAAAAAAAAGGAGAGCGCAGGTTGTACTCCGTACGCTAAGTGCTAGTCTCTACCAGATCTCGTACTCCAGCCTCTCATAGAGCCGAATCCCATGATCTGACCTCAAGAATGATGAGCAGGTCTGCAATAGGGCGATCGTAATCCCTCAATGACGAGTGGGCTGCCATACGCTCCAGAGTCGAAAGATCAGCGCGGCAAGCGCCGGTCAGATCGCGCCCAGGATTTTAGAATATTTTCTTTGCAAAGCATGCTATGTACCATGCAAGGAGTATGGAGTGATGGGACTTGGATTTGCCCGATGCGACATGGTATATACGCCCAGATGCTGTGTGTGCTATATACAGTCTGGAGTACCTAGGTCAATACTGCCAGAGTATTCTGGGAACAAAGAGGATGCGAATTCCAAACCAGGCTACTCCGGAGATCCCCAACAATCGTGTCGGGTGGAGAATCCCTGTTTCGCTGGGTAGAATCATTCACCACGGGGGCGAACCGATGTCCTGGGGAGCCCAATGTTAGTGGAGCATCAATCTGTGGCTTGGAATTATGGGATGAATTGGAGAATGTGGACAGGGGTTTTTCGAATATGTACGGAGTACTCCGTACGTCCAATATGTAGACTCTGTACTCTGTACGGAGAAAGATTCAAGTACCCCGTACTCCGTATCCGAGAAGAAAATGAAATCAAATCAGCACCTGTCAGAATGAGTATAAGTAGCCTTTGGCAGTTGCAGGAGGGATCATCCTGAGTCAGGAGGACCCGAAGCGGCGGTCGTTAGGGTCTATCACAAATAGTTTAGGCGAATCAGAGGGTTGCCAAGGGCCAAGATGCGCCATCCTTGACCCCGTCACAACCACGGACCCGGGAGTCTGGGTTACGGTGAGGGGGGAAGAATAAGAGGCTGCAGGACACAAATTAGAGGTCGCCTTGTCCCCGTTCGGAAAGTAGTGCAGAATGCAGGTTTCATGGTCAGACGATACTTCTCACCAGGAAACCGGGATTTTCTCCCTCACCACCTCCTTTACCACGGTCTTGGGGGAGGGGGGGGGGATGGTAAGTCGATCCTTGGCCCTGGAAATGGCAGGCCCAGACGGACCGCGTCCCGCCCAGCCTAAATAAGCGTGGGTCGGCTTAGGTTCGATCTACGAGGTTTGAGAGTCGGTACCAAACACCGGGGATTGAGTCTCTTGCCTGTTGGGATTGGAAAGAAAGAAATGGAACAGGGAAGAGGTTCGGGAGGAGTAGTCCATACCGGAGTACGAAGTACCCAGGCTTTGATCTCCAGCTGAAAGAAGGCTACAAGGGACATAGGCCCTAATTGGGTTAGTTTCTTTTCCGGCCCAGAGCTCTGGGAAGCCTGTGCAGAGATGCTCGGATTATGCGTTTCATCGTTTCATCGTTTCGTCGTTTCGTCGTTCCGTCCATATTATAGGTGCATATCTCTGTTACAACGCTGGATACAACAGGTATCCCCGTGCTCCGTACTCCGTACTCCGTACAGAGTACATGTATCCATCCAATACACCCGTCCTCCGTACCAGTTAGCGCGGGTACTCGTACTTTCCCACTGTACTTATGCACCTCTGCCCCTACAACTTCGCTTTTCTATATCCTCTCTTTCTCCCTTCTCTCATCCTTGCTCTCTGGATTTCCATTTCCGCTGTTTTACCCGCAACCCCGCTACCCGTGGGCCCGGACCTTCGCAACCTTAACCTCGCCCTTCACCCCTCAGCTTCTCATCTTAAGAAGCCGGGGCTCTGGGCGCATTTCGCATTTTGGATCTCGCAATTCTTCTGGGAGCTGTGAATGTCAAATGAGCTTCGACCGAGGATCACAGGAACCGCTCACCATCTAATCACACTCGCTCGCTTTTCTGCATGCGAGCTCACAGCTATTCGACTCTCTCTTTTCCTGGCATGCTTGGTCGATTCAAAATCATTCTAGAAATTTGGCGCGATCATTAATCGTCGAAATCACCCGCCAGGATGTCTTATAGAGGAATCTCGGGGGCATTTCCAATGCCCGACCGTACATCACTGCCGACAATGTTCTCGAACGGAGACGCTGGGTTGCGACATCTCCCTCCCATAGGTTCTCCACCGCCGCCCAAGCGATACAAGTCCGAGTCAACGCCAGTAAGCGATGCCGGTCACTCTAGATACTACTCGCACTCCGTGGCGCTGAGTGATCGACCTCGATCTCGACAACCGTCTTCGGCTATGGATCTGTACACCCTGATCGATAGAGATCCGGTAGATAAAGACCCTCGCAGGAATGCCCGATTTACCAGCAATGGATCGGTGGCCACGCAAGCCTCCCAGGTGTCAAACACCTCTCAAGCGTCGCGATCATCTCCAATTATAATTTCCGATCGCAAGTACGTCATTGCCCAAATCCGACAGCTTGTCCTGATAACTGACCCTGGTCCTCGTTTTGAACAGGATGCCCGAGAAATACCCGAGTTACAAAGAAAACGGCCGATTGTACCATGGCTATCGGAAGGGGATCTACCCGCTCCCGTGCGATGAGGAGGAGCAAGACCGTCTGGATATTTTCCACAAACTGTTCACAGTTGCGCGGGCGGAGGACGGCTTGATCTATGCACCACACCCTCCAGACGCCAAAATTCTCGATCTGGGTTGTGGAACAGGTATATGGGGTATCGAAGTTGCAAACAAATACCCGAATTCCTGGGTGGTTGGTGTTGACCTGGCACCGATCCAACCCGCCAATTTCCCAAAGAACTGCGACTTCTATGCCCCCTTCGACTTTGAGGCACCGTGGGCCATGGGTGAAGATTCCTGGGATATCATCCACATGCAGATGGGATGTGGTAGCGTCGCGAATTGGCCAAGTCTCTACCGCCGAGTCTTCCAGCACCTGCGGCCGGGTGCTTGGTTTGAGCAGGTTGAAATTGATTTCCGGCCACGCGTTGAGGAAGAACATGGTGAGCCGGGACGTGCTATGGCTAATTGGTACTCGACCTTGAAACATGCAACTGAAGCCACCATGCGGCCTCTAGCCCATAGCTCGACCGACACAATCCGAAACTTGCAAGAAGCGGGCTTTACTGAGATTGATCACCAAATTGTGGGATTGCCTATGAATCCATGGCATCCCGATTCCCACGAGCAAAAAGTTGCACGCTGGTACAATTTGGCCATCTCCGAGAGTGTACAGCCTCTCTGTTTGGCTCCTTTCAGCCGAGTTCTTTCTTGGTCTAAAGAACAGATTGATCGCATTGCATTTGACGTCAAACAAGAGGCTTTCGATAAAAAGATCAAAACGTACAATCTTTTGCACATTTACCAAGCGAGAAAACCCACCGGGGAATAAGCCGATGAATCCTATCAATATCGCGGCTATACTGTATATATTTCAGTATTCAGTGGGGCCTGGCGACCAATGGATAGCTCTCTATCAAGCAAGGAGCTACCCTAGACTGTTGGCTTCACTGCTGAGAGCACACCTGCTTGAACATCAGATTCAAGCAGCTTGGGTACTTGCTCACAGACTTTGGCTGGACCAGAGTGCTGTATTGAATAAGTGTCTGTTGCATGGGGGGCAGCTACTCGCCTTCCCTCAGAGCCACCCGGCTGTATAACACGGCCGTGTTCATGAGCTTTGACTCCAGGTCTATACTTATGAAACCGAGATATTCTCTCCGGAAAAGCATTGGCCCAATAGCTGACAGAACTGCCCATGATTATTTGAAATTCAGACCTTCCTGTGGAGGTTTCAGGCTATGTTGAAGGTTGAATTTGTGGACAGTTGAGATGATATCCATGTGATTTTCTTTTCCTTCTATGCGCCCACGGCCCAGCGACTTCAGTCATGACCTTCTATTCCCTACTCTATTTTATATCCTTTCTTTTCCTTCTCTTTGTCTGCTCTTTTCCACTGCATGCTGGATCTTGCATCTCTTGGCGTTTTGAGCTTTCGGTCGAGGATCTCGAGTCATTTCGGCTTGTGATATATACCCAGATTACCTTCCTGCCGCCTGATGCTTTCTTTTCTTGTTCGGATACCAAGTCAATACCTATTTCTCTTTGCAATTTAACCTTATTCCCCTCCCCTTTTTGATTCTCATCTCATATGTGATTGGGTATTTCACATCTTTTATAATCTGCCGTCCCAACGGTACCCTCCATCGGTTCGATGGATTTGCCAGCCAAATATGGGAAGACCGCACCAGCTAGTCCAATCCCAATGCCACTTACATTTATATATCTGGTATTTTTCAATTGAACTGTCGGTTTTCATATACTGGTATATTATAATTATTCATAGTATCACTTTGATCGACTTCTACCTGAAATATATCTCGGATTTGGTAAAGATATATAGTACCTCGGACTCATTAGATACCCACCCCAAGGTGCCGGTGTATATTATGTACTCATTGAAATCATCCTATTCCACACAAGTAGCCGCTTTGCATAATTGTTGTCATGTATTCATTGATTGCAGGACGGGATGAAATAAAGTCCATGAGCTTTTGCCTCTCAACGCCGAACAATCACCTCCGTCCCGTAAAAGAACGCCACCGTATGCAAGTTATGCTAATACAGCTCTTCGACATCGGACATGTAGAAGGTACAAATAAGGTAAAGAAAACCAGAGAAAAAGACCAATTACCGTCGCCGGTTCCTGGCAGCACCCCTGGAAGCTCCATTAGCTGCAGGCTTCTCCGCATCCCCATTGACGCCTTCTCTTCCAGCCCCAGGCGTCCGGCGTCGCATAGTTCCAGGCCCAACAGCAACAACGTCCTCACTAGAATCGCTATCTTCGACATTCAGCAGGACCGGCAGACAGAACGGTTCAACACCATCTGCGTCGCCATCGCCCTTCACCGACTCAAGCGTTACAGCATCGGGCTCCTCGTCTTCCTGGTCCAGTCGTCGCTGATGCACCTGTTCGGCTGGGTGGACGTCGAACTCATCCTCTGCTTCCATATACTCCACGTTTTCTTCAACCTCGCCGAAATCAGGCGCCAGCGCTGACCATTTCTGCGGCGACACAATAGACCACGTGTAAATGCACCCGGTCTCCAGTCCGCACGCTACAACCATCGGTCGGCTCGGGTGCCATTCCACAACGCCAAGTTCCTCCCGAGGTCCCTCCAGGATCTTAACGAGAGACCCGTGGCTGCGTTCCCACACGTAGATATCCGGGTTCATGAATGTTGTCGCGGTGACGAATTCGCCTGTTGATGAGAACGTCACATGGTTCCAGCTGAGTCTGTTGACGACGTCTTGGAATTTGTGCTCCACTTGGAGTTTTATCGAGGATGGTTCCAGGCCGATGCCCAGTTGGGATAGATCGGGCATTAGTACGGTGCGGATTACGCGGTCGGAGCTGTTGACTAGGAGGTCGCGGCCGTTGCTTGCGAGTCGGAGGAGGATGACTACGCCGTTGCAGAGGCGCATTGAGTGGATTGTTGTGCAGGTTTGCGTTTCGATTATGTTGATCCAGCCTTTCGAGGTGCCGGCGATGATGTGATTGCCGAAGGCTGTGAAAATTGTAACGCAGGTCGAGTGCTTGGCATCTTGTGCTGCTTGTTTGGCGGCTACGGCTGGGTCGACATCTTCGCCGTTGGGTTGTTGGGGTCTGAGGGGGGCGGAGGGGAGTATTCGTTTTATTGGTCTTGGGCTGGAGATGTCGACTAGCACTGGTTGATCCTCGAACAGGGAGGCGACGAAGAGGAGGCTAGATAAAGGGTTTTAGTTTCTATAACATCTGGAGGGTTGATGTGGGCAGTCGTACTGGTTGAAAGGGTGTAGTTCAGCGATGTAGACTGGCGCCTCGAATCGCACTGTGCGGACTCGTGAGCCGTCTTTGAGATCCCATAAGATGCATTTCCAGTCTTGGGAGGAGGTGAGAAGGTAGCGGCCATCGCGAGACCAGCTAGGGGTTATGCAGTCAGCATCTTGATTCTTAATTTAGATTGATATGTTAAATCCGGGGAAATGTACCTCAGAGACTGGATTTGTCGCGTGTGGCCTTGCAGTTTGCGCGCCACGCCATTGGTTTCAATATCGAAGATCACCACGGTGCCATCCACCTAGAATATGTCTTAGCATTTTGGATCGCTATGTTGACAGATATCTTGGTCTGGTAGTGAGGGTGCACGAACTCGTCCGGAGGCAAGGTAGTCGCCTTTGTGATTGAAGCTTAAACATGTCGCATGTCCACTGCCTATATCACATTGTTCAGTCAGATGCGCTCATTGCCAGCAAATACAGGTGACACATACTCAGCTTCTCAGTCAAAGTATCTGGGTATTCCTGGGCCAGGACAAATGGATCCACGAGAGAGAGATTCATTGTGCCAGGCGCATATGGGTGAAAGTGTATGTATGTATTCGAGATGAATCCTCGGCCTTTCAGATAGGCCAGGATAGTGACTGGTGTCCAAGCATCCAGTAAAAGCTCAGGGTATGGTCGAATACCTGAGATAGGTTGCTTTGGACAGTGATAATAATCATTGTTGCTTCTGCCATTGTCAATATCCTTTGAGTCTGGCGGGCTGATAGGGCGGTGAATAAACCCATTTAAAACAAACTTTTATCGATGCCTGATGTTGATGCCTGTGGCGTTCACCGCCTCTGGCTGTCATAGTGAAAGAGTACATTTGATTCTGCCGCGGCTAGCACTTTGGGGAAGGTACCCGCAATTTTGCCAGGGCGGTGAGGATCCGTTTAGACGGCAGCCACTGTGCAGGGAAAACTCAAGCCCCATCACAGCGAGGCTACCTCAGAACATCACCCTTTCACATCTCCGAGACTCCATCCACCCACATCTCCCACGACGTAGGAGCTCGCGTTTTCCATCGCGATACTTCTTCAGGACGCCCTGAATACGCTCTTCTTTGCCGCGCGCATCTTTTCCCTCTCTTTTCTGCCCCGTGACGTCCGGGACCTCTAGGTCGCCGGCGCCCTCGTGGCAAGGGCTGCCAAAGGCCTCAGCCGGCCAGCTGCTTCCACACCACCTTCGTTTCATCGTCGCTACGTGTAAATTGGACTTCTAGCTTGCGAGCGAGTCTGTCACTTCCTTTTTTTTGCGACGTTTACGATCCCAGCTCCCTCTTTTACCCCGGTCCCACGACACGCCTACGTGACCGGTCAACGCCGATTTTATTTCATCCACACTTTTTTCCCACCACAACTTCGCCATCATGTCGAACGTGTTTTTCCCATATTCCAAGGCGCCCCTGCGCACCATTAAGGAAATTCAGTTCGGACTCTTCGCCCCCGAGGAGATTAAGCGCATGAGTGTGGTCCATATTGAATACCCAGAGACATTGGTGAGTCGGATAAGGTTTAGATGTGCAGTCGTGAGCATATTTTCAGACAAGTCTTCCCCTTCTCTTGCGCGAAAAAAGGAAATAAATATTAAATGATGTAATAGGATGACCAGCGTCAACGGCCTCGGACCAAGGGTATCAATGACCCGCGCCTCGGAACAATTGACCGTCAATACAACTGTGAGACTTGTGAGGAGGGACCTAAAGAATGTCCTGGACATTTCGGTCATATTGAACTCGCGTCTCCAGTCTTCCACATCGGTGCGTACAGCGATGTTCCCGTTTCGTCTCATTTTTTCTGCTCATGCTGACTGTTGACCGCACTGAAGGTTTTTTAACTAAAATCAAGAAGCTCTTGGAGACCGTTTGCCACAACTGTGGAAAGATCAAGGCCAACACGGTTAGTCATCCCTACTGGGATGGCAAATCTTGAGTGGTTCACTTTGCTGACATCTGAATACCAGGCCGATTCTAAGTTCATAGAAGCACTCCGTTACCGTGACCCTAAGCGACGCTTCGATGCTATCTGGCGACTCTCCAAGGATGTCTTGGTTTGTGAAGCAGACGCGCCTGCCGATGACGAAGAGTTTTCGAAGGAATCTCAGAAGGGCCGCTCCCACGGCGGCTGTGGTAACGCCCAACCCACCGTCCGAAAGGAAGGAATTGCCCTTGTTGGAACATGGAAGCCCAGCAAGGCTATGATGGAGGACGAGATGGCCCAGCCAGAGAAGAAAGTCATCAGTCCCACAATGGCTTTGAACATTTTCCGCAATATTTCTCACGAAGATACTCGCATCATGGGTCTCAGCAACGATTATGCTCGGCCCGAGTGGATGATTCTCACCGTTCTGCCCGTCCCTCCCCCAACAGTTCGCCCTAGCGTTGTTATGGGAGCTACAAGTGGCGCGCGTGGTGAGGATGATTTAACCTACAAGCTCGCTGAAATTGTCCGCGCAAACCAAAATGTCCAACGCTGTGAGCAGGAAGGAGCACCCGAGCACGTCATTCGCGAATTCGAGTCCCTCCTCCAGTACCACATCGCTACTTACATGGATAACGACATTGCTGGCCAACCTACGGCCATGCAAAAGGGAAACCGCCCTGTCAAGGCTCTCCGTAGTCGTTTGAAGGGTAAGGAGGGTCGTCTGCGTCAAAATTTGATGGGAAAGCGTGTCGACTTCTCCGCTCGTACTGTTATTACTGGTGACCCCAATTTGTCCCTGGATGAAGTCGGTGTTCCCTACTCGACTGCTCGTATTCTCACCTACCCGGAAGTTGTGACACCTTACAATATTGAAAAGCTCCAGAAGTTGGTTGCAAATGGACCCAATATTCATCCCGGTGCACGATACATTGTTCGTGACAACGGTGAACGTATCGATCTTCGTCACGCTAAGCGCGCTGGTGCTCAGCAATTGCTTTATGGCTGGAAGGTCGAGCGCCATCTCGACAATGGTGATTACATTCTGTTCAACCGTCAGCCATCTTTGCACAAGGAATCTATGATGGGTCACCGCGTTCGCGTTATGCCCTTCTCTACTTTCCGCATGAACTTGTCGGTTACCAGTCCTTACAACGCCGATTTCGACGGTGACGAGATGAACTTGCACGTCCCACAGGGTGAGGAGGCTCGCGCTGAGCTTGCCGAACTGACTCTGGTTCCCAAGAACATTGTTTCTCCACAGCGTAACGGTCCTCTGATGGGTATCGTCCAGGATACTTTGGCCGGAATTTATAAGATCTGTCGTCGTGACACGTTCCTCACCAAGGATCAAGTCATGAATCTGATGCTCTGGGTTCCTGACTGGGACGGTGCCATTCCTCCTCCTGCTATCTTGAAGCCTCGCCCTCGTTGGACTGGAAAACAGATGATCAGTATGGCCTTCCCCTCTGGTCTGAACCTTCTGCGTGTCGATAAGGACGGTTCGCCCATGGCCGAGAAGTTCAGTCCTCTTAACGATGGAGGTCTTCTGATCCACGGTGGTCAGCTTATGTACGGCATGCTTTCCAAGAAGACCGTTGGTGCTAGTGGTGGTGGTGTCATCCACACCATCTTCAACGAGTATGGTCCTGATACTTGCGTGAGATTCTTCAGTGGAGCCCAAACCATCGTTGGTTACTGGCTGTTGCACAATGGTTTCAGTATCGGTATCGGTGATACGATTCCCGATCAACAGACCATTAACAAGATTGAGGAGGCTGTCCGGAACCGGAAGCAGGAAGTCGAGGAAATTACTGCCAGTGCCACTGAAAATACCCTGGAGGCCCTTCCTGGTATGAACGTTCGTGAGACCTTCGAGAGTAAGGTATCCCGTGCTCTGAACAATGCTCGTGATGAAGCCGGTGATGCCACCGAGAAGAGTTTGAAGGATTTGAACAATGCTATTCAAATGGCGCGTTCCGGTTCCAAGGGTTCCGCTATCAATATTTCGCAGATGACTGCCCTTGTCGGACAACAGTCCGTGGAAGGCAAGCGTATTCCATTCGGCTTCAAGTACCGTACCTTGCCTCACTTCACCAAGGACGATTACTCTCCCGAATCACGTGGATTCGTTGAGAACTCCTACCTCCGTGGCTTGACTCCTACTGAATTTTTCTTCCACGCTATGGCTGGTCGTGAGGGTCTTATCGATACTGCTGTCAAGACTGCCGAAACCGGTTACATTCAGCGTAAGCTGGTCAAGGCTCTCGAAGAAGTCATGGTTAAATATGATGGCACTGTGCGTAACTCTCTTGGCGATATCATTCAGTTCATCTACGGAGAGGATGGCCTTGACGGTGCTCACATTGAGAACCAGCGTGTGGACCACATTAAGTGCTCTGATGCGAAGCTTATGGAACGGTTCCGTGTTGATGTCATGGACCCCGAGCGTACTCTCGGTCCGGAGGTCTTGGAACAAGCCAATGAAATTGCTGGTGATATTGAAGTGCAGAGATACTTCGACGAAGAATGGGAAGCCATTCTGAAGGACCGCGATTTCCTGCGCACCGTGGTTAAGGAAGATGAGGAGATGATGCAGCTCCCCATCAACATTCAGCGTATCCTTGAAATGGCTCGAACTACTTTCCGCATCCGCGAGGGCACAATCAGTGATTTGCACCCTGCCGAGGTCATCCCCCAAGTCCAGCAGCTCTTGGAACGCTTGGTGATTGTCCGTGGAAACGATCCCATTTCCCAAGAGGCACAGGTCAACGCGACTCTGTTGTTCAAGGCGCAACTGCGCAGTCGCCTGGCATTCCGTCGTCTTGTCACAGACTATTCGCTCAACAAGCTTGCTTTCCAGCATGTACTTGGTGCCATCGAAAGTCGCTTTGCTCGTGCGGCAGCCAATCCTGGTGAGATGGTCGGTGTTCTTGCTGCTCAGTCCATTGGTGAACCTGCTACTCAAATGACCCTGAACACTTTCCACTTTGCTGGTGTGTCATCCAAGAACGTTACGCTTGGTGTCCCACGTCTTAAGGAAATTCTTAACGTTGCAACGAACATCAAGACCCCATCCATGACCGTGTACCAGGAGGGCATGAAGACCCACGACAAGGAGGGTGCCAAACTTCTTCGAAGTCTTGTGGAGCACACCAGTCTTCGCTCTGTCACGGAGTCAACCGAGATCTACTATGATCCCGATATCCAGTCCACCGTCATTGAGGAGGATCGGGATATGGTCGAATCATACTTCATCATCCCCGAGGATAATGCCGATGACGCATCTTCGCAGTCGAAGTGGCTGCTGCGTATTGTGCTCAGTCGTGCTGCTCTCCTTGATAAGGGTCTTACGGTGCAGGACGTTGCTGCTAGGATCAAGGGTCAATACCCTCGTGATATCGCCGTCATTTTCAGTGATAACAACGCTGACGAGCAAGTCATCCGTATTCGCCAAGTTCAAGACTATAAGGACGACGATGATGAGGATGTTGAGTACGATGTCACTCTCAAGAAGCTTGAACAACATCTTCTGGATACTTTGACCCTTCGTGGTGTTCCTGGTGTTGACCGTGCTTTCATTAACGAGAAGAGCAAGGTCCGTGTCATCGAGGATGGTTCGCTCCACACCAGCAAGTCCGATCCTCTTTGCAAGGAATGGGTTCTGGAAACCAGTGGATCTTCTCTCGCTGCCGTTCTTGCGATTCCTGGTGTTGATGCTTCGCGCACATACTCCAACCAGTTTATCGAGATTTTCGAGGTCTTTGGTATTGAGGCTGCCCGTACAGCTGTGCTCCGCGAGTTGACTCTCGTGCTTGCCTTCGATGGTTCTTACGTTAACCACCGTCACTTGGCTCTGCTCGTCGATGTCATGACTGTTCGTGGTTACCTGACTCCTGTCACTCGTCACGGTATCAACCGTGCGGACAACGGTGCTCTCATGCGTTGTTCGTTCGAAGAGACGGTTGAGATTCTGCTCGAGGCTGCTGCTTTCGGAGAACTTGATGACTGCCGTGGTGTGTCGGAGAACTTGATCCTTGGACAGATGGCGCCCGCCGGAACGGGTGAGTTCGACGTCTTCCTCGATCAGACCTTGCTCAACACCGTCGTGTCCAACAATGCACGCTTCAGCCTTATGGGTGCGGTTGGCGCCAAGGATGCCATCCTTTCGGATGGTGCTGCTACCCAGTACGACACTGGTTCTCCCATGGCCAGCTCCCCGTACATGGCTGGTGGCGATCCAGACTCTACGTTCTCGCCGATGCACCAGATTGGCCAGGAGCCTACCGGAGGATTCACCGATTATCAGCCTCCCTCTGCTGGTGCCTTTGGTGGATTCAGCCCCGCGGCTCGCAGCCCCGGTGGCTACTCCCCGACAAGCCCCTTCAATACCAGTCCGACGTCTCCTGGATACTCTCCATCTTCAAGCTACTCTCCTACCTCTCCTGGCATTGGCATGACCAGCCCTCGGATGACATCTCCTGGGTTCTCTCCTTCTAGTCCTTCATTCCAGCCGACATCCCCGGCCTATTCGCCAACCTCGCCTGCGTACGGTCAAGCGTCTCCCACCTCGCCGTCGTACTCTCCAACTTCGCCTGGGTTCTCGCCGACTTCGCCCAACTACAGTCCGACTTCACCCAGCTTCAGCCCGGCCTCGCCTGCATTCAGTCCGACTTCGCCGAGCTACAGTCCCACTAGTCCCGCGATTGGTGGTGGTGCTCGACACCTGTCCCCTACCTCCCCCACATCTCCCAAGTACACGCCCACTTCGCCTGGTTGGTCTCCAACAAGCCCCCAGTCGTACTCGCCGACTTCTCCGAACTTCTCTGGTTCCCCGACGTCGCCTACCTCTCCGGCTTACAGCCCGACGTCCCCGGCGTATAGCCCTACGTCGCCCCGCCAGTAAAGATCGGATGAACATGAGTTGCCTGTCTCAGGCCGGTGCCGTACATCTGTACCATCATCGAACGCAAGTTCAAACAAACAACAAAAATGATCTTACCGCGTTACAAATTCCGGAAATGATTGATAATTTTTTCTTTCACGATATCGGGATTCGCCTCCCATTCACTGTATCTGTTTACTCTTTTTTTTTTAAACCAACACCAACGTGCCTCATTCGGTTTCAGCCGCCAGTGCTTCGAGATTGCTTTGTTTTTCCCATTTCGCAGGCGCACATGATTATTCCCCCCTTGTGAACGCGAAAACCGCACAGGATTCAATCAGAACCGAGGACTTGATCCATGGACGCTGTTTGAATGCAGTGCACCTTTCGATTGCCATTGGGGGATTTGTGGCTCTGCTGAGTCTTTTTTTTTTATTGCATGGAGAGCGCTCTGGGGATGTATTTTGACTGCTTTCCCCGTTCTGTACACACCCTTTTGAGGGGACGAGGAGATTCCAACAATGTTAATGACATTTCCAATTCTTCTCCTGTAATGCGTAGATGAGGTATGCTTGTATTGTATGAGTATGCTGGATTCCTGGAATACCTAATTCTTGTCGACTTGATGCTTCTTGCTGTACGGAGTAGAGGCCCACCGCTTCTATGTTGTACATGTCGGGGCAAATTGAATTTGTGGAAGGCTTTTCTAAGTGAGAATACTCAGTGCCAATATAAAAAGAATGTAAAATGGGATAGCCAAAAGATGTCACATATATGGTCACAAAGGCCATTTGGCAGGCGTAAAATGGATACAAAGTGGTGATTCGCCCTCGGCAAAATGAAGCTCCGTCAAGCCAAGTGGCCCCTACTCTGGAGCTACATCATATCACGATCCCCGTTTCCGTCGCTTTCGTGATTTACATTGCTCTGGGAGTCGCAATGTGCTTCTTATCCCACAGCTTTAACCATACCCCGCAGGCATTATGAGGACGCCGCTATCTCACCTTCTCTCGGCCCTGCGTAAGATCCGCCCGCACCTGCACGACTACGAAGGCTGACACCTTTCCAGTGCTATTACAGACATGCGCAGCTGGGCCTGGTCAACCGCCCACTGACCAAACACAGTTTACGGCACTCGGACATGATGCTGATAACAATGAAATCCCATTCCCAACGGGGCAGCCGGAACCCCGGCCCATGACCCGTGAGTAGAGAGCTTCTGCGCATCCACCTTTTTGCGCTCTCTTAAACGTCGCATGATACTGATCGGATATGTTATTTGATAACAGAACGGGTCGAGAATGCGTGGGATACACTTCGTACAACGAAGAACGCAGTTCTTCAGTCGGAGAAGTCAAGAGGATTACTAGGGACTGCTGTATACTTTGGCCGCCAAACTTTCCGATTGCTGTTCTTGAACAGCCCGAGCACCGAAAAGCCCGAGCGCAAACTGGATCCAAGGCTTGTAGGGGCAGTGCAGGAGCTGAAAGCAGCCGCAGACGAAGACCGTGACCCCGACGCGATGTTCTTGTTGGCAGAAATGAACTTCTATGGCAACTTCTCCTACCCCCGCGACTTCAAGGAGGCCTTCCACTGGTATCATGAACTGGCATGGCTGGATGGAAACCATACAGCACAGAACATGGTTGGATTCATGTATGCGACGGGAATCGGGGGTGCCGTCGAACCCGACCAGGCTAAGGCCCTTATGTACCATGAGTTTGCAGCGGAAGGAGGGAATACTCGTTCTGAGATGACACTTGCATATCGCTATCACACCGGGATCGGAACACCTAAGGACTGCGATCACGCGATCTTCTACTATAAGAAAGTCGCAGATAAGGCGATCGAATACTACCGCTCAGGTCCACCGGGTGGTAATACGATATCTCGGGAATCTTATCGCTGGGCAGATGAAGAGGGTGGTGTCTACGGCCCTGGAGCCAGTGAATCGAGTTCGGGGCTGAATGCTCGGGACTCTGCCAACGCCATCCCCGAGGCTAGCGTGGAAGATATCTTGGAATACTTGGACCTCATGTCCCGGAAGGGTGAACTGAAGGCTACCTACAGCCTTGGAAAGATGAATTTCGATGGCGCCCGAGGCTTACCGCGCAACTTCCGACGTGCTATGAAATATTTCAAGGTTGTTACCAAGAAATACTGGAATAAGGATGGCACCATCAACTCGAACCCCCAGCAGGGCTCGATAAGCTGGCATCCAAAGCCGCAGGACATATTGGTTTGATGTATCTCCGCGGAGAAGGTGTGGAGCAACACTATCCAACCGCCCTCACTTGGTTCCGACGTGGTGTTGCGAATGGGGATGCTCTGTGTCAACATTGGATGGGTCTGGTGTATCTCCATGGCTACGGGGTTCCGAAAGATGGCTTCAAGGCATCTGAGTACTTCAAAGCGGCGGCAGAACAGGACCTTCCGGCGTCAGAGTCACGATTGGGCGCTCTGTTCTTGGACCAAGGAGATGTGGCGACCGCGACTCGTTACTTCGAGCTTGCCGCCCGCTGGGGATGGATGGAGGCATACTATTACCTGGCAGAGATGGCCCACTTCGGCATTGGCAGACAGCGACACTGTGGCGTGGCTGCCGCCTATTATAAAATGGTTGCCGAAAAAGCAGAGATCGTGCACTCGGCCTTCGGCGAGGCAAACGATGCCTACGAGGCCGGTGATAAGGAGGGTGCTCTCATTCCATCCATGATGGCGGCCGAACAGGGCTATGAGAATGCACAGGCAAACGTGGCTTACCTGCTTGATGAGCATCGCTCTGTGCTCTCGCTCAGTTCCATTCTTCCATGGGCGGAGAAAGCTCGGTCCTCTCTGCTGCGTAATGCGGCATTGGCGTTGATTTACTGGACCCGATCGTCGAAGCAAGCCAACATCGACTCCCTGGTTAAGATGGGCGACTACTACTTGTCTGGTACGGGTACGCCCATCGATGCTGAGAAGGCCTCAACCTGTTACCACAATGCCGCCGAAGCGCATCACAGTGCACAGGGCTACTGGAACCTGGGCTGGATGTACGAGAATGGGGTAGCCGTTGAACAGGACTTCCACATGGCTAAGCGATATTATGACTTGGCTCTCGACATTAGCCCTGAAGCGTACCTACCAGTCAAGCTCAGCCTGATCAAGCTTCGGGCCCGGGGATTCTGGAACCGCATCACCAATGGAAATATTAACCCCATCCGCGAGGAGGAAGGTAAGCGGTCTTTTGCCATCCTTGTTAAATTGATTTCTAGTTCTTTGCTTACGTTAGCTCGCAGAACCAAACCCCCGTCGCACATTCAGCGAATGGGTCAATGCCTTTATCGAAAATGACGAGGAGGGCTATTATGATGATCTTTACGATCAACAGCGGGCAGACGATGAAGAGTACCCTGGCTTGGAATCCGACAGCCATGAGGATGGCTACTATGATGATCTCGATCTTGACATTGATGAGGGGATGCTTGAAGGCCTTCTCATTGTCGGACTAGCTGCTACACTGTTGGTGTTGGTTTACTTCCGGCAACAGCAGCAGCGTAATCGCCAGAATGAGCACGCCAATGCCAATGCCAATGGCCAGAATGGGAATGGAAATGCGAACGATCGTGGCTTCTTCCCGCAGCCTGGCGATCCGAACTTTGGGCAGTGGGTGGCTGGAGGAGTTGGTCATTGAGACCATAGTTGTATGCATTTCAGCGTGACGATTTCTGTAGATACAATCAAGCTTATCGATAAGACTTCTTCTCCGCATTCTCCAATTTTTCGAGGTTCCTCTCTCTTTTTCTCTCTCTCTTTGGTAAACCTATCAATTTTCGAAGACTCCATTTAATCGATGCACCATGGACCAACCGTTTAGCAAACGTCGTCGCACTGATGCAGCCACTGCGCTATCAAAGCCATTCAAGTCTCCATTACGCAGGCCTGCGCCCACAACCACTGATGACGTACCATCTACAACTGCCGCACCTAATACCCCCAAAGAGATGCAAGTCCCAGCGAGTACTACCATACCTGTAGAATCTCGCCTGATCTCGGACTCATCCAACCCAACAACAACTCCAGTGCTGCCCAAGCGCAAACGCAGGCTCTACTTCCCAGTCCCAATCGAGCGTCCCGACCCAGAGGTACTGGAACTGGAAAAGCAGCAACGAGGCCTGCAGTCACAAGTTGACTCACTTCGTACCAAGCTCGAAACAGCAACTCAGGCCTTGAATCTCGAGTCCTCGACCAAAGACATCGAACTACAAGCCCTCATCACCAAATGGCGTCTTGTCAGCCAAGAAGCAGCTGATGAGGTGTTTACTGGCGCTAAAGAGAGAGTTTCTCGCATGGGAGGACTGGCGGCTTGGAAAGAGCGCTCGAAGCGCGATGCGACTCGGTGGGACTTTGATGAAGAGGAGCATGAGCGGGAGCATGTTGATGAGGATGAAGGGGAGATTGATTATTCCCATGTAGAAGATGCTATTGATGACCTACAAAACGGGAAGAATCTTACCAAGGAAGAATTGGGGGATGGTCAAGATGAGGTAGGTGCTGTGAGGCTGCTGGGGTTCTGGTTACTGATCTTGCTTAGGAGTTCACGATGGAGTTTATGCTTAAGAGTCTGCATGTTGATCCTAAATTGATTGGATATGATACTGAGGCTCAGAAGTGGATCAAAGGCTGATCTTCGCTGCCGGGTGTTTGACTTGGCGAGGGTTCATTATCTGAGGATGATGAATGTTATGACCAACTATGTGACTATGGGCTCTTATTTACGATTGACGATGCTCCAATGAGATATCTATAACAACATTATACGCTATAGTTCAAAGGAATGCTTATCTTCGCGTCGACCTTCCCCTTCCAGTCGTTAATAAGTGGATAGGGACCAGCTCCGTTATCGCCGATTCCCCGCATTTCCTCCCACTCCATACATCAAAGTACACCAATTGCTGCATGTCGCGCCCTCTGAAGCATAGAGATATAGCCTGCGCTCGCTGTTTCCAACACAAACGGAAATGTGACCATGCGAAACCCTCATGCGGCGAGTGTCGTCGCAAAGGAGCTGAATGCTTGCCCGCTCGGTCTCGGAAATCAGGCGATACCATCACAATCCCGCTGGAGTACTTGAAACAACTTGAAAAGCGAGTTGCGGACCTGGGGCGTCGGTCCAGCACCGCTGAAACGGTGACCGAAACTTGTGACGTCGGTGTGCAGACCGATTTCGAAGACGCAGACCAGTACAATGACCCACGCAACAGTTCGAGGCCCCTGATCGTGGACCAAAATACAAGGAGCGGAATAGATGATCACAATTCTCTTATGCTCTTACCTGGGCTGCAAAATCCGAGTCAAAGATCTCCACGAACACCTTTATCATCCTTCTCGCATGACTCATTTTCGTTATTTCCCGAAACAACCTTCGAATTTCCATGGATGGACATGTCACTTTCAATTCCTCTGACCGGCGACGATTCCCCGTGGCTTAAAGAGCTCTATACAAACGCTTACTTCTCCGTCACTCATCGCGAATGGCCCTTTTTGAACGAAGTAGCTTGGAGATCATGGTATGCCGAACCGATCCTAGATGGACAAGATGAATGGAAGGCCTTCTTTCTGCAGATGGTATATGCCATTGGTGCATTGCTGTGCAATATCATACAGCGGGACTCCTCGCACTCGGTCCGGGCAAAGGAGTTCTATACCTCTGCCATGAGATACTATCCATATGTTGTTGCGCATTCATCCATGGTACTCCAAATTCAAGCTTCGCTGTTTATGATACTCTATGCGATGCATTCCCCCTCTTCCGAGGAAATCACAACAAGCGTTTCTTCTGTGGTACCTTTCTGCACAGCTGCAATGACAGAGATCCGGAAGCATGTGTCGATATGTCGTGACAATGGGTCGATGACTGAATCTGGAGAAGTTTTGTCGGAGAATATGTTCATCACTTGCTACATGCTCAATGAAATCATTGTCTCGGGGTGGGATAGGCCAGTATCAGCTGCTTACAAGGTCATTGACGATGATGTGAGCCATTTCCCACTATATCTTATTCAACTGTCCACAATCACTAATCATGAAACATAGATGTGTACTCTGGGAGATACCCTCCAACCAACACTCAGTACGAACCCTGCTATAAGTCACCTGTTCCGGTTGCGCAAAATTCAAGCCAATATCAGAAGATCGCGAGAAAACCGGTCCCAAAACCCTTCCAGATATGGCAAAAGCTACAGCTCTTTATTCAAGTCCGCTTTGGATAGGTGGCGACAAGAGATTCCAAGTTATGAATCAGATAATGACCAATATGGCTATCTCCATCCTATATGGATGCGAAAGCTGTATGTCTACAGTCTGTTGATTTTGATTGAAGAAAAGCAAGACTTTATAGAGATGGATGGGACGGAAGATATTCTCGCGACAATTGCGGAGGCCTGCCATAACTTCCGGTTGTTGCAGGAAGAAGGACATGTAATGTGTTATACGTGGTCTGCAGTAAGTATCCGGACTCTGTTCTGATTGCGAAGAAGTGAGTCCTTGTGGTTTTTATCAGTGACTGACCACTTTCTACTATCAGCTTGTGTTTCAATTTCGAGCAGGAATCATGATGCTCTACATTGTCTGGGCGACAACACCTATGACCGATATTAGAGATCAACAGCGGATTAGACAGAATACCCAACAAGGCGTTGCCACGTGTGCGGCGAATCTGGCTGGGTTTGTTGACCGGTGGAAAGATGCGATGCCGTACAAGAATGTGCTTGAATTCCTACATCAGAAGATTATGTGGAATACTGGGACGTTTGGCATTGGAAATGGTGCTCCGCTGTTTCTGGAAGATGCAAAGCTGCACTTAGAGCAGTTGAAGAAGAATTATTTGCATCGAGCTGTCCTGGGGATGATTGAAGATATGATGTATGGAGGGAGTATATAGTAGGACTTTTGAAAAGATAACTTGAAGATAATATACACATGGCAGCATTGTAATTTTGAACACGTAGTATATACACGGATGATAGAATGGAGCCATATCTTAACTGATGAAGACACTGGTGAGATTAAAGCAGGATCATCTTTCCTGCTGTTGAGCCGGCTTTTGTATGAGCTGTGATAATCACGATAGTCTGTTTTAAGGCAGGACTGGACCATCTCTCCCAGCTTTGATCACGGTCTGATACGGGATATGAAGCAACGATGGTCCACCTATTCCCCGCTATGATCGGCTGGAAGGGCTGACCGTTAATATAGCATTCCAAAGTCTCCAATTGGGCATCTTTGGGTACGACCGATCCCCGAACCTGAAGCACGAAGTTGGAGCCTCGAGTTCCCTTCACTTGAGCTTCCACCACCAATTCAACAGTCGATCGAGAAGTCCATGATCGAACATGTTTGTCGACTGTGATATGATCAGAGTCAAGAGCGGGCACAAGTGGTGGCTTAACACGACCCTTCATCGCCTCCTCAAAGGCAAAGCCATACTTTAGCAGACTGTTATCATCATACGCCTTACCAGCGAAAGTAAGATTTACCGGAACCCCAGTATCTTCCATGATACCCATGGGCACAGAAATAGTCGGCACACCAAGATGACGAATGGGTCTGTTACCATTCGAGTACTTGACGCCATTACTCCACGCAAAGCGCGAAGCTGTCTCATCGCAGTCCGCGTTAGCAGCTCCGATATCACCGTTAGCCGGAAAGACCACAGCGTCAAGCCCAAGGCCATCCATCCAGTCCTCAAGGGTCTCCTTTCGCGCATTCTCAAGAGCTTGAATTCCCCGTTGAATACCCGGAACGTCAAAGATAGACGCAGCTCTCCGGTGCGGATATTGGACCATCTCGTCCCACCGCAGCGCATTAGCTGCATCAGGCGCGCCCTTTAATGACCCTGGAGCGAGTGGGAAGATAGTAGTTGGGTCAACTTGAGAAAGAGTGTTAAGACCTTCTTGGCCGTTGTTGACTAAGAAATCATCCCAGATGTGCGCGACCAGCTCGCATCGCTCCAGTGCAGACCAGCCTTCTGGGAGCCCTGCGACGGTAACGAGCTGTCCCTTGTCTGTGTTCGATTCGTAGGTTGTCACGAGCGGGAAGTCGGTTTCGATTACTTCCGCGCCGCAGGATTCAAGGACTTTTCTGGCACGCTGCCAGAGCTTGATTACGGAGGGTCGGGTGTTGACTCTGCTAATTGGGGATAGCGAAGAGTCATCACCTCCTATGTACATTGATGGTACCCCGATGCGCTTCCCACGTAATGATGTACCATCTTGTAGTGACAAAAAGACTGCGGTCGGAGTGCATTGACCGAAGGCAAGGATACAAGTTTCTGTTCCTGGTAGAAATCTCCTGTTGGAGTTTTATCCGAAACGGCCAAGACATCGAGAACATGGAACATGTCCGCCATAGTCCTGGTATGTGGTACTAAAACATCACAGGTCAAATAGAGTGGCCAGACACCACGAAGGGGTAGAAGACCCTTGGAAGGCGTGTATGCAACAATGGCATTATTGGATGCCGGCGAGCGACCCGAAGAAACAGTCTCGCTGCCCAGAGAAAAAGCACAGAAGTTGGCAGTCGTCGCGACGGCCGATCCATTCGATGATCCGGACGCGTACGCTGCAGCTAGAAATGCACTGTTATACGGGCTTTCAGCCCGCCCATAGCATCCCCGCTGCATGCCGCCGTACGCCATGGCGGGCATGTTCGTGCGGCCCAGAAGCACGGCGCCGGCCTCGCGGAGTAGTTGGACGCACGCAGCATCTTCGTTGGCGATAAGTGTTTCAAATGCAGGCGATCCGCTCGCAACGATCATGCCCTTGACTTTGATGCTATCTTTTGCTAGGTAGGGGATACCTTCCAATGGACGAGGCGGTAGACCGGCTGCACGCCGGGCATCGGAGGCGGCTGCCTCATCGAGGGCGCAGGGGTTGATGATTGGTATGGCGGATAGTTTTGGACCATTTGCGTCGTAGATGCTGATTCGTCGTAGGTATCTGGAGACCAAGCCCACGCTAGAGAGCGATCCTGAACAAAGAGCGGCTTGGAGCTCGGAAATACTGGCGTCCAACAACGACAAATTCTGGGTTTCTTCCTGAGCCATGTTGATGATTGAGGGTGTGTCTGTCTTATCGCGTTTTGCAATGCGATTGAGAGGCAAATCTGCAGATAGCCTTGTAGCCCATATATGCTTGGCCTCCATACCCCGTAAACGTGGAGACGGCGGACTGTTGTCCGCTAGCGGGATAGCTATCTCTTCCCCCACACTTTGTCGGACTCAAGTCCGCTATCTCCAAACATCCAGAGAGATAATGACACTGCGGTGCTTATCTCCTTGGCAGGCGATAGCTTTGTCGCTGTGTGTTCTTATAATAAGCCCGGCGCGGGGAATCCCTGGCCTCTTTGCAACTTGACCTTACCTACAAACACCGTGGAAAATGGAACACACCAAGGTGGATCACGAATCCACTGTGGAGAAGGATGTTGCACTCGGCGGGACTCACGATATCGGCGTCAACTTGTATCTGGAGGCTGAGCAGCTGACTGCCGAGGAGCTGGAGACTGAGGGCGCCGCATTGTTGAAGATTCTTGACTGGAGGATTATGCCGATGGTCAGTAGTCGCTCTGACGTCTTCATGAAGATCATTCCCTTCTGACTTTGGGTGCTCTAGCTCTACTTGACCTATGTCATTCAATTCCTCGGTATGTGATATCGGGCATTTCCTATAACCATTCTATCCTAACAAACTTGGGATTGCCAGACAAGCTATCGCTCAATTATGCATCGGCATATTCCTTGATTCCGGATCTCGGTCTCGAAGGTCAACGATATTCATGGGTTGCTGCTATTTTCAATTTCGGCTATCTCTTCTGGGCCCTCCCATCCAACCTCTTGATTCAACGACTGCCGATCGCTAAATATATGGGTTGCATGCTCCTGATCTGGAGTGTACTTATCGTAGCTCATGTTGGAGCGAAGAACTACTCAGGAATGCTCGTGTTGAGATTCCTTTTGGGTATGGCTGAAGCCGGAGTCAGTCCCTGCAGTGAGTATTCTATGGCATACAGTCTAAAATGCACGAAAATGACCCTAACATACTTCTCCTTAACTAGTGATGAGCCTCACATCGATGTTCTACAAACGCTCCGAACAGCCCTTGCGCATGGCAGTTTGGCTCAGTGCAAACGGCATGGCCACGATGGTAGGAGCACTACTTGGATTTGGCCTCGGACATTCACACAATACTGCCCTTCGCAGCTGGCAATTAATTTTCTTGACAATCGGACTCCTCAACTTCGCTGCCGGTTGTTTATTCCTCTGGCTCATGCCCGATTCACCTAGCACTGCCCGCTTCCTAACTCACCGACAGCGCGTGGTAGCTGTGCAGCGGGTCGCGGAGAACATGATCGGCGTCAAGACCCGAGAAATCAAACCACGCCAGGCATTGGAAATTCTGTACGATTTTAGGGTTCTCTGCTACGCTGCAATCGGAATCGCATGCGGTGTCATCAACGGCGGCTCCTCGAATTTCGCATCGGCCTTGATTAAAGGCTTTGGCTTCAGCGGAATCTACACTACACTTCTCCAACTTCCGACGGGCGCAATCGAAGCTGTGGTCGTTCCAATCTGCGGTCTCATCGCCACGTACATTAAAGATACCCGGTGTATCATTCTCGGGGTCGTCTGTCTGATCCCCTTTGGCGGTCTTCTGGGTATTCGCTTTACGAGTCTCGACCACCCCTGGACTCTGGTTGGCTGTACCTGGCTGCAGTACCTCGTCGGTGCTCCCGTGATCATATCGTGGAATCTGCTTGCGACGAACGTTGCCGGCCACACGAAACGTGCTGTCGCCAATGGTCTTTGGTTCTCAATGTATGCAGCCGGTAATGTTGCGGGTGCTAATATATTCTTCGCGAACGAAGCCCCGCGCTATTTCTCAGGCCTTCTGGGCTTGCTCATCTGCTATGCGGGTATCATTGTTCTAGCGATTGCAAGCTACGTATCTATGAAATGGGAAAATGCGCGCAGGGATGCTGCATTGACTGCGGAAGATGCTGAAGATGTTCAGGGTGATATCACCTCTCAGGCTATCTTGGATGGTTTCAAGGATATGACCGATATGCAGTCCAAGCACTTTAGATATGCGCTTTGAGTTTGAACTCGGGCTTATGATTATAATATATAAGGCCGTAGCCTTTTTTGCTTTTAGATTTGTAGGATCACTTTGCTCGTACATCTCCAGCTAGAAATAAATACAAACGAGGCAGACTAACCGAAGTACGACTTAATAAGTCTTGATATCGCTAAGTGATCAGCTCTGTTATGCATGTCTCAGATTTGATGCCCGTTCTCGCAGGCATCGACACTAGGGCCTTGCACACACAGCCTTGTCGTTTCAGCCCCCAATGGCCAACAAGTTCCCGGCCTCAGTAACACGAAAAGTTGAATTGAGATTATGTCCATCATGGCAAAGAAACAATCTCCTCCTGCTAGAGGCCGCATTGGGGCAATGAAGAGTCGGTCTGGGTGTACAACCTGCAAGTAAGTCCCACTACTCAAGAGTCAAGGTGTCAAGAATCAAGATCCTGACCATTTCAACAGAATCCGGAAAGTCAAATGCGGAGAGGAAAAGCCCAGTTGTCTCCGATGCACGAGCACTGGGCGCAAATGTGACTACGAGAGTGGTGCGATCTCCACGCCATCCCCCCCGCAGTCTCTAATCCCAACGCTGTCCTCTTCGCCGAATTCGGCAAGGCGAGAGCGTCGCGCATTCGAATATTACTTTCAACATGCGGCGCAGTATCTTTCCGGGGGAATGAATATTGATTTCTGGACTAGTGTTGTCCCGCAGATATGTCGTACTGAACCTGCCGTGTGGGATGCCATCATCACCATAAGCACGTTGTTTGAGTATCCCGATCAATCGTTGGATTTTACCTTCTTGAGGCTCGGACAGAAAAGATCCCACGCGCTCAACCAGACTCAGAAAGACGCATTGGGTTGGTACTCGCGCTCTATCTCTACCATCCACTCTCAAATTGAGCACGGTAGGGCTGATCCCTACGTTGCACTGATCAGCTGTGTGATGTTCATCTGCGTAGAAGCAATCCAGGGACGCGTGGAAGAGGCTTTACAACTCCTTCGACAGGGTTTCACTCTTATTCCGGACCTGCGCATGAAAATCAATCTAGCAGCCGTTTCGGCTACTAAGGCAGCTCTCCTGGAGGATACGATCATCCCTATATTCTTGCGCCTGAATACCATTGCTCTTGCAATATCTGGCACTCAAGCGAGCGATCTTTTTTCGTTCACAGAAGGGAAGGAGAACAAATTTACTTCTCTTGCACCTGCTCGCCAGGGAATTATTACGCTAGCCGCAGAAGGCATGCTCTTCCAACGAGAAGCAGAATTGCATCTCGAAGCTGTGGGCGGGGAGGCGAATGTGAGCCAAGAGTTCCTCATTCGACAAAACGATTTGAAATCTCGACTTGCAAACTGGCTACACGCATATACCGAGCTTTGCACAACTCTTTGCCAGAATCCATCACATCTCGCATATACAGAACCCACTCTGCTCGTGTATCACGCAGCTGCATCGATTTTTGTCGCGTGCAGTCTGACCCAGCACGAAACAATATACGATGCTTATTTGCTCGATTTTAGATGCATCATTGATAATTCTATCCTCGTTCTGAACACGTTGCTCAGACCGAATGGCGCACCGTCGCCCTTCACCTTTGAGATGGGTGTCGGGCTCCCGTTGTACTTGACTGCCACAAAATGTCGCCACCCTATCTTGCGACGAAGAGCATTACAGCTACTGCAACAAGCACCGCCAGTACAGGGGTTTTATAAATGTCCGCCTGGCATTGCCTTAGCAGGGCATCTCATGGCTTTAGAGGAAAGTTACGCCTCCACGCTGGTTCCAATAATGGATCAAAATCATGCCCCCAAGGACGCTGGAGCTATCTGCTCTAGAAATACGTTGCTCTCTAATAACCAAAATGAAGAACCCATACAGCTTTCAACTGTCATCCCCGAAGAGGCTCGCATATACAGGGCCGGTGTCTTCCGACTCCGGGACGGCATCCCGTACGATGTTTCTGAAGAGGATGTTACTAAATGGAATCGCGGTCCAGATCAACTATTTGTGTCAACCCGAAGGCTTCGTCGTAACTCTTTGACTGGCACGTGGGAAACGGTATATGAATGTGCGCCCATGGAATTCTGATTAACGTTTTTGATTTGCTGAGCCGACAGAAAAGTCGGGAGATCTCGTTACTTTGGCATTGCACAGATCTGCCATCCGAGCTCAATCTTAGTTCGGATGAGACTCTTCGGGTGATCGAGCGCTCAATGAACATGTTATCCGGGTTATAGTCAAAAGTTCATTTTGATCCTGGACGCTGCTCGTCTGCAGTTGTCTTGGTCCAGATTCCCCTCAGCGATCAATCCCTTGATCAGGTCCTCAAATCCGGGCGCAAGATGCAACACGTTGGTTCAGTGCAATCAATCTCCAGCGATTATGGTTGTGGTCTTGGCAAATTTGTCGAATCAGTCGAATGAACTCGAAAGAAACACCTCACAGCGAAGCGAAAGACTGTCCAATGCACTCAGAGTGTGTGACACGATACTTCCAAGGACGATGTATTCCAGACAAGGGTCAAACTTCGAGGAATTCATATCAGCATGGCCGCCTAGCAACAACCAAAACCTCATACGGTGTTAATCCGATATCATCTGAAAAGCTCAATTCAGAGAATGGAGATTGACAAAATCGCGGCTCATAATCCGGCCAGTCCACCCGAGGCCCGAGCCAGACAACCAAATCCACATTGCGATCACCATACGTATCAAGGTATTTGGTGATGAGCTTGGGGTCGCGTGGGTAGACAAACATCCACGCCGCAGCCTGTTGGGCAGCAGAGCAAAGGCCCCAACCTCCGCTCACGACGTTCATATCTTCTTCGGCAATGTACCGATTGATAGTTGAGTCCACCTCGACTCCAGCCACTGTGACATCTTTGTCGCAGTGCGAAATTAAAGCCTCCACCAGACCAGATCCGCTGCCGATCGAGATGGTGAATCCCGGTTGCTTTGGGAGGAGCGCGGTGATGTGGGTTATTAAAGTGCTGGAGATACCCAGACAGCAATCTGGGAATCTCTTGGGCGAGGACGCAAGTTGATCTGAAATTTCTGATACGTTCATGTTTATGATTTTTTTTGATCTGAATAAGAAATGGAATACTGCCTTCCCAAGAATCGGAGGATATCTCATTCGGATGCGGATTTACTTAGCCCCCGGGCATCGCCTTCCTGCATAAATATGTTTCGGTTGTTCAAGGTTCTTGAAGCTGGTCAGCGTATGAGGATGCTCGTGTCCAAGCACCTTCTCACATGCTTCTAACGCCAGTCGACGCATCACTTCCGCCTCTTCCTATGTTCCTTGAAGCAGTAAATACCCTCCGCACCTAGTAGAAATAGTGGCGCAGTGGATCATCTTTATGCTCGTCAGATATCGACTTGACCACCTCTTTCGCATGCAGAAGCAGCACTTGGCATTCGATCCAGGTCTCGTACCGTCCATCGGGAAATATCTGTGCCATGATGGCTGGCGACCTTTCTTGCCACCGTGCCAGCTCGAGGTGGATCCCTAGCCATGTCCGGACCGATAACTGTACTAGTGGGTGCATGTCAAATGTCGCTGTTGCAATTTGAACCCGAACAAGAGAATAGCTGATCAACGGCGCCACTGTATCTTCAAACTGAAGCCCATCACTATCGGCGCGGCCGAGGCCTTCTGGGATTCCCATCAGGATCACACGGTTCCCTCAGCAGGCCTATCACCCGAAAGACATGTGGCTTTTTCTGATTAGCCATCGTAATTTGCACTCACACCTGATGGTAGAATAAGAAATCCGATGAGAGCAGACCGTACGTCGTGTATGGATAGATAGAGAACATAGTTCCCACATACTAGAACAGTCTGTCCTACCGTCGAATGGCTATTTTCCTTTAAAAGCTGGTTATAATGATGTCGCCAATTATCCTCTCCTTCGAACAAGGGGTGGAAATATTCAATAGGTTGCATACTGATCTACAGGGTTCTCATTGTAATAGGAAAATCAAATATCATGTGCATTCAAAAAACTTCGTACTAGTATCATAGCAATTGCTGGAGCTCACCAACAAGAATTCATCATTACTGCGCCTATCCTAGGCCTTCTCGATCAACCGGTTGAAGATATTGCCAATCTCCTTGGCGCTCTTCTTCGGGATTCTCTTCTGGCCGTTCTCATAGTCGACAAAGGTAACACCGAAGCGGGTCTCATAGCCCTCAGCCCATTCAAAGTTGCTATGATTAAACATGTTAGTCTCACACTACATCAAAACATCAAAGGGTTGAGGGTCAAACATACTCCAGAAGACTCCAGGCCATGTACGCCCGCACGTTGACACCATCGAGGGTATACGCATCAGCCATAGCACCGATGTAGTCACGGAAATATTGCACGCGGAACTCATCGTCGAGCAATTGTTCGAGGGGCATATCGTTCTCACCCAGAAGACTGGTTCCGTTCTCTGTGACATAGATCTTGGGATAGCCATAGCGCTCGCTGAGCCACTTGAGCAGTTTGCGGAATCCGATAGCAGATGGTCGCAGCCAGGGCGATTGTGTGACAGGCCCGACACTGACGCCGTTCTTGTCTTCGAGCAGAAGCTCCAAGTTGCCCGCGATGTCGTTGAGCTCTGGCTCCCCGGTCTTGGCGCGGATGAAGTTCGCACAGTAGTGGTTCATGCCGTAGAAGTCGTTGCTACCTTGGACCAGAGCGATGTCCTCTGGTGTCCAGGTTGGCAAGCGGTCCCCGAGCTGCTTGATCATACTATCTGGGTATTTGCCGTGGTAGATCGGGTCGGCGAACCATGAGATAGCGAACTCAATCTTGCGGTCACAGGCTTCCACGTCGGCCGGGTTTTCCGGATCCCAGGGTTCAGCCCAGTCGCCTTGATAACATAACCCGATTAGCAAACGCCAAATTTGCTATGTGGAAGCGATTTTAACATACCATTGAGAGTGATGCCAATCTCACCACCGTCTCTTGCTTTGAATTCCTCACGGTAGATCTTCACTGCAGCTCCGTGAGCGACCAACAGACTGTGACCAACAATCCAGGGCTCAGTCGAGCTATCTCCCACTGGGCTTTTGGTGCGATCACTTGTGTGTCCCGGGGCGAAGGAACCATTGTGGTATCCAAGAACACTGCTGCACCAAGGCTCGTTGAAGGTAACCCAGTACTTGACCTTGGATCCGAATGCCTCGAACACCACGCGGGCATAGTGCGCAAAATCAGCCACGAACTCCTCCTTGTTGAGAAGTCCACCATAGCGCTTGTCGAGCGCATCCGGGAGATCCCAATGGTACAGAGTAATCATGGGCGTAATTCCCGCCTCAATCAAGTCATCGACGAACTTCTGGTAGAACTTCAATCCCTTCTCGTTGATGGGATCATTTCGGCCACCGAGAGGAATAATGCGGGACCTATAGTCGGAGCCAAGCCAATGTTAGCAAACAGTGGTTGAGCAATTGAGGCTCAATGTAAGCACCACGAACCATGACAGGGAAAATCGGTATGCGGAAGCACCGCATTCCTTCAGCAAAGCGATATCCTGATGTGTGCGGTGATACGAGTCGCAAGCAACATCTCCAGTCCCCCCACCAGCAATCTTACCGGGAATCTTGCAGAACGTATCCCAGATTGACGGGGCGCGTCCATCTTCATTGGCACCTCCCTCAATCTGGTAGGCGGCTGTCGCGAAGCCCCAGACAAAATCCGAGGGCAAAGTGGACTGTTCGGTGGATCCCATGGTGTGAAATTGAATGTCACAGATGGTCAAAGAAAGAGCCGTCAAAGACCTGTGCCAACCAGATTTGGAATTCGAGCGCACATCGATATTTATGTAGTTTCAACCCTTTTTTTTTGTTGAATCCCCAAATCAAAAATATGAGACAACATTCAGAAGCTTCCTTATCGTGACAGGAACGACCTCCGCGATCCGGAGTAAAGTCCGCGGCACAAACGTCGAGACACTCCACTCGCAACGGCGAATGGGCTCACAGCCAGCGGGTTGGACGGCCCGCGCACCCCAGGGAAACAAAAGAGGTTCTATATTCAAAACTTGTACATGGCATACATGGTGTACATGGAAAAAATCCAAATGCAATACAAAACACCTAATACAGCAATGATCTGTGCGAAAAAAAAAAAAAGATACCGCCAAGAACTCCGGAATATGATGCGTGCCCCATTCGTGTAATTCATGAGATTTCCATTCCTTCATCGTCTGCGTCAACCTCGGACATCTCGTCAGCAGTTGATCCCAGTCGCGGTCGAGAACCTTTGTCTCGGTCTTCCAGGCCATCTGCTCCGAAGTTAACCATCTCCAACTCGGGGCCTGCAATGATGCGACCTTCTGTATCCACTACCTCACAGAGCTGGATCAAACTCTGGTGGCTGAGGGATTTGAAGCCATCTGTCCGCACCACGCGACCCCAATATGTTAGGCAGAACTGTGCGGCTCGGCGCATCAGCCAGTGTTCATTGGTTCGTCCTGCGCGCTCCCAGACAATAGCTGCATTGTCTACATCAAGCTCTCGACTTAGTCGGTTGACGCAGAGCAGGCGAAGTTTTGGCATGTCGTAAAGATTGGCCATCACAAGCATACCGGCCACATCAATAACACTGGAGCAATACTCTGGATGCCCAGCGATACTGTCAGTATACAGGTAGTAAAGAAACGCGCGTACCACAGAGTAAGGTTCGGGGATGTGCATTCGCTTAGTGTGGTACTCTGCCATTTGGGCGGAGTACAGGCGTTTGAAATGTGGCCACCTAAGCTGCAAAATGATTCGATGGATGTGAATAGGCTCCGAGGTCCAGGGGTTCGTTTCCACGAAGGTCGGCTGGGCCTGGGTTGGGGAAACGGGTGGCGTATCACCCATGTCTTCTGATACCGAGCCATCATGGTCATCACGAATAGCAGTGATGACAAAATCAGCACCACTTCCCGACTCAGGGGGTTTGTCAAAAACGGCGGCTAGGTCGGCTCCAAGCCCGGAGACCTGAGAGGGGCCCATTTGATCAGATGGCCAGGGTGCATCTTGCTCCGGAGCTTCTGCCGACAGGCCGTTACCTAACAAGCCATACTTCTCCAGGTCAATGGTTAGGATTTCGCTCATGTGATTCTCGTCGCTTCCCCCTGGTACATTCGCGGCATCAAGACTGCACCCCAAGAGCCACGCTTTAGTCCCCGCATCATTGATGGTACAGTAGTGCCATCGGTAGCCTGGTCGGAATATCTCTTGGCCATCAGCCAGCCGCTGCCAGCGCAGCGAATTGAGTTCTAAAGCTGACAGGTTGCAATCATGCGACCGCACAGTCTCCGACGGCGTAATCAGATCAAGTAGGACACCAGAGGCAAATGAATGAAAATGAGTCCCAGAAAACAGGGAGGGGACATGGGCGCCAGAGTCAAACCGGAGGCATGAAATGGCACCAGGCGCGACTAGCTTGCGTCGACTCAGGTTGCGCACCTGCACACTACCTGAATTTGCGGCGTAGATTCCAGAGCGAGGAGACATTTGATGAGGGCTGCTAGATGCGGAATCTGGAAGATGAGATGTGGAAATATTGCAAGCCAGGGGGTTGACGCTACCTTTGGGAGTAGTGTTTCCGGCCAGCGATGGAGATCCTTTGAGGTCGAGCCACCATATATCGGTCGTTCGTTCCATGTTTGGACCCAACCCACCGAAGATCCAAAGGCGTGTACCCCAAACCCAAGCCGTATGATCGAAGCGAGCGGTAAAGCTCCATGTCCGAGACCATGTCCATGTTTGTAGATCCAAATAGGTCAAGTCGTCCAGGATTACATTCTTGTCTCCCGTGACCCCACCCACACCTGTCACCCCTCCAAGAATAAAAAGCTTGTCTTCATGAATAACGGCAGCATGACGGGCTCTGCCACGCGGGATCGATCCGCGAATCTCAGGGAGTGTCCAGTGGAAAGTATTCAAATCAAGGATGACGACGTCGGAAAGGTACTCGCGATGCTCATTTTCACCTCCGAACACGATCAACTTGTCCCCCTGATATAATGTCGCCGTGTGTCCTGTTGAAAAAAAAGGTTTCCGGTTAGAGTGTTCATCACGAAACATGGACGAATGAGAAGAGAGGATCAATACCCATGCGAACTCCGGGGATATCCCCATAGTTGTCAACGAGCTCCCACCGTAAAGTCTCCAAGTCCAACTTGAGCACGTGATTGTAGACTAGGAGTTATTAGCGACAGTCAAAAGACCATAGGCTAGAGACATTTCAACCTTCATCGGTAAACTGGTCAAATCCTCCGAAGGCATATATGCGATCATTGCGGCAGTACGTCACCGAGGCATTTACCAAACAGGCGGGGACATGACCTTGGGCCTTTTTTATGCTTGGTCGATAGTCCGCACTTGACTGGCGACCGCTGGCCTGGCTGGCTGGCATCAGGTAGGCGTCCTGCATTGCCAGAGAGGGAGTAGGCCGGGATATCGGATCAGAGAGCCTCGAAGATCGCGGCCAGGCAGGGAGAAGTCGGGGTGGGTCTCGGTGGAACTGGGCGAGAGAAACGTGGTGGGGGTTAGAAAGAGGAGATAGATGCGCCATCCCAGTGGCGAAAAGGGGGCTCAAATTGGATCCGCAACTGCACAATCGGTCATGACATTTTTCTCTTTGAGGTGACTAGAATTATGTATTCTGTATAGACTTGGAAGGCTCGCACCTTCTTTGTTCTCGTCCAATTGCATGAGGCAATCGCGATGATACCAATGCCAAGCTGATCATGCCCAAAAGGGGCAAGCGCGGTGTGTCCAGACTAGTCCTAATGCGCGCTAGCGTATCATGTAGCTGAGGTAACCGTTGCTATGGAGAGAGCCTCATACTTTTTTGGTAACGAGTACAGCTTCCTTCTATTTATTCCTGGTTCTCCTGACCCCCCCCCCTTTTCTCTCTTCCTTCATCTGTCAATTAACCTTCTGCTTCTTACTATCCTCAATCGTCTGCATACTTTTCCCTTGGTTGATCACGCATTAACCTCTACATCGATTCGTGTTGCATCTTCTATTGGGGCTGGTCCCGTTGCATTTACATTGACCCTATATCGCTATGGCTTCAGTCACTGCGTCTACTCCGGTGAAGAGCCACCATGGACTCTTCTCATCCAAGACAGCTGGAGGTCGGATGCCTTTGAGCCCTTCGCCCAACCCCCGTGCAAGCGGCAACTCCTCACCCTTCACCCCTCCCCGCCAGTCCGATGGTGGCCGCAGTCAGACCAAGTCAGTATACGGAGGTAATCTCTCTGCCCACTTTGCCAAGTCCATGGCAAAGACAGCTCGTACAACCCACCGTGACTCTCCAAAGTCGAACATTGCTCGAACCCGCAAGTCACCTAAGCACTTGGAGCTCGGAGTCTCAGACTGGACCTTGACCGGTACAAGTGCGACAACAGCCAATACCCCCTCCAAAGAGCACATCCGCCGAGAGATCCCCACACGGTCTCGTACCAGCAAGACTACTGTGCGGATTCCTCACAACGCTGGAGACCGTTTCATCCCCAACCGAACCGCAAGTGAGGGTCTAGCAACCAGTGGGGCCGCAAAGCCGGACGAGAAGCAGCGTCCTAAGAGCGGCGGTGGTGATGGATCATCAGTCCTAGCCTCAGCAGCCAGTGCCTTCGACATTGGCGCCCGTGGTACGGATGACGACCTCACGGCTGCTTTGGAGAACTTGGGTCTGGATGACAATGAGCCCTCTACATATACCCGCCCGGCTCCCGATGCCGTGGCCTACAAATCATCTCTGGCTGAAGCATGTGGGGTGAATATGAACACTCGTATCCTCGCTTTCAAGCCTCCACCCCCGAGTCATCGAAGCCTATCGATCTTCGTGCTCAATATAATCGTCCCCTCCGTTCTGCCAAATCCACATCCGCACAGTTCCGCCGCCGTGTTCAGACTGCCCCAGAGCGTGTCTTGGATGCTCCAGGTCTTTTGGATGACTACTATCTTAATTTGCTCGACTGGAGCTCTGGCAACCAAGTTGCTATTGGTCTTGAGCGGAATGTCTATGTCTGGTCTGCTGAGTCTGGCTCTGTTAACTGCCTGTTGGAAACGTCCCCGGACACATACGTGAGCAGTGTGAAGTGGAGCGGCGATGGTGCTTATGTTGGTGTTGGCTTGGGCACTGGTGAAGTCCAGATTTGGGATGTTGAGGAGGGCTCCAAGCTTCGCAGCATGTATGGCCACGACTCCCGGGTTGGTGTTATGGGCTGGAACAAGCATACTCTATCCACTGGAGCCCGCAGTGGTCTTGTCTTCAATCATGATGTTCGCATCGCCGATCACAAGGTCGCTGAGCTCGTCTCCCACACTTCTGAGGTTTGTGGCCTTGAATGGCGCGCTGATGGCGCTCAACTCGCCACTGGTGGAAACGACAACCTGGTCAACATCTGGGATGCCCGCTCTCTGAGTGCACCAAAGTTTACTAAGACGAACCACCGCGCCGCCGTGAAGGCCCTCAGCTGGTGCCCCTGGCAATCCAACCTTCTCGCCACTGGTGGTGGTTCCTACGATCGTCACATCCACTTCTGGAATACCACCACCGGTGCCCGTACCAACAGCATTGACACTGGCTCCCAAGTTACTTCCCTGCGTTGGAGCAACCACTATCGCGAGATCGTCAGCTCTAGCGGCTTCCCTGATAACTCTCTCAGCATCTGGAGTTACCCAACTCTGGTCCGCAACGTCGAGATCCCTGCTCACGAGACCCGTGTTCTCCACAGTGCCATCAGCCCTGATGGACAGATGCTGGCTACCACTGCTGCTGACGAGAGCTTGAAGTTCTGGAAGATCTTTGAGCGCAAGGCTGGCAGCAGTGCCTCTGCCGCTCGTGAGGGTGGTGTCGGCAGCAAGGCTCAAATGACCAAGTCGATGACCATCCGCTAAGCGGATTTTGCATGTTTTTCTCTCTTCTACGTTCGATACCCGGGTTCATGGTGATCTTCAAAGCATTGATGGGCTGGGACATTAATTTCGGTGTAATGGTTCTTTTCTGGTTCGGATGATTTTGGTGTTTGGATGGTGTTCTCTGTATCTATTTTGCCGTAAGCTGGATGTCCAAATTGTACAAATGCCATTCTTTCGGTTGCTTTAATTCATTTCCCTCGTTTATGAGCGTCTGCATTTGAACCTGATCTAAGAAATTACTTTTCAAGTTTCTGGCTCACAGAAAAAGGTGCCCAGGTGGATTTGGTCGCCGATTACTAAGCTCTCGGGATGCAGTGGGATTTCCACCGCAAAGCCGCAACTTACACCTTCGCCAACCCATCGCAAAACGCAGTTCCTTGCTTCCCTGAGTTTTTCTCTTGCGTCAGTTATCTTTCAGAGCATTTCTTCTCCTATTTGCTTTGTTGTCTGCTACAGACCCACAAGCTGCTTGATATTGCGTCACTCGTGATCTGTGATCGACTAGCACTTCGGCAACTTGATAGTTGCGACGGAACACTTTACATCCTGGCCAAGCTATCCCATCCGATACACTTCACTAGTCATCCTGGTGCTGTGGTTTCTGAGCTCTTCGCATAAACATTCATCCAGCTTATCGGCGTGACATTGCTCGATAATCATGTCTAACCAGCAAGTGGTGAGTCCCAACCTTCTCTCCGTACCGCCCCGTCTCTTCCCTGCAGTTCTTCGCATATTTCATATTCTTTATCTCTGGCTGGTTTCCTCAATTCATTTCCTTGAAACTTTCTTTGATCCCAGGTGGAAGCTGACGCTTATTGATTCATAGGGTGCGGTGTTCGAGAAGGTCATCCAGGAGGTCTGTGATGCCTCCCAGGTCGACTTTGAAGAAAGCGGTGTTGACCAGCAAACTCTGCATGATCTGCGTGAGGTTAGTATCAAGTTCCCTTTTCCTTTCTGTTCTTGTGTCGCAAGTCCGGAGTGGATGATCTTGGGGGTCTCCCAAAAGCGGGGAGGTCCGAGGTGGTGCGGGAGGCGGTGCTTATGGGGGAACACGGGCTTATGAGTCTTCCTTTATATGTGCCGCTATTATCCGCTTAGGCGCTTTTAGACCGCCAAGCTTCTGTCCCATCATACTTGATTATCTCATTCGGGCTGTCTTCACTTGGGTCCCTTTACTAATACAACATCTACAGACCTGGCAACATAAGCTTTCCTCTGTGAATGTCGCCCATTTCCCATGGGATCCCACCCCGCAGCAGCCTACTCCTCAGAATTCTGTTCCCCTCCCCACGGCTACCGTCCCATCCAATGCTCCCCGACCGACCCCCCAGCCCCAATATGTCCATCCGCCTGTGTCAATTCCCCAAGCTGCTCCCTCGCACACCTTGCACATGGGTGGACCTCGCATCAAGACCGAGCCAGGATCCAATGGCCAGTCTGGAATGCCACAAATGACCTCACCTATGCCCCCACATGGACTTAATCCCCAATCAGCTCGCGACCGTGCTGCGAATGCCCTCCACCAAAAGTACGGGGCCGCAGCCGCGAACTCGGTTCACCAAATGCAAGCTCAGGCTCAAGCCGGACACGCATATCCGCAAATGCACCCTAATGCCCACGGACAGATGCCACAGATCAAACAAGAACAGAGCTATCCGCATATGGGTCCCGGACAAACCGACGGTGGAGGCGACCCTTTGACCGACTGGAAGGCGGAGGTCGCTCGCCGCAGAGCAGCTGCCGAGAGTGGAGAGGGTGACCGACTTCTTCGTGAACATCTCAAGCAGCGCATGTCCCAGTATGAGGCCGGTGGTCTCCTTCGTCCCTTGGCTGAACATGAGTCCTCTTCCAAGGTCGCGCGGCGTGCAGCCCTCACCGCGCCTCTCACTCAAAATACCACCACGGAATCAACTTCCTCTGTTCCTCGTATCACTGGCCAGTTCGATGGTGCAGATGGCGATGTCAAGGAAGAAGACGAAGATGCTATTAACTCAGACCTCGATGATCCCGATGACCTCGTCGCTGATGACCACGATGCGGACGAATCGGAGGGTCAGGTCATGCTTTGCACATACGACAAAGTCCAGCGAGTGAAGAACAAGTGGAAGTGCACCTTGAAGGACGGCATCCTGACCACTGGTGGCAAAGAGTAAGCTTTCTCGGCCTATGCTGCTACAAATATACTGACCAATTCTCTTAGATATGTCTTCCACAAGGGTCAAGGCGAGTTTGAATGGTAGTGCACCTGACACCATCACTCCCTATTTCCTAACCCATTCCCCATTGACGACATCTCTTTCCCCGTTCTGTAACATTTTTTTCTCATCATGTGTTTTCTCATGACACGAACGAAAACAAATCTCTACGTCTTTTCAGTCATGCTCTCGAAACGGCTTGTGCAAGCGAAATATTTCTCATGATTTTCACTACCCAAACATCGACCTGGTTAACTACCGGGCCCTTTCTTCGTGTTTTATTTGTCTCTTTTTCCCCCTCTTGATTTTGAGCTTCTAACAGCTCACGGCGCTTACAAGTAAGGATGGTCTGGTTCTTCTTTTTTCCCCCTCAATGGTTCTCTTTGCCCTCCGCCATACTCCCTAGAGTTGGCTCTGTGTTAGATTGAAAGACCGATCTTGCTAGTTCAGACAAAAGGAATGAATATGATTCTGAACAAGTTCCATGAGACTTTGCATTCACTCTAGCCCTTGTCTAAGTGGGTAGACCATCACGACATTCAAAATATCACACATCTACGGGGTACTACAACCCCGATTGATCCTCCAAATCTATCCTCCAAACCCTAGATCTACACAAGCACAAAGATGAAATCAATGATAACGAGTAATTAGCAAAACAAGGAGAAAAAAAGATAAATCACGATAGACATCAAAGCCAAATCGTATCAAAAAAAATCCATATCTACAGAGATCCGACGCCGAGAAACCGCACTTTTAAAGATTTCCGGATCCCAGATCCACTGTCCAATCCCAAGAGATCGAACCAAGAACAAACACCAACTGTGCGTAGAGGGAAGAAAAAGGGCAGCATTCTTAGGTATCTCGAAGCTCCGCAATTCCAATAGACCCAGCCAACAGCTTGTTTTTGGCAACTTTTCCGTGATGTTTGGTTCGTGATACTCGGGATCGGGATGTGGGCGAGCGGCCTGCTCCCGTTGGGAGAAGGTGTATGAGTAGAAATGTTGAACACAGGGCATGGGAGCATAGAACGCATGACTAAATCACAAAGCCAGCCCTTGCAAGAAAGAAGCAAATCCAAACCCAATTGCGGGATGTGGACGGGGGCGTATGAACATATTCCAATTCGACCGATTGGTCTTCCTGAAAACGCGAGGCAAAAGAGGAGGATCACAGAAAAAAAAAGGCAGGCAGGTGCAAGGAGTTTTCTTCTAGACAGCTCTGTGCTGAGAAAGGGTGTTGATCTTGATCTGGATCACTCAAGCATTGCTCTATTACCAGGCCAGAATAGATAGGATCTGGAAATGGCGAGGGATATCGGGGAAATAAAACGATCATGCCAGTAGGATGTTACCAGATAGCAGAACGAAAAAGTCAAAAAAGAGACACATCAGAGACCTCCGGCCAATGAACAAACCAGGGAACAATTTTCAGATGAGAAAACAGCAAAATCAAGAACTCCAAAGTCACCGGACCCAATTTCAAAAAAAAAGAAAGAAAGAAAGAAATCATGACATCGTGTGTGCAGGAGTGCTTTGACCCCCGAAAGCCGTCGAGATCGTTCGCATCAATTAGCTGGGAATTATGTATGGACATCATGACATGTTTGTTCACAGGTTCACATAAGGCCTTCTTCGCCAATTCCGGGGAGACCAGCTCCAGCAACGTTGATGTTCTGCCCCTGCATGACTCCACCCCCGAGGGCTAGGTTGCGACCTCCAAGTTGGAAATCCGGGTTGCAGGGCGGCGAGTGCGATTTGTGGTACTTGAGTCCGTTCAGATTCTTGTAGCGTTTGCCGCACACCTCACAGCGGTAGGGCTTCTCCTTCTCCATGCCGAGAGTACCGGGGTATGGCGCAGATGTTTCTGGGTTGACAATCGAGAAGGTGCCATCGGCGTTGTCATGAAGTTGTTGATTATTATGGCCGTGCTAGAATGAAACAAAGGTTAGAAATATGAGACAAATGCGGGGTGGTTCGAGTCAAACGTACAGCTTTGTGGTATTTAAGTCCGTTCTGGTTCTTGTATGCCTTCTCACAGCCGATAACGGGGCATCTGAACGGCTTGGGTTCTTCGTTGGGAAGAATGATAGTCGTATCAGGAACGCCGGCGAGCAGTTGCTGTTCGCGAATCCGTCGTGCAATATCACTATTCGGACCGTATTGAGCTCCACTGAGCTTAAAGTGAGCATTGGGAGAACCCATGCCACCACTGGGGCTGAACAGTCGCTTGGCTGGCTCATCGATGCAGAGATCGACCATGTCATTATTGTTCCCGTTGAAACGGCCGAACTGGTTCTGGTTCTGACCCATGGTGTTATTCTGCATACTGAGATCACCGAATCCACCCATCATGCTTTCGTCGATTTCGGCCGGGGTCCCTGGTCCGGATGAGTCGGGCGTGTTTCGGAATTGCGAATTTTGGAGCGGGTTCGCCATCAAAGTTGGGGTGTTGACGGACGAGACAGTCGGATTGTTCTGCAAGGAAAGAGGCCGCCCAGATCCGATCGGTGTACCAGGTTGCGAAGGTGTGCTGAATCCTTGATGGCTTGGAAGCATACCCAAATTTAACTGCGGCTGGTTGGAGTTACCATAACCACCCTGTCCACCGTCATGCAGCTGAGAGGTAAACATCTGGGAGCTGGAACCGTCTGCATCTCCCAAGGCGTCGTCCATCTCCATGTCATCGATTGTGTCTAGATCTGCATGCTGTAATGGCGATGGGTTCTGGCCCAATTTGCGCTGCATGTCCAGGGTCCGGTCGGGCTGCAGGCCACGTCCTTGGCTGCCATGCTGTTGGTTCTGTTGCTGTGCAATTGCGGCAGCGGCCAAGGCAGCTCGATTTTCACCCTGGCTCGGCCGGTGGCCTTGATTGGGCGACTTGGTGGCATGGGCTTCTTCGTAGTGTTGTAATAGGTCATGGAGCGTCGGTAACGTCACACCGCAGCACGAAAAGTCTCGCATAAAATTCGCTTCCAGCTTCGGGAGATACGATGAGGAATGGAAAGATGGTGACTGGAAGGTGAATGGCGAGGTGCCAGTCATTATGATACTGCGGAAATTTTTCCCTTGGTCAGCTCTCGATGCAGTGCGACAATAGCAACACACGGTGGGCAGTTTCCCCGCGCGGCTTCCGACTCCAGGGAGGCTACTCACTCATCACGAATCCAACTACCAACGGAGACACCACCCCAACTCATACCACCCACCAAGCTCCCTGCAAGCGACTCACGACGACCTTTGTCGCGAGCAGATCCCGTCATGGAGATGGGTTTCGTCCCATTGCCCCATTGTGCTGTGGCTGCACCAATCGAGTCCTTACGAGGTGGTGGTGCCTTGAACACCCCGAGTCCTCCTCCGGGTAGATGTGAAAAGCTCCCTGTACGCTCGCCATTGCCCGCTCTTTGCAACGCGGATGTCAGGTTGGATGCCTGTTGACCCGGCGGCGACACCGAGGTCGTCTGTCGAGTGGAAATATCAATAGGAGAGGCGCCGGTCATCGTGACGAGCTGCTAGTATCGAAATTCGGGTGTCAAAATTCAGTATGATGGAATTCAAAGTCGACGTTTGACAAATCGATATCCTAGTTCCCTGTCCGGTCTTGCGCGATGTCACGCCAAACCCGAGGGGCTTATGGATGACAGGGTTTCTTTGAATCCCGCGTTATGGCGCAAATCTCACACAGAGAGAGTCCGAGTACAACAAGAATGCGACTTGAAGACAGTCAGTGCCCCTCGATGAGTGGACTTTTGAGTGGATGGGCGGTTTTTGGGCGGGTTCACACGTAGGAGTCCACCCTCGGATGATGTCCCGCTTTGGCAGAAAGTTGTCGAGTCACTTGAGGGCGTGTAGCTTTTATTTTTTCTAATTTTTTGGTGCTCTGGAGGATGGAGGGGATACCGATGAGGGAGGATAATATTGCAATCAAAGAGTGATAAGAGAAATAGCAGGGGCCAGGGCTCATGAAGACGGGGTATGAGATGGCAAGGCTTCCGGTTTGGGACAGGCGCCGTACGGTATTTACCCACGTGATTAATTTCCTAGCGGATCTTGGCCCCGAGCTGACCCCGAACGAGGATATTTCACTAGTCGAACAGTATTGGAATTGGCCGAATCTCGTAGATCTTACACTATCCCGGTCCCATCGTGGTGAAAACATATCCAAGCTACTGGAAGCGCGGGCAGTAGGTAGTATAAGAAGGCGAGTTAAGCATGCCTGTACACCGCTTGCAGCGGACGTCATGATCGGTAATGTAAATTACCTGAAACGGCTAGTGTATTGTATCTTATGACTAATGGGCCTCATTGGCCTACTCGACCCGAGTCGATGATGGTGATATATTGGATTGCGGGCCAACGGAATAATAGCACCTGCTGTCATGAGCGAGGATCTGACTGCTGTTATCCTATGTCAACGAGCGAAACTCGAATGGATACCTCTCCGATGGGGTTAATTCATTAATATGAGCGTCTCCCGACCACTGCAGTGGAGCAGCTAGCAACACGCTGGCCTGCCAATATCGGGCTTTTCGTCCATGGTTCGTCGCTGAAGAAAGAGACTCCACCTTGTACAAATAGTCGGGTCTTAGACATTGTGTTCTGGTGAAGTACAATGTCGTAGATCTACAACATACGAGATATCAAAGTAAAATAGAGGGAAGATTGAGATGCTGAAGAAACTCAATTCATGTGTTAAATCCGGGGTCATCTGCAAGGGGAGATCTCAGATAAGAGATCTGGGTGGCGGATTTGCCTTGGGAATGATACACCACCGTCATCATATAGCTCTAAGGCGACAGATGTCAATATTCGAGAGGCCAGTGCCAATGCTAGCGCAAAAGCATTACTCTGGTGCACGATGTATCTCACTTGTAATATTCTGTATCGGAGGATCCTCCTATTGCTAGATCTCGTCAATGGCAATCCGCTGGCACATCCCACTGATCAGCAAATCGCGAGTCCCAAAAAAAAGTGGCGATTCTCAAGTTTCAGTCGGAACACAACGGGTCTTGGCTTTGGCGCTAGAAAGGCGGCAGAAGCAATTGGGCAGCCTTCCATCTGTTAGCGCCACGCCTTAAGAAGTACACCGCCCATGTTTCAGTCTCTCTGGTCAGAGTGGATTGGTACTTTTTTTGGATGGATACACCGGGAAACCCTTCTTATATATTACCGCTATGGTAGATAACAGCGGTAGTCCCAGTACACTCTACTGTGGAAAATGCGCATAATCCGGCAACAGTAAACTCCCGAGGTTCGGAGTCCGTCCATTGCCCGTTGGAAAGAACAGGGAAAAGGTATAAGCCAAAGGGTCTGGCTGGTTCCAACCAAAATTAGTGAGAGTCTGGTCGGTACCTCGATGCTTGTTCCGGCGTTTCGGTTTTATTTCGGATCCCCGCCCTAACTTCGGATATATACGCTGTGCGAGCTATATTATACGCAGTACTCCGTATGGAGTACGGAGTACTAGGATATACTTTGTACATAGCAAAATATTGCCACCCGGCGTATTAAGCGACATTACCTACCTAGATTCTGCTAATTATGGAACTGGAGCGGATCATACTAGCTACATACTCCCCATGACTTCACACGAGTCTACCATCCTGTTTACCTTGCCATCGAGATAGGTATTACGAGTACTTCACAGCATGTATGTAGCCCATCTGATACAATCTATTCAACAAAGACATTGTCTTCAAAGTTATTGTTCTCTTTACACTTAGTGTATTTATTGTGTTTGATACATTGATGTACGCTACAGTTTATACCTATGCAGCCAAGCTTAAACGGGCATCATGCTATGCCAATGGCGCCTCGTTCATGCTGTAGAAGGTTGTATTGTATGATGTGTCTTACACTTTGAACGCAGGTGTAACAGCCTCGTCTTGATCGATTACCTATTACGCAATCAGGAGAACAATAACCCGTTTTCCAGCCAGGATCAAGTATGCTCTCCACTGGCCAGATCCCATTCGATAGGCTTGGAGGTTCTCACAGGCTGACACCCGAACTGTGCCAGGGATTATAACATCCCGCTATCACCACTCTGAAGTCACGATTACAACGTTGCACATTTTGCCTAGATAGTTGTTAGATCTGTAGTTAGGTTCGCCTATGTGATAAATATAGCCACTTCCGCTTGGGAGCAGCGCCCCCACAGGTCGAGACATGCGGGGAATGCGGGTTTTCCCGTCAGACGCAGCGCCTATTCGGTCGTCACACGATGTGTATCTAGATAAACGATTGTAGCGATGGCTATTAGTGAGAGAGTCCTGAAACAAACCCGCCTTAGTTGGTGTCCTGAAGGACCACCATGTTATATTTCTAAAAAGGTGGCTCGGTCGACAGCAGGTATGACTAGACTATAGACACTTTGGACGAATCGCTCCCAATGTCAATCTCGCAGAACCATGGGTCAAGCAAAATCTTCGCAGGTGAGGGTCTCTTCGTCGCGTCTGCGAGGCTTAAACTCCGACGGCTCTTCAACCTTATTGTTCACACTCGGACCCATGGCCTCAAATACCAGACACTTGTGGACACCACTGGGGCCGTGGTGTTCAAACTCGCCTAGCAGCCGCGAGGCCTCTTCTCCTGGCGCGAATTTGGCGATATGGCGTAAGGTTCGTAGCTCGGTTGTCGATCTCGGGATTCCTGACACAAGGATCTTCAGGGCGACATATCTGCTGTTTCTTTAAGAAAATAAGCCACGATAATCTACAGCGTTAGGGGCAGGCAACATAATAACTTCACTCACTTCAGGTCCCGGGCGAGCCAAACCGTGGAGTAGCAGCCTTCGCCGAGCTTTCGGATGACCTTGTACCGGCCGTTGTTGAAGATGTCGCCGAGGACGACGGGATGTTAACCACCTGGACGATAATCATCCACCCACTCACAAGGTGATGTGATAGTTCTGGGCCTCCACTCGTCATATTCCAGGAGTGGGAGGAGGCGAGATACTCATGGCTGTAATGGAGTGTGTTACCTGAGAGTTGCCAAGTGGGATGCTTTTGGAGATGCAGGATTATGATTACAGCTCAAAGACTCCAAGAGAAATTGAATACATGTAAATAACCGCTAAAGTTGGAAATTGCAAAAATCCCAACTAATGAGGACCGAGTAGAAACACGGAACTGATTCTCCCTGAAACCCCTACCGAGTAAGTAGACTGATCACGGATAGCTAGCGCATTCCAATAGATGCTCTGCCATTAGAATGATCCTAAGAGGTTGTCTGATACTGTATTTGCCAAAGCAAGCATGGTAGGTGAACCGTTAGTCGTGGCTGGCAACACCAAGTTCCTAGTATAAACTCGACGCCCATGTACAGCATATATTGGAGGCTATCTCCCAGTCTTTCTATTTATTAGATGCAGGTACTATAGTGGCTTGAGGAAATACTATTTCCCTAAAGAGATATGCAATGTCAGGAAACGTGAGAGGTCTATCTGAGTTCACTCTTTTATTGGTGTTGAAATATGAAAGGAACCATCTAGTTCGACGGATTTCCATCCTCCATGTACAAACCTAAAATCAACCGTTTCTTCATTCCATCAAGAGGGCTTTCAGCACCTCGGCAGGTGTACGCTTAGGTGCAGCAAGTTCCAACACTTGCTTGCTTGTTGTAGAAGCGGCGCATTTTCCTTCCCATCCAGTCTTCAAGGCATGTTTGACAGACAAGATCACGTTCTTTGATTGGTAAGTTGCCGCATAAACATTATCATAAAGCAGATCCACGAATGACACATCTTCATAGTGGACCTCCTGAACTGCCGTGCCAATGTGCTGCTCAACCATATCGACTGTCTGTTTCCCAGTGATGTCCTCTGGTCCATTCAGAACATATTTGGCCTTGTTGTGTACAGTAGGATCTTCTTGAGACAAGAGATGGGCTGCAACGACTCCAACATCATAGGGGTCGATGATGCCGACGGGTGCATCCTTCGAAGCCATCAATTGAAGGACAATCTGCTTGCCAGTGTTGCGGTATTGTTTGATCAATTCTGCAGCGGTGGAGAGGTAAAACTGCGAGAAGACATTGGGCTGTAGCGAAGTCCACTGCAAGTTGGTGAATTCAGGCGAGCTAAGAAGAGCCTCGATCGCCCAATGTGTACGTGGATAGTACGCATTGCAGTCCGGTCGTACGTTGGCGGCAGTAGTCGAGATCCGCACAACATATTTGACCCCGGCATTGAGTGCAGCGACATGAAAGGAAGATTCTTCTGCGAATTGATTTGGCTCGTTATGCGATGCGATGAAGCATCTGGCAACTTGATGTTCACGAAGCCAGTCAGAATCAATTTCCACCCAATTTTGCTCGATCACTTCGACTCCAGCAATCTTGGCAAGTTGCTGTGCCATCGGGCCCTTTGAAGAACGGGTAAGAGCAATAATCCTGTACTCAGACAAAATTTTGCTGGCCTGAAGCAACTTGGGCAGGGTTTCAACGACGCTTCGGCCAGTGTTGCCTGTGGCACCAATGATGAGAATACTAGGATTCATGACGTTGGGATGTAGTGATGTCTCTTTCAGATGGTATGAAAAGATGGCTTGAAACTTTCGCAATCTCGAGACTTGGGGTACTTCTCGTCAACTTATAGTTTGTGCTGTCTTGATGATTAAGGATTTGGCAGCCTTCCGCGGTAGCGTATTGCTCATCCGCATCCATTGTTAGATAGTAATTAGTAATGAATTGGAAGCTTACTATATTTTGACAATGAAGTAGTCCGACCGGGGAAATATCTGTATTCCCTGAGTGGGAGACCGGTGGGAGGTGCCGATGGGAGGCCGGTGGGAGGCCGGTGGGAGGCCGGTGGGAGACCGGAGGCTCCACGTGGGCGGCGGGGGCGCCGGGAAGAGCGCTTAGATAATAATCGTTTTCGTCCCCAGGGCTACCTACATACCTTAGGTAGTTACCTACCTACAACATACCCAGGTGGTGGGGGATACCTTGGAAAGCAAGATATTTCCGTCTGAGTTCAGACTGGTCGTTTCTCTCATTTCTTCTTGGAACTTATCCCACAGAACCACTGGTCTCATCGTTACAGCTTAGCTTCGGGATCCCATGCCGCCCCTAGACAATCAAGCAAACATCCCACAAGACTTCCCGGCCCACAGTCACCAACAATTCAGATGCCAATTTCCTGGCTGCAATGCCAGCTATCGACGCAAGGAGCATGTTCGACGGCATGAATTGAAACATTTTCCGCGCCAGGCTTTTCCGTGTTCCAGTTGTGGTCGTGAATTCGGACGAAGGTACTGGGTTACTTTCCTATAGTCACAATGACATCCACTCTGATCATAGAATGTTATTATCAGTGATACACTTCGGCGCCATGTTCAAAAGCATCACAAGAGAATTGATCCTCTAAACCGTGCGCAACGAGCATGTGAAAACTGTCACAAAAGGAAGTCCCGATGTGAAGGAGGTGTACCCTGTGATGAGTGTTTACGTCGCAAGATTCAATGTTCCTTCCGTGACCATGATAGTACGACAGAAGGAAATTTTCCCGAATCCCCAGCAAACCAAGTTTCAGGACTGGTGCATGAGCCGTCACAGATGCATAATTTGGGGAAGCGAGAACAGTGTATCAATCTCTATTTTGAGAAATTTCACCCCCAATGGCCTTTTATCCATAAAGGGTCATTCGACATGCGCCAAGAGACACCATTACTTGTTCAATCAATGATTGTTATAGGCCTGTGGGCTCGAGGAGACCAGCCTGCACAGTCGGCAGCGGTGGAGCTTCACGGTAAACTTGATTCAGCTATTCAGGATCAAAGGGTTTGGGATCCCTATTTGAACCCCTTCCCCCCAACATGCCGGCTTTGCTGATATGTAATCTATAGGAGAAATGGGATGTTCCGGAAGGATTCGATGATTGCAGTGCCTGTTCCTTGCCAATCGCCACGTACCAGGCTATCCTATTACATATCATATTTTCCTGTATACTCAGGAGCCGGGATACTATGGGGTTTGACCTAAAAATACGTCTGTCCACTGGTGATTTTAGTCTACTCGAAGCACTTGTCAGGAGCTGTCGGAAGCTGGGCATGTTCTGTTATCCTAAGATACTCGCCCGGTACAAAGAAACCGACCTGGAGCCTTTTGTCTGGGTGAGTATTGAAGAGATCAAGTGGTTTAATGTAGCTTTATACAAGATTTGTGGGAAGTCAAGCAGATCTAGTGAAGGAGAAGGCAGGTATGATACCGACGCAGTAATACCTTTGTTAAACGCAAGAGAACTTCAATTTCCCCTGCCAAAAAACTGCCCCCTGTGGAATGCAGTTAACAAGGAGGAGTGGATATCTCTTGGGAAAGACGAAGATATAGTTTGCATGAACGATCACGTCCAGGAGGACTGGATATCTAATTCTGCGGGTTTATTGCGGTTTTTAGAGGTATAGCATCAATATTATCTTGACTTGGAATGCATAAACAGCAGTCTCGTCAGCATTGACCTTTAGCTTGGAATATGGGACTACTGAAGTACAACTACATATAACGATATCTCAAAGGTAATATGGGGCATCCTAAAAACCAAGCTTCCCCAACAGCTCATTGCCAAGAACGTCAAGCATCAACGACTTTAACTCAGGTTGACCGGAATCTAACCTGAGTACGGAGCATTTCAGACCATCTGCAAGCTCCTGCATGTTCAACCATGTATTGGCTGCACCTAGTTTCATCGATCACCTGAGACATCATTAACGACTAGATTTGCGTAGTATCGTAAACAGATCGCCATTTTGAGGGGAATTAGGCACTGTGCTATATTCCATGGGATACCCTAGTAATTCTTGAGGCCGTGAAGTTATACAGATAAGAAGGATAGATGTTGGAACTCCGTGCGGAGGACTCAGGGGGTTGATAGACATGGAAGGGCACAGAAATCCCGGAGGAATGGGGGTTTCGTGTAAGATATAATTTAATAGGTTACGCAATTGTCTAATAATAACATGGGAGGTAGCTACGGAGTACGGAGAACGGAGCAGATAGCTCGGAATCCGAAGATTAAGTTAGGTTAATATCCTTTTTACCGAGTCGAGGTCACATGGTCCTATTGGACACCAGCAGTTTAGAGTAATAAAAGAAGCACTATCGACGCCGAAAGGTAAATAGTGCCTGTCACAGCCCCAGATCTTCACCAGAGAAACGTGCTGAAAAGAAAATAATGGGGACCCCATGAGGGGAAAGGGGCGGAATGAGGAGACGGTCTCACGGGACACAAAAAGGAGAACAGTCAGCTGATGAATATGAGGTGGATCATCAATGATGTGATATGGGGGCCAATCTAGTCCCTGAAACACGCAACGTGCAAGGAGAGAATTCAGAAAAAGGAGGGAACGTCACTGGGAACAGATAAGAAGTCGCAGTGGGATTGGCAACAGGGGACTGGGCAACATTGGCAATTCCCAAAAAGAGTGCTGGAGTATCCCGTACGGAGTACGGGGTACAATGAGCACGGTTGCCTACAAGGCCGTGGGACATGATCTGTGATCAACGGCAATCCCTGCCCTCCAGGCCAAGACGGGAGCATCAGATTGCACAAGGCTTGGCGGAAAATCATCATCTTGGCAGCCCTTGGCAGGCATTCAGCGCCCTCCCTCGCGTCCGGCGGGGTTGGCATTCCTCTACTTATCAGTTCAGAGGGGCTGTGTAATCTGCAAAAATCTGCCTCGGTGGTGGCAGAAGTGAGTGGAAAGGGATTATGCAGATAGTTTGAAATACGGTGCATTGATAGCTAGCTTGCCTAATGGGGCAATATGTCTGCTTCTCAGAAGCGAAACTGATAACAATTTAGACAAATGTTGAATGGAAAAGCGTATGGTAATCTGAAAGCGCCAGCAAAACACCCCTGTTGTTTCCCCCTCTTTTTCCCTGCTTTTTTCCCGCCTTGTTGCCACAATGGGTTGGTCCCGAAGCCTCCGAATTGAAGTCCCAAAATTGACTTGAATCTTGCAAATAAAAAAAACATAAAATAAGACAGATGATGGGCTTAGAAGTGCATAGATCGCTGTGATGATGATATGTCGTTGAATAGGAGTTAAAAAGAATGTTCAAGTGCCGAGGCGCTTAGTTCTTCTTCTTCTTGCCGTGACCGAGGTAGAGGAAACCATTGGGGAGATCGACGGTCAGATCATTGAGAGAGTCCGAAGAGTCGGTCGAGGAAGAGCTATTGGTACGGGAACGACTGGCAGGAGCTAACTCGAGGCTATCTTCGGACGAAGGGGTCTCAACCACAGCTTCCTCCCAGATGCGGGGGTCCGGGCCCGATTCGATGGGTGACAAGACGAGGAACTGGTTGGCAGGGTTGTAGGGACCAGTCTCGGTGGCAGAGAGGATCAAGAAACGGTGGGTGGGAGTGTAAGAGTACATTTTGGAGGGGCGTTTGAAGATTTTTTTTTGTGTGAGAAGCACTTCGGCTAAAGGCGGGAGGGGAGATTGGGAGTATTGAGGGGAGATTGGGGTTGATTGCTTTGGATCGAAGTAAGACACATCCGGGAGATTCGACCTCACTTATATAGTCCGAACTAAGATAAGCCAAGAGGGGCCTTTGAGAATGAGGGGCATGTCGGCATCAATGATGGGCCCGAATCACGCCGATCCAGAGTATCCAGCACATCATATCTGGACCGGGGTGAAGTGGATATGCAGTCATACACAAGCCACTCCCCGCGGTTATCGCTCATAGAACCACTAAAGGGGTCATTGGACAATTCCAAACATAGAGAGCTTCACATGTCTTGGCCTCAAAAAAAGGGGGGGTCAAAGCCAAGAGTTCACTATTGACAGACTATCAGCCATTTTTGTTTTGTTTTTTCTCTCGAATGCTTCAAATTCGCCTCTCTTGGCTGTGGCATGCTAGTTGCACCAAAGTCTGGGCAGGTGACACTCATTCCCATCAGCTATGGCAAATATGTTGACTTGGCAATTTAAGTCCTGTTTCATTGCGCAGTAATGCTTCGCCTAGAAAGACCCGTCGCCAGCCGAAACTCAAGGACCTCGGAAGATCAACGGCCAGGATGAGGGGCCCGGATCCGACGAAATCTCATCTCTATCACAGGTTCTCGTATGCATCCATGCATCCACACCTATGCAGTACATGTGTTAATAATGGTTTCGGGTGAGAAAGCCTTAGAAGTTCCGAAATGTTTCGTTCATGTTTATCTGCACCAATCAACCTGGCCGCTGCATGGCCGCTAGGACCATCGGTTATGCTGGGGTAAGTGATCTCCCCGGCTTTTCTCTCAGGGACCCGAGACGTGCGCATTTGACTGCTCTTTACAGGTAAAAATACACGAAAATGACATCATTTTCGCGATTTTCCCCAGAATCGAGAATCAAAAATCGAGATCCTAATAACCGAAGTTGCCTAGACTCGGGTAGTTTCTCTCCGATGGCCAAGCATGTGCGAGATAAACAAATTAAATCGGTTTCAACTGGTCTAGATGACTTGGAAACAAAATTAGAAGTGAAGATTAAAATTGTCACTCGAGTAAGGTTCCAAGGTTCCCAAGAGATTAATTAACCTTACAACTGAACCTTGGAACCCTCGTCACGTGGTACAGTGTTCATGCACAAAAAGATGTCAATAATAATCTACTCCGTACAACTTGGGCTTTAGTGGATTTTTCATTCACTCGTAGCACATTAAGGAACCAACGGCGCCAAATCTGCTGGCTCAGCCGGCCAGTCTCGACCTGTCGAGTCGCTGTGCCTTGCCGCCCCGAGCCCTCACGCGTCTCTACTCGCCCGGAGTTAATCTTCCGTAGGCCGGCGGCTCAGCAAAGGGGAGAGCGGCGAGCCTCAGTCAACACCAGAGTCATGGCAAAAAAAAGAACCTGGCCCTTATCACCAGTCATTTATTCCTTAGAAATAATTCATAGGCCAGCATTGACTTCTCTCTACTCTGGACTCCACTGCATGATTGCGCTAGATAGACAACGAATGCCCCTTGGCTCATATCACACACAGCCAACTGTGATCATAATATTTCACAGCACATTTGGGATTCCTTGGCTTCAGAGTGCATCTAATTGTTGTTTCGGCTGATCTCAATCTTGGAGCAAAGAAAATGCCTTGTCGCCATGCAGTTTCTGTCATTTTGACCTCGCATGATTTGCATCTATCACCAACTGCGCCATGGAAGTGAGCCTTATTCGTTTATGCTCCTCAGTCGAGACCCATTACAATGAAGTCATCTCCTTCCATATCGAGGCTCAGATGGGATGACCTGGTGGATATGTGCTTGGAAAACCGCGCCCTTTGACATTCAGTTGGTTCCTGGTTCCACTTTCTGTGGTATGTCCATCTAGGCTTGCGGTTCTGGCAACATTATGCATATCTGAAGCCAAGGCTTTTCTTATGCCATGCGGGAACTTCCCTTCCCGAAAATGAATCGAATATTCAGAGATACAGATTTCTAGAAGAATCATCAGCCTCGTGTCAGGGGTCACACCTCCTACGCCGCCTGCGATGAGGCGCAAACATCACGAAGCTGTGGCAGGTGCCTTCCAGAGAATGAACAATGTCTCTAGAGGGAGGAATCAGGATCATCGAGGTTTGTCAGATGAAGCAAGCTCTGTTCCTGATCCACGCTATGGCCGCAGTGTTGGACCTATGGGGTGCCACCCAGGGAGGGGTTGTTGTTGGTGCTCAAGACATGAGCCCTGACACTGGCTACGGTTCGTTTAGAGTGATGTCAAGTGCTCCTTGCAGCCTGCGGGATTTGGAGGTTGCATTAGTAGTCATGCTTAGGGCCTCGGTGGCCCCGACCAACCCTGCTGCTCACGAACCCCATATCAATTAATCGTGACTCTACCCAGAAGCACACCACTCCAATGATCCACCTACCATCAACTCTGCTTGCTGTTGGTAAAACTATATGCCCTGGATATGGCGCATGTATATACCATTTCGTGCCCTCCATCACCTTCTCTTTGACTGCGCAACAAGTGATCACCGAGTTACTACCTGCATATGGCGCATCTAGATGGTTGAGTTACAGCGCTTGTGAAATCACCGAAGGACCAAACCTCTTCTGCGACTGTCAATGGCGTGTTTGTCCCTTTTTTTCTATTGAGTTACGCAGTCAATTTGCATCTTTCGATGTAGACATGGAACGCTATAAAGCCAGGCACTGATCCCTTCTTGCTTCTCATCACATCAATCGATACCTAGAAATCAAAGGTCTCTTGCAAATTCAACAATCTTCAATTCCTATCATCTGTTTTCGCGTCACCTGCAAGTCGCTTGTTCATTCAAATCCCAAAATGTGTTCTGTCTATATCTTCGAGTACGACTGTGGATGCTCCCTTCAGGAGGAGGGTGTCGTTCCCTGTGCTAAGCAAGGTACTGCTCTTTGCGATGGTGTGAAGGAGCAGTTCCGTCGACGACATGGCTTCCTGTGCTCTCAGCACGGTGGTTAACCTGGCGGGCTGATGTAAGTTGCATATTTCACCTGAGCAAATTCCGGGGTGGCTACCTCGCTTGCACATCGTGTAGCTGATAGGATACCACAGACACCCAACACATCACTCAGAGGCTTGAGGTCATCCATCGTCATGACTTCAGCTGCTCGAGCGATCGGCTTTCCCCGCTCCGTCTGTGTCTACTCCAAGACCAGAGATAAAAGATATCACTGTATCAAATCTGCTACTTGGGGAGGTCCTTCTTTGTTACCTCGCATCTGTCATTCTAATACCTGGGCGGACGGTTTTCTGATCTCGTATTTCATCTTTCTTATTATTTTCTTTGTGTGTTTTGTCATTGTTCGCTGCTGGCACTTTGCTTTTAATCTGCGGATCTACGTGTTCTCCGGTCATATACTCTCTTTAACGATTACCATCTTGTGGATATTCCGAGGGACTACATATTTTGATGCTTTTGTTTCTAGAGAATCAATCGATATAAAATATTGCGTTGGATTCATCCCACTTATATGTCTTACTATTTCCACTTGCGTATGATATTAGGGCTGATGGATACAAAATCAATACCATACACCAATATTGGATGAGTGGCAAGACTATCCAGATCTGGGGAGTTGCATATACAAGGACTAGGATATCAGTATCATTATGGTTGGAGGTCCATGAGCCTTAGGGTTTATCTCAAAGTCCAAATTATGTATCTTGATACCTACACATGTTTCTCCAAGGTCATCCAGGTATCTGAGTTTCTTATCACATGTATCCCTGATGGCGGCTGTCGCGGATCCAAAACATCTAAAACCCACGCCCTCGATTGATTCAATCTCGTTCGTGATTTTTTCGTCATAGGGCTGGTCGTCCAAGTCTGGAATTGACTAGTATAGGAGATATTCTGCATCTTCCGCCTACTGAATATTCACGGCCCAAGTAAAAGAGCCATATCACCAATACCAAGACGAGAACATGTTGGCTTAGTAGGCCAATTCCGTATAGCGGGAATCCTTTCGCGAAGGTGGCAGTTACCGGGGGAAGTGCGTGCGACATGGCGCACGTTCCGCCCAGGGTGTTCGAGATTTAGCTGTTCTCGGTGATGGGAAATGAGGGAGTATTCATATCAGCAGGGGCTGAATGTGTCTTAAGGCATCCCGGGGTCTTTTCTTGTGGGGCTTTGGCTTGGCTTCTTTCCCAAAGGGATCGATTTATCTTATAGGGACAAGGCTGTCTAGAGATCAATCAAAGAACCGATATGACTGTCGATCAAAGTCGAACGAACTCTATACATCTTACTCCATAGATCGATCGAGTGTCTACCGATTACGTCAAAGTAGATGAGAACAGGCTTTGGAATATGTTATTTCTACGGGGCTTCCGTGAGCCAGTCACGCCTACGTTTGTCATGGATCCTGCGATGTCGATCAGACGCCAGCTCATTTAAACGAGCGCCCTCGGAAACTGGTCACATCAAAGTTACAAGGGTAAAGGCGCGTGGAAGATGACTCCACGAAGAAGGATTCGCACAGGGGGAAGATCATGCGAACAGAGTCCCTCTTAAATAGTAAGTGGCAAGGTATTGGGTCCTCGGGCGAGGGGGTACACGTAGTCAGTAGAGCTCGCCAATGACATTTAGACGCGGCTTGGTCCCTAAAGTGGGCGATAGGCTGCCAGGCGCGGACAGACATCTCATGGGCTGCATTAGTCTCGCATATATTTCGTATCAGCTGATTTGGAATGTCATATCGACCAACACGCACAGTCCTGGGTGCTGTTCATATTCATCGGCTTTATATCAAAGGCCATCAATGCGAGCTCAGCATCACACGTATGGGCCAATATGTACCCAAATATGGTGACCATGGTTGCAAACCTCGGAATTATTCATTCATGCCACGCCAAAAGTCAGATTGGGGTGAAAGAATGGAAGGATTCCATCCGAATTCGCTAAATTACTTGAACAGGGGTACGCCCCACGCGGCGCAGACCCCGAAACCACTTTCTTGGTCAATTCCGTATTCCTTGAGCGCTTGTGGTTGGGCCAAATCAGAGGGGCATATGAGTGATTCGAGGGATAGTCCGTAACTTGGGGAGATTTGCCCCTCAGACTGGCTATGAGGGGCCCCAGTGGGGTCTTTGTTTGAGAGACGCAGCTATGTATGGGCTCATCACTCCAGTGAGCAAAGGGAATTCGCGAGCCCATCCATGGGAATTTCCGGCAAGCAAACGTCCTTCAAAGTGATGAGTAGAACCACACATTCATTACCGACTTTTGGCCGTTTAAATTGATGTAGGCAAATCGGATAGTTCGGCAATATCAAGGGGAGGATGGTGTTGAACGATGGCCTAGTCAACTGGCTGGAATGTCATCATATATATCACGTGGTGATATCGTCACCGGCTCTTCGACCTCCGGCTTCTCGCAGATAAAAGAACCAAGAGCTATAGAATTGCATATGTGATGTCAATCGAAGTCGACTGGGCAGCTGCCACCTCTGGTCCAGATGGGGAAGCCCTGGCAGAGCGTATTCGGTCATTCGTGCACGACAAATTCCAGGAGATCACCCTACCGCGCTTCATCCGCTCAGTCCAAGTGCATTCCTTCGACTTCGGGACTATTGGTCCAAATCTCGAGATAAAAGATATTTGCGAACCATTTGCCGATTTCTACGAGGAAGACGACGACGATGCCGATACCTCCGTCACCTCTGAGGAGCTCATGCCCGAGCTCCGCGAATCCCCATACGAAGATGACATGACTTTCAACCCCGCCGCACATAGCCCTCACAGCTTCAGCCATCATCCATACCCCGGCGAAGGGTTTCAGCCGTCTGCACTTCGGTCCCCTTTAGGCGATCACCTCAACCCACATTTCCTGCCCCGGGCCGGTACACCTGGGATACCCGGCGGTACGTCAACTTTAGGGTACCACATGCGATCTCTAGGGGGTCTCTCGGGCACACAAACACCCCTGGTCGCTGTAGCGGGTGGTTCTTCATTTGCGAGTGGATGGTCTGATTCTGGAATGGGGGTCGGGCCTAGATCACAAGCTACACACCCTGCTGCACACCATTTCGGGGAACCAGATCTGGACACCAATTCCACTTCCCGACCCTCAACCGCCAACACACTCCCTTCTCATCCTTCACTTGGCCACGCAGGCAGTGGCGGGTCAATTCGGAACACTAGTGACCCCGCAGATGCGCCACAGCCCTCGATAGAAACCTCGGATGACCCCGCCGCAGACCAATCGTTCCCCATCCCGCCACGCATGCGCGAGCGTCGGCCGGAGGATTTCCAAGTTCTTTGCCATGCCAAGTATGCGGGCGATGTTCGTATGTCCCTCACTGCAGAGATTCTCCTCGACTACCCGATGCCTAGCTTTGTGGGGCTGCCTTTGAAGCTTAATGTCACCGGTATCACGTTTGATGGAGTTGCCGTCGTTGCCTATATCCGCAAGCGTGTGCATTTCTGCTTCTTGTCTGCGGAAGATGCGGATGCCTTGCTTGGATCGGAACAGTCTCAGGGTAGCCAGAATCTCAATGACGATGGTCGGCCTCGGTCTAGGGGTGATCAAAAAGAAAGAGACCTGAAGCGGCAAGGTGGGCTCCTGCGGGAGATCCGAGTAGACAGTGAGATTGGCCGCAAGGAGGATGGGAAGCAGGTCTTGAAAAATGTTGGGAAGGTGGAACGCTTTGTGCTCGCCCAGGTTCGTCGGATCTTCGAAGAGGAGCTGGTATATCCTAGCTTTTGGACATTCTTGGTCTGAATGTTTAATACATCCCGGTCATGATTGGCTGTTCTACATATCTATTCTATAAATTTATGAATGACTTATGATATTTTTACATGAGAGCCTGATTGCTGATGTTTTACACATCGAAGACATCCTCATCTACCGGATAATACGATCCATGAGATAGAGCAGCAGGAATTAATAGACACGTGAATTTGAATGAGTAAATCTTGATTGAATGAGGCATGTACTATAGAACAAGCATCATGGATCCCATCAAGAATTCTTAAAATATCTGCTGGTGCCTGGGGAGGGATACAGATCGAACTCATATCACCTCCATATCTCAAATTGTCCTCTACCTAATAGTAGATTCCATACACCGATAAGGGGTAATTATGAACAGTCCTAATCCAGAATATGTGGAGTATTTTTGTTGCCGAAAGATGTGACTATTGTGATGAGGGACAGAGCCCTCCAAGTCGAAGCAAATGTGAAACGTCCTCGAGCAAGATTCTATCGAACCTCGAGCTCCGATAGTCCGACCTCGGTGAGTTGAAAGATGCAACACTCTTAAAGGTCTTTCTTGTCCTGCTTCTCGTTGATCTCACCCTTCTGGCTCGAAACCTGATCGCCCAAGTTGTGGTACTCGCGGGTCAGGCCCTCGCACTGCTTCTTGAGAGTCTCAATATCACGATCCTTAGCCTCAATGATCTCCTTGAGGCGACCAATCTCGCCGATTGAGCCAGCCTCCGCGATGCGGGCAGAGTCCTTGCCGCCGGCCTTCTTGTCGCCCTCGAAGAGACGAACGCGGTCCTCAAGGCGGAGGGTCTCAAGAATCATGGTATAGGTGCGGTTGAGGATGAGGGAGAGGAACAGAGTAAATCCACAGAGATACATGTTGCGCTGCGAGTAGAACTTGCGGGCCTGGACCTCCATGCGGTCGGTACCGAGGTGTGCGGCTCTGTTGATGATAATTATTAGGAATTGCCTTAAAGATCTGGCTGGCTACTTACCCCATGCCAGGACCATCCTTGGTGAAAGCGGACAGCTCCTGCTGCACACGATACACGCGGTTCACGGAGTCAATGAACAAAATGAGGATGAAGATAAATGTAATCTGGAGGCCAGTTTAGCGATCAGGCCGGAATATTCGGGTTTAACTGTTGGTAATAGGTACCTTCATTCCATATTGCAGCTTGGCAATTAGCGGGCTCTCCGAGATGAAGGCAAACAGCTTGCGCTTAATCGTGTGGGGAAGAGGGATGACGAGGGCCAGGAATACAGCCATCTCGAAGACCAATAGGAGGAAGACCTGTATGAAAAGCATCGTGTCAGTCTATCAATAGGGGCTGAACTTGCAGACATCGCGTTGGTAGCTTGGGCTGGGTGAGCAGTTTCAGGCTCCAGGCTCCAGCGATTCTTGGAGAGCTGGAAAGCACCACAATAGGAAAACAGGGAAGGGGCTTGTTGGACATACAAGTGAGAAGTAGAGAGTCATTTTGCCGTATTATTATGTAGCGACAATTAGATTGGAGTTTCTGGCCTGATCAAAAGGGGCGGGGTGTTGAGAGCTTCGGGAGGATAGTTCCAGGGGAACGTAAACAAATGGAAGATGAGGTAGCAATTCCGTGGTGAACAGTCACAAACACAGAAAAACTAAAGCAGGATGAATTCCTCGCTTGGGTTAAAGAGGCAATGGAAGTCGGGTGAGATGGCACAAGAGACAAGGTGGTCTTAAGGGAAGTTTTTCAACTTCGGAAGACGTCATGTCCTCAGTGCTTTGCACGTGATGCTGTCATCACCCCTAATCAGGACAGCACCTTCTGTCCTCTGTTGTTTCTGAGATGCTGTGACCGGTGCATATAGTTCCTTGAATTGATTTTAATCTGTCAATTATCTTCCATATCCTCATCGGGTAGCGATATCTTTGTTTATATACACATAGTCGGACATTCGATACTATGTCGTCATCGAATGGGATCTACATCGTTGTTGATACCGATAGGTGAGATGTCGGGATGTAACTCAATCGGGTCAAGTTAGGTCCCACATACATTTCTTTCTTCTTGGTCCAATAGAAAAGACGGATGTGTGCTTACATTGCCGACATGTATATATATAGCCCCCATAGGTAGAACTACCGAGGGCGTGAGTCATCGGAACGTACCCCTCGTGTGGGGAAGCTTCGGCTATCTGTGGTTTGGGGCTGTCAGCAGTCAGGAACGGGGTATTTCTATTAAGATCCTGGCTTTCCCAACTGCGAAAGAACACTTCCTCATTCCCGCCTACCCTAAATTGACCAGTTGTTGAATTTGCTCGAAGCCATGGCGAATGACAATCTAAGCCCCGAAGAAATCGAAAGGGCATCACAGCTTCTGAGTGCTCAAGAGAAGGCCGTTGCACTCTTCGAAGAGATCGAGCGCGACCTGATCCGACCTGGCATTACCGAGAAGACCCTTAACGAAGAAATTTACAAATTAGGTCTTGATCGCTATGGGATCAAGACTCACTGGCACAAACGAGTCATTCGCAGTGGACCAAACACCCTGAGCCCGTTCTCCGAGAATCCCCCAGATCGTGTTATCCAGTCGGATGATATTCTAGTCGTTGACCTGGGACCAGTCTTCGAGGCCTGGGAGGCCGACTTTGGACGCACCTTCGTCCTAGGAGACGACCCGAATAAGAAGAAGCTGCGCGATGCCCTCGAGCCAATCTGGAATACTGTGAAGGCACGGTATCGTGAGAAACCAGATATGTCCGGCGAAGAGCTCTACGATATCTCCTGCCAGATTGCGAAACAAGATGGCTGGGATTTCGGTGCCGATATTGCAGGCCACATTGTTGGGTCGTTCCCTCATGAACGCATTCCACGGGATAAGACCAGACTTTATATCACCAAGGGCAATGAGGAGTCAATGGGTCTGGCTGGTCGTGATGGTTTCAAACGCCATTGGATTTTGGAGATTCACCTTCGTGACACCGCACGTGGGTTTGGCGGTTTTTATGAGAAACTCTTGACGGTCGACTAGGACTTGCTATATTCGATCTCTTTTGCATCGTTTTCGTCTTTCGAATATATTATTCTTGGACCGATTAGAGCGATTCGTGAGTAACTTCTTTGGCGGTGTGAAATAATCGAACACCTTGGTACAAGCATAAATGCATTCGCTATGATTTTATGTACAATTTTAAGATATGCAGGTAGCACTTTCCTAACCCTCGGCCTCGTAAGAATTCGACTTGTGCTTGGGCTCGAAGTTGAAGGTGTCAGGTGCAGGACCGAGGAACATTTCACTATAGGATTAATAAGTCAGTAAGCAAACAAACAAGGTCCTCAGTGAGAAAGAAACTTACGAGATCTTGATCCAGTCTTTGTAGTTGCCACTACCCATGAGTGTCTCCAGCTCATTCCGGCCACGCCAAGCAGGAGGTCTGTCCTGGATATTGGGAGGGAGATGTTCGAGCAGACCGATTGGAACATAACGGTAAGCAAAGCTTAGCCATTCTAGCAGGAAACGACGAGTAGTTCCAACACCATGCTCATCAGAGCCCCAGGCCTGAAGACCATACTTTACGAACTTCTCGATATAGGCCAGACGTTCGGTCGCAGACTTGTCCAGATACTGGCCGGTCTGGATCTCCTCGAAGATCCATGGCTTGATCAAAGCCCCACGGGCTACCATCACAGAGTCCACTCCGGCATTGTTAACGTGGTCATCATAGTCGACATGGGAGAAGCAGTCGCCATTTCCAAGGAAGTAAGTCTTGCCTCCATTGGGCATGTGGCGGGCATCCGGCTCACGGATGGTGTCAGTGAGTTCAGCTTGCTTCTGGTTAAGGCGCTTGATAAGAGCTGCACATTCGGAAATGTATCCCCAATCTGCCTGTCTGGTGTAGCGCTGCTGTCTACTCCGCCCGTGCAGAGTAATGGCTGCAGCACCTGGAGGACCGAGGTCCAGAACACTGGATTCGTATCCACCGAGGACCATACGTTCAACCAGCTTCTGGGCGGTAGGTTGGTTGTCCTTGGTTCCCATACGGATCTTGACAGTAATCGGAATTTCCTGTGAGACAGCGTTCATGCCACGAATCATCTTTTCCAACTTCGAGTGATGGTCGAGAAGAGCTGAGCCAGCTCCATCACGGAACACAAGCTCGATGGGGCAGCCGCAGTTCAGGTCAATGACACGCAGGTTGGGTGTGAACTTTGACAGCACTTCGGTAGCCTTTAGTGCTTGCCATGGCTTGTTAGCAGCAATCTGGGCACCAAACCTGGAGTCCTTGGAGTTATCATAGCCCTGAACAACATTGTCTCCAGGGATATAAACTGGCGGGGCCACCTCCGACTCGTGAGCCTTCAACAAAGTCCATTCAGACTTTGAGCCTTGGATCAAAGGCATACTCATGGCCATCTCTGAGTAGGTGAACTGCGCACCCAGATCCCCACAGAGTCGTCGGAATGGCATGTTTCCTTGAGTTGTAAGAGGTGCCAGAACAGGGGTCTCAGGTCCGAAATAGATGCGTCTTTTCTCAGATGGCATGAAAGGAGGCTCGAGGAATCGAGCACGGTTCTCCTCCCTGTCAATCTTCATCTGTTCATCTGGTTGAACAAGCTCACCATTCTCACGAACAGTGGATCGCTGGTGAATGGCCTGCTCCAGCTCCGCGCCCACCTTGACAGCCCATGTGGTGTAAGCATCAGCCCGAGGAGTGTCCTCTCTCTTTCTTGTGAGGCTGATTTTATCTTCGTTGGAAATGATGTTGACGATTCCATCGGGTGTCGCGTTGGGCACACGGGGCCGGCCTTTTTCCATACGTTCTGGGTCTTCCAGCAAGATCAATTCCTTCTTCCCGTCTTCAGTTTCTCTTTCGGTTGAGTGTGAGCCAACCATGCGGCATTTCCAACCGGAAGAGCATTTGCCTAGTGCTTCATAGATAGGGCACATGCTGTTCAGGGTTGTAAGATCCGCACGCTTGTGATCTTTCAAATAAACACGCAGATCGTGCTCAAATCGGCATTTCTCGCCGAATGTGCACTCTCCAGCGGCAAACTCATTCGCGAACATTCGTGTGCTGCAAAGGCCCTTCGCGTCCCGAGATGAACCATAGCTGCGGTTCGTGTTCTGGCCCTTGTTCTTCTTCTTCTTCCCTCTGTCCTTCTTGCCAGAATCACCGCCATCGCGGCCATCTCGAGGAGCAGCCTCGGCGGCATCGTCAGGGCTAGTCTCATCTGCAGGGCGTGGCTTTGGTGCAATTTCGATGCGATATCTTGAATGGCAGGATTTAGCATTTCGCGATATATGAAGCGCGGGTGAGCTTACTCTGGTTTGATGGACGCGATTCCTCTATCCCGCATATCTTCTAGCACAGGTTTGGAGGATTCATCCACTCGTACCTTCTTGGAGGGAGGCTCTTCCATGCTCGCGGCACCAGAATCACCACTTGCGGCGTCGCGCTTCGGGGCCTCCGTGGTAGGCGCAACAGCGCTGACCTCTGGAGTTTGAATCTTTACAGTTTCTGAGTCCATTGTCGTTCAGAAATAAGAGCGAGCTATTCGCTGAACTTGATAATCGCTGTACAGAAGAAACATTCAGTCGAAATTTCACATTCAGGCAAATTGTTTGTACTGTTTGCATATTCTATCATTGGTTCGTCTTACTATGGGTGGGTCCCATCTTAATCCTCATACGGACAAGCGCCAACTCAGATTCCACCCCCGCTTGATGCCTCAGGCCTAAAGACATATCTCGCGAGCAAGGTACCTTGATGTCTCATCAGAAAGCCGATACTCCACATGCAATCCTGTTCAAACATGAATTACGCCGAATGCATATTCTGAAGTATGAGAGATATCCACTCCCAATCTTGGCAGGATGCAAACCGAAGCACCAGCGTTCCGCTTGCGGAACTCCAGTTGCCCGGAGTGGGGCATTGATAGGGGCCTTTGTAATTCAAAGCGGGTCCAAAGGTATAACAACATTGGGCGCGTAACTCAGTGGTAGAGTGTTCGCTTTGCATGCGAAAAGTCCGGTGTTCGATCCACCGCCCGTCCAATTCTTTTTTGCATCTTTACATTCCTGACAAGGAACGTTTGTACTCCGTATGCCAGATCACACTGTATACACAGTGCCTTTCTTTTTTTTCCCTACTGCTGACTGTTCTTATTTGAGTTCACATTATCATTTGTTCTATCTCTTCTTATGTCATTAGCATCGGATTAATTTGTTTGGTTCTTATTAGGATCGGAGATATATGTGGAAATACATGTTCAGAAGGTGAAGCGAACTCCTATGTTAAATAAATATTTTATAACAACGAACGTTTTGTGCAATCTTGATATTGAGAAATTGACTCAGACCGAATCCAAATCCAAATCCATCTATTTTGAGGAAGCATGGCAAGCATACACCAAGCAGCTAATTGAAACCCTGCCATCCTCCGGGCTTGAATTATGAGCATAGGTAGACTAAAAGTAGTATCTCTGAGAGGAAATATATAGTTCAGGGCAAGTATATGAGGTGATGGGTGGCCTCATACTAAGGACTAAATGAATTGACCAGGAGGATTTACTGGTGTTTATATTTCGACTACTAGTTCCCCATCAAACCCCCGCGTCTGGGAAGAGTAATAGCCTCGCTGATTGCTAAATACCATCTTCCCGGTGCCATCTTCAACATAGCTGACATTGAAGTGCGTATGCCCAAATGCCCACAATCGAACCAGTGGACTTTTCCACACCTCCTGCCCTGAAAGATCGCTAGCAAAACCCGATGACAGCAAGCTGCTCACATGCCTTGGATCAACTGCCCGGGGATCTTGACTGACTGGGCTGTGGTGTGTAAAAACGACAATTTTGCGATGAGGCTCAGCAGTGGCGATGTGTGATAATTGTGAATTTAGCCAACCCAAATCCGCTTCATGCGCAGCTGTGTGATCTTCTACTGTCCAGTCCTTTATGTGGTAAAAGTCGTTGAGACCAAAGCTGACGTGATCTTTGTGAGCCTGGATCACGCGCGAGAAGAGGGTACATCCCAGGACAGTTACGTCAGGCGAGAGATCGTATCGAGTTTGGTCCAAAAAGACAAATGAACCGATGCCTCCCATATTCCCATCCTGAGTTGGGTTTGAACGCTGCTGCCTGATAGACACCGAGAATCGATGGATTATTTGCTTTGTTTCTTCCCAGCTTGAGTAATAGGGCTCGTGATTTCCCAACAGAAAAAATACGACCTGGAACTGACGCAACTGAGTTTCCAGAAATGGAATGAAGCCTGGATCCTTGACAATCCCTATATCGCCCAATAGAGCGAGATATGGCGCCTTTGGAGAGACCTTGAACACATCATAGGCAGATGGATTTTCGAGATGTAGGTCCGACAATATTTGAAACTGTGGCATCTGGACTATATGACGTGGGCTGCTCTTGGATACCTAGGTGCATATGTTGTATACAGTGCCCAAAGTAGAAAAAGAAGCCAGTCGATCGCAACTGTGGCGATGTGGCGGTGCATGCATACCTGTGGCGTAACACAGCCTCCTTCTCCACGAGAGAGTGGGCTTGAGTGCTCCATCATCCAGTTATCTAAGCGCCCAGACGTTATCCCATAAGAAGCCCCTCCTTGGCTTGGACCTGAAAATAGATTTGACCCTTCCCCTTTTTCAACTATCCTCGATCACTTTTGTTGTCAAAGGCGTCTCGGTGCCTCACCTGCCAGTGAACCATTGAAAGAGATACGACGTCATACCCGCGTTATCAGCACTTTGAGTTGCGGGCAACCTCTAAACGGCGCATCGCAATGTCGGCGGCAGCACACGACCCACGACTGCTCTACAGCGTCAATAATATTCGTGCTTTCCATATCCAAGATGGCGAGGAGCAGGACCTCACGCCATCCGGCCCTCAAACGCTTTCATTGCTAATGGTCCCCACCAACACTGCCGGTGCTGGGCCTGGGACAGAGTGGCCTGAGAATTCACCCGAAGAGGATTTCTATCTCCATCTGTACCTCCCACCTGAGCTGGACCTAGCGATACCAGCTACAACACAAATCTTCCACCAACCTCCCGACAGTTATCTGATTCCACGTTGGGACATGGGCCCTGATGCTGGCGCTTTTATTCGCATACAGTTCCCCAGCATAGGCACCGGTCCCAACAATGTATCCCAGGATGACATCGATACATTTGAATCCATCCTTGCTCAGTGCACTGCATTCCTCGATCGCGCCTCTCCCGCGCAATCCCAGGATTGTGTCGCTTATAATCCGGCCAACTATGCACCCGGCGAGGGTTATGTTGGAACGCCAGACACAAAACAAGCTGATGGACATGGAAGAATTGTGCTAGTGGACGAAGAAAATGGCAGTGTTGTCGGAGAACTGGGAGACGGCTACCATGTAGTCGAAGATTCGGACGTGAAGCCTGGTTCGAAGAGTAAGTGATTCACATCCCGAAGTTGGTAACATCCCTAGTCAGCAGCTGATCGATATCTTGCAAACAGGACCCGTGGGAATCGAACTCCCGGGGGAAGGTGAAGGCAACCAAATCAACGTCAGCAATGTCTCCGAAGAATACCTGGCGATGTCCCGGCACCCAGCGTATAAGAACTCGACACTAGTTCAAAGTTCAGCCACGGCATCTCGGTTGATCGTCACTGGATCGACATATTTGGCGAGTGCCATTGCAAGCGGTGCAGAAAGCTTCCAAAAGAAGACGCGGCCAAATCCCAAACCAGTCAAATTCTCAGATACCACTCACGCTCGCATTCGCAAGGTCGGCACTTTATCCCATGGAGCCGCAGATATTTCTGCTCGCACCGTAGGACAGGTCGGAAGGGTTGCTCAGAACCTGGGTGCCTCATTGGCGCGCAAACAAGATGCCGGCCGAAAGAAAAGCTTTGACAAGCGCAACCCACCACCAGAGTATAAGCCCGGTGTGGTGAACAAATCGATGATCGCATTTTCAACACTGGCCGATGGTATCGAGCAAAGTGCCCGGAACATGCTCTTCTCGGGCGCCAGCGCAGCCAGCTCTATGATTGACCACCGCTATGGTAATGAGGCAGGCTCTGTTGCACACCATCTGACTGGCGGAATCAAGAACGTTGGATTGGTTTACATTGATGCCTCCGGTGTCAGTCGCCGCGCGCTTCTTAAATCTGTCGCGAAGGGCATGGTCGTTGGCAGAATGCACGACGGCCAACAGGTTGTAGTTGGTGGTGGTGACGGTGGCCAGGTTCCCGCTGGTGTTGCACAGGGTGCTTCCGGGCCTTCTGGTCTGGGCGTCCGGGACCCTGTTTCGCGGCGGGCATCACCTAGCCCCACACCGCCTCCTGCATATGGGGCGTCGGGGACAAGATCCATTAACGGTGCATCCATGTCAGGGGGTAAGCGGTAAAATTCTGAGGGCTGGCGCGCATGGCATTTACGGTGCTCTCGGGGCCGAGAACTCGTATCTTTTTTTGGTTTATCTCATTTCGTGATTCCATTCTGTGTTTTTAATACGGCGGCAATATTTTCCATATTTGCAAAGTTCTGATTCAGACTCCAAGCCTTTGCAGTCATGTCTGTTTTACCTTTTTGATACGTACAGTGACGATAGAGGTCTCACATACCCGCAATAAAGTTCCGACCGCATCTCATGCACATATCTGTCACCGGCCTTAATTTAAGATTCCCCCGGGGACGATTGGATGGAATTTGGGTTCTGCCTAGGTGGCACAGCGTCGAAATTGGGCAAGCACGGTAGACCGTCTTTTCAGGCGGTGATTTGATTCGAATAGCGTCAGCAGACCAGATTAGAGGAGGTGAGGGTGTGGATGTGATGTAGGCCATTTCAATGATAGTCATTGGATAGGGTTACTCATATGCGTTGCCGCTGGTCGATCTATCCCATATCGATCGGGTGATAGTAGACGACATTGTAGGGGCAAAAGCTGCCAACGCATCGCTTGACAGTTGTCCATGGCCCACCAATGTTTCTTGCCCAATGAGGGGATATTAGGGATTAAATGATCACCACGACGGTGTGACGCTATGCTGGGTGCAGTGGTGATCTTGAGGCAAAAGAAAGGGGTTGCAAGCGAAGGGTTTGTCAATCATTACGTGCAGATTGATTAGGATGGAGACTGAGATGGATTCGAATGTGGATAACGCACGGAATACGGAGTACCATGTAGGTAGCTACCTATACGTACTTGATTTCCTCTGCCGGGTGGGGTTTTCCTATCTTAGCTGCCGCCGCTTTTATGAGGGCGCTCAGAGCCAGGCTCACTAAGTAGATTTCAGTCCGCGCTCCGACCGGGTTCCAGCTCGGAAGGGTTCAGAATTTTCTCCGTAGGACCCAGAAGATTATCCGCGAATTCTACCACCTAATTAGCTCCCGGGGGCTCAGAATTCATTGATTATCTCATCTTCTTCAACTAATCACACTACGAAAAAGCGCACCTACTATCTATACAATTCTCCATCACCATAAAAAAACCTTATGTTTACCACTATATTTAAATATATACCTACTAGAAAAATAATTTAAATGATTCAATATACATTCCCCTACTACTATAAATTAAATTTAAGTCGAAATATCTATTATATAGCTTTAGAATATATACTTAATATAATATATATTTACTCTTACCTAACGTAGAACACTAATACTCCTTCCTTAATAATATCAGCTAAAATTTTATTTATTTATATTTTCTATATTAATATCTTCTTCTTCCTCTATCATTTCCCGTCACGTCTATTTTTTCTTTATATATACTTAATATATAATTATTATATCTCTATTAATTAACCTTAGACTAGGACTAACTCGATAGGACTTCGATAACCTAGAAGTTCTCTATACCCCGAATCCGTACCCCGTAACTAGCTAGGCTTATAGTACGCGAAAGCCTATATTCTAATTCCGACGTATATTATATATACTTAACTTATATAGGCCCTATATAAGATCCTAACCCTAGATAGAGGCCCTATATCTAATATAGAGCTATAGTAGCGGGTAATAAACGATACGATATTAAAGCGGGTAATATAGTTACTAATATACCCCCTAATACTATATATATTCTTAATAAAGAGAATATCGGTATCTACGATATCGTTATTAATAGATAGTAGATATATAGGATAATCCTCTTAGAGGGTCCCGCGCTACGCCGTTACCTCCGATAAGAATATCCTAGGGCTAGTATATATCTATATAAGATATATACTTAATATATACTAATAAACTTTTTATTATAGCTATTACGCCTACTCGCTACTAGAAGACGACGCTAGAAATCGCCGCTAGAGAGAATATAATTAAGCGATAGATCCTAATAAAAGGATAGTAATAAGCTAGGTATATATATAAGCCTAGCCGTAAACTAGTAGATAGGAAAGTAGGCTACTAGTGTAACGCCCTCGAGCGGATTACGTAAATAAATATAACCTTAGATATATTAATTATATACTAACCTTATATAGGAGCTAAAATCCTAACTTTACTATTAAGTACGGTACCCGCTTCTATCGCTATATATAGCCTAATACCCCTAGATCTAGCTATCGTAGCTATCGAGTAAGTTAATAACCCTAATATAAGTGTAATATATACTAAATATATATAGCGTAGCCCTAAACCCCCTATAAACCCTATTCCCTTCCGTGGATTTAGCGCGGTTATCCGAACTACCGATAAAGTTAAAAAGGCCCCTAAAGTTAGAGAGGAGGAATACGAAGAATATAAAGAATATAAGGGGTAGAAGGAAGATAAAGAAGATAAGGAATATAAGGAAGAGTCTAAGGGAGAGGATAAGGAATACGAGGAAGAGTCCGAGGGAGAGGATAAGGAGTCTAAGCCTAAGTCTAATAGCGAGAACGACTTAGCCTAATCGATATATATATTACTATAGCCTTTACTTTAAGTCTTAAATATAATTTTAATATACTTAATATATAATAAAAAACGCTAAAATCGTTAAAAAAATTAAAATATATCTAATATTTAATAGATTTTAACCTTATAGCCTCGATATATATACTTAATATATAATAAAAAACGCCTAAAACACTAGAAAAAATCGAAATATATCTAATATCTAATATATTTAAACCTTATAGACCTAATAAGTATAGTTTATATATATAATATACCGTAAATATATAGATTAAAGGCCTTTTATATATAAAGCAATAATAATACCCTTTATTATATAGGGGATAATAATACCCTTTTATATATAAAGGAATAATAATACTCTTTCGTATATAAAGTAATAGTAATACCCTTTTTTATATAAGTAATAATAATACCCTTTTATATATAAAGCAATAATAATACCCCTTTATATATAAAGTAAGAAGTATTAAGTATAACCCTAACTATAACTATATAAAAGGTCTATCCTATCCCTATTAGATACTATTAAATACTATAGTTTAAATAACTATTCTATCTTACTATTATTACTATCCTATAATTATTATTAGAAAAATAGCTAATAACCCCTATATATATAGACTAACCCGAGGTTCATTTAATAACCCTTAAGTCGCTATAACGGTAAACCCTTACCTAATATTTAGATATACTTATAGTAGGTTTATTCTATATTTAATATACTTTAAATATATACTAACTATATTGTTACGGTATTTCTTTGTTATACTATTTTACCTTAGGCTCCCTTTCTCTTAGACGGAGGAGACCCCTCCGAATACCCCACGATGTCGGGATAGAACCAATATGATCCGGTCCCGAGAAGCGGGGAACCTAAATCATAAAAGGAAGACACCCATAGGAAAAGGGAAGGCAAGATTTAGTCTTATAACTAATATAGAATCGAATACCCTTCGTTCTAACTACGTATCCCTCTTATATTATTATTCACTTAGTCAATAAGTACTACCTTAATAAATAGTTACCTTAATAATTCTAAATCTTCTTCTTTAACTACCTAAAGAAATGATAACGAGATAGAGTTCACGATCCCGATAGGGTAATAAGGAGATACCTCTATAAGAAAACCCTACTATCTACGAGATAGAGGAGGGAGAGACCTAATCTTTATTAGAACTCTCGGAAGCACCTACTACTACTAGTAGAGATAACCGATAACCCTCCGAAACTACCCCGAATCCTTAGCGAAATAAGGATAATTCTTAAGTGATACTTAAGAAAGAAACCTTCTAAGCCCTTATAATAAGGATCGAATAGCTCGAAAGAGTAGCCGAAACACTAATATACCGTAGCCGGATTTATAGTGATTCACTAAACCTACGTAGTTAGGAAATCCGTTTTAAAAACTCTGACTTTATAGAAGAATTCTCGATCTAAGAAAGAGAAGACTAGTTACTCGGATTACGCCTAGAATTCGAAAGAGCGAGTAAAAAATATAGCACCGAAAAATAAAAGATCCTTAGTACCCTATCCTATATAAATAGGAACTACTAACGACTTTAGTATAACTACCTAGATAAAATACCTTTAACTCTAAGCTAAATTATATAGGGTTCGTAGGCTTACCTTAAGGAATAGACTCTATCCTTAATAAAAAATTCTATAAATATATAAGCCACTATTACTAACTAAATATAAAGGATAATCTAGCGAAACGATTAAGACCCGAGAGACTTTTACTATAAGTTAAATCTCTTAGAAAAACATTTCCTAAAGCAAAGCGAGGAATAAAGAGCCCTTACCTTTTTCTTAAAACTTAATTATAGACTTTAAGCCTATATCTATAAATATAACCTAACTCTTCTAAAAACTTAGGGGGAGATAGTCTCTATTATATTAAAATTTTAGGAGCTTTAAAACTAGAAGACGAAACCTAAACGAAAAGCGACCGAATCGGGATAGGGAGACCTAGATATAAAAAAGAAAAAGAGAAAGTTCGAAAAATATAATAAAAACGAAAACTCCTCCGAAAAAAGAAATCTAAAGGACTTAAGGTCGAAAAGACGCGGAAACCCTATTAATAAAAAGATAGGAAAGAAACTTACCTATTATATCTATTAAAGTAAGGATTACCTTTTAAATAAATATCTAAACGACTCCCCGATAAAGAAAATAAAAGTGTAACTAGTAAAAATAAAAGGATCCTCGACGAAATAGTAGGGAAACGAGAGCGGGTTAGAGTAGATTCCCCTACTCCGACCCCCTAGATCGGAACGATAATACGCTTCTATACTCCGATCTTAGTAGGAAAAATTAAAACCTATATAGACCTAGATAGTTATACGGAAGTCGACCTCGTTAGTTACGAGTTCGTAAAAACTTAAAAACTTTAAAAAGCGAAACTTATACCTCCTATTATTAAAGTAGTAGGACGTAAAGAAGTAATTATATATAGGGTATAGAACGTCCCTATAACTATCACGGATAGTAGAGGAATCACT